TTATTTCTCTAATGAGATTTGGGACACACTAGCACACACACACACTCACTCAAACATTGCACCGCAAAAACTAATCAGTACATTTGTTCGACTTTAATCCAGATCATGATCAACTAGCTTTTAAGAGATCTACGAAATTGCTTAACTAAATTTTGTGCACACATTCTCTTCTTTTATTTCTCTTTCTTTCAACTCAATCCTGTCTATAAAACGATTCTTGAAATTAACCAAACCAAAAATACAATCAATTATTAACCGAATGAAAACGAACTCATCGCTCGCCATCCATCCTCGTGTCTGGTGACTAACAAAAACGTATCGTAACGCATCCATCGACTGCCTGGTTCCGCCTGCATGGACTTGGGTGATCCCGTTTTGATCCGATCCAATCCGATCTGTTTTGTGCATGTGACCGCCCGCTGAATGCCTCGAATGACACGGATTCCACCCTGCTCTCTTGCTTGCCGGTTAGACACAGATTCGGGACTGGGACGCGCCACTCCGCCGAGGCGTGCTCCGTCGCCTGGAATGGGAATGGGCGCTTCAGGTAGGCATATGCCATCTCCCTCCGGACCGGGCTCTTTGCCGCCAGGTTTGATATCGAAACGTCGCGGATTTGATGATGGATCCAGCGATTTCTCATTAACTCCGAATTTGAACATGGAATATTCGGGTTTGTATCTCTCTCTCTCGTCTTCAAAACAAACAAAAACCAAACCATACAACAAGCCATACCAATACTTCAAATCAACCCTCAGTTATATACTCACCTTCCACCAATCCATACACCATTGGTCATCACCTGCATCTGTACTACCTAAGTTGGAACGCCTCATTATGATTTCGAAGTTTTCATTTTCATTGTGATTTCGATCTGTTTGAATATTCATTACCGATTGGCATCTTTTGTGCAGATTGCATTTTATTTATTCGTCATACATATGAGTTCTACATAGAAATACAAGTTCTAGAGGGCTGCGACAGTCTGTAGAATCCGATTCTTCGTTCGTCCACTTGTTACGTTCTCTAGCGTCGTCAAATCCACGACTTTCGATGGTCAAATGTAAACCGAAAAAATGTGTTCTTAGAGATTTAAAAACACCGCAAGTTTTTTAATCCCAATAACCAGATTGTCTCAATTAACCGCTTTCGCAATACTAAAGACAAAAAATTGCAAGCACTATAGTTATGTTTTTATTTGATTTTGAACGTTTTGCTTATAAGGAAGTTAAGTCAGGCCTGCATTAAATTTATACTTTCATTACTATTTTATGTAAGGAAATTTTTGTTGGAAAAAGAATTTGTTGAGTTTTAATATAATTTCCAAACTGTGAATCTAGTGAATCACCCAACGTTTAGTATTAAATCTTGCACGTAGCTTGCATTTTGATAAAATCTACTAGAAGAGTTTACGATCTAGAAGCTTGCCATTGCCACCAAAATGTAGAAAATATCCAATAATAGCCCATTATTCCTTCGACGGTTCTAACTGTACCCGACATGCATTCACAGGTCCCAAACTCTATAAACAACCAGCGGCCAAATCAAATCGCGGGATCATCCTGAATGCCGTCGAATACTGTGTTTTCCCCGGCGTTGTTAACCGCGAGGCCAAACAGAAAGTGCTGGAGAAGATTGCGCGCTCGGAGGCGAAGCACTTCCTGGTACTCTTCCGGGATGCGGGCTGCCAGTTTCGCGCCCTTTACAGCTACCAGCCCGAAACGGACCAGGTGACCAAGCTGTACGGCACTGGGCCTAGTCAAGTCGACGAAGTGATGTTCGACAAGTTCTTCAAGTGAGTGCCCAGAAGCTTATTTTGACTTCAATTTCATTAAACTGATATTATCCCTCTTTAAAGATACAACTCAGGAGGCAAGTGCTTCTCGCAAGTGCACACAAAGCATCTGACGGTGACCATCGATGCCTTCACAATACACAACTCCCTGTGGCAGGGCAAGCGGGTGCAGTTGCCCAGCAAAAAGGACATGGCGCTTGTAATCTAAGCGGCGATCAGGGTATTTTGAATGGCATCGATTGGGATGCAAGGAGGAGTAGGCAGCAGTGGAGCAGTTAGGCCAACGGGCGCTTGGCGCGGTTTTGGCCGGAAACACACTATTCTACAAGATTGCGCATTAAGACATCTATGGAAACATAACAAAACATATACCGAAAGTTTTTCTGTAGGTCGCGGGGTTTTGGTGTTCATCGGGGCAATACGGCTAATTACTAATTGCACATGTTTGAAGAACAAGAATCGAAATTTACGGAAAATATTGTAGTGATTAATACAATGCGATTGAATATTTATTTTGAATATAAATGCATATATCCAGCCTAAGAATTTAATGTTCACGCAAGCCTGCAGTAGGAGAACCATCTAAATGTAAACGAAGAACATATAAGCATAGAAAGAACACAGAGCAGAGCACACTCGAAAGCCAAAAGGATGTAATGGAATTTTGAATGATTGTATTTTTGTTTGCACACAGTAAGCTCCGCCGAACGAGGATAAGGAACAAATGTAGAAAATCCTTTTTTATTAATTTGTTTTATATTGTTATGAAGTTATTCATGTGAAATTTTTTCTTGGCCTTGGGCAGGCGGAAATGAAATCGTGTATGGGCCGCAGCCAAAGTCGAAACTAATTTTAATGCCACTAGCTATTTATTTTAACACTAATTAATACTTACTTTTTATGCATATTTAAAAAGGAATAATAATACAACTAATATTTAAAGATATCTATATCTATACAACAAGAAAAAGACTTTTGACTGCTGAAACGGAGATCCATTGTTTTTTAAGATTTCTTTTTGCAAAGTCAGATGCACCACGAGCAGTCAGACTCTAAAAACTTCACAAATTGTATTGCACATTTAACAATTAGAACTATTTCGAATGCATTTGCTGCTTATGTTGAGGCTGGCTGGAATTGACTTGTGTAACTGCCATTGACCTTAATTTTAACTCTGTTCAATAATCACTTCTTAGACCGCTCAACCGTTCGATGCACCTGCCTTCACCTAACCACACTCATCCTGTTTTATAAATAAAGTAAAGCGATCGATCAATCCCTGCTGGTATCTTATAATTTATTGTGTAAATCCGCTGGCCCTCTCACTTGTTTCCAAAACGATATTATTTTAATGCCCAAAAGGTATTTCACTCGCCGCATTGTATTTCGAAACGATTGATGTTAGCTAGCGAAGTGAGGGTAAAAACTAATAGAGCATAATCCAACTATGAACCGCCATTAAGGATCGATTCCGAATAGATCGGCATTTCGGGGGATCAGGTTAAAACAAATATGTATATGTATGTGCGTTTTGGCGCAGTTGTGCCCTTGGCGCACTTCGCTCCTTAATGAATATTAATGAGATCTAAACATTATTATATAAAATGTAATAAAGTTATTGAACATGATTATTTAACAAAGTTTAAGTTGGTTTTATTAAAGGCTTACTTGTTCTACGTTTAGTTGAAGGTCTTAAAAATAGAGACTACATTTGGAAATCGTCACGCAAATCATTGTAGCGAAGTACATGTTCTTTAATCTTCGAGCCATCCACCCAGGTTACGAAGTCTTCGAGGTTTCTGGAGACCAGGAAGGCGGGATCCTTGACCATTTCCGGACCCACGCGAACATGACCATGTTCAATAAGGTCTGTGGCCGCTTTTAGATGCTCCGACATTCGCACTGGCGTAAAGAAATGTTCATTTATAAGGGTAACTAGTTGTATGCAATCATAACACCTACGTTTGACCATGATCACGGGCAGACGACGCCGGCAGAAGTGACTGGCGGATATCTTGGCGGCCGTCTCCAGAGTAAGCTGATCGTTGGAAACTCCCAAGGCGTGTATCTTATTTAGCAACATGGTTGTGGCCTCCACCTTGAAAGGCTCTGAGGCATCTAACTTGGCTATCTTCTCGGCCAGTTCCCGAATCTCCCTAGACAACTTGTTGTACCTATAATGATATCAAAAATGACCAACTTGGTTCAAATCAACAGTTCCAGTTAAAACTCACTTGGTGTAATCCTCCCTTTTTTGTATGTGAAAGCGTCTTAGTATTTTGTTCTCCTTGCCGCTGTTGTCCACCTTCCAGGTGATAAAGTCCACCTTTTTGAGCAGCTTTTGCTCATGAAATTTGAGTTTTCGAACCATTTGTATTTATTTTTTAAACAATATTTGTTGACTGCCTCGCACATGGGCCGCACAGTGTGACCAAAGCAAGGAAATGTAATATACCTAACAGCTGATTTAAGCGTCTTAAAGCAGTGCAGAAAGCAAGCAGTCGGAATATAACTATTAAGAATAGAATAAAATAGATTGCTCGCCGAAATGGCCGCCTCCATGGACGAGGACATATCCGCCAACCAGCTGCCAGGCAATGAAGAGGATCCTCTGGCCGAGGAGCGCCTGGGATTCGTTCGTGAAGTAGGCGCCCAGGCCGTTTGGAGCCTCTCCTCCTGCAAACCGGGTAATTAAAGCTGACCAAATCCCCTAGAGAATCTGACGAAAAACTCAGCTTTGCAGGCTTTGGCGTAGAGCGTCTGCGGGACAACATCATGGACACCTACTGGCAATCGGACGGACAGCTGCCCCACCTGGTAAATATCCAGTTCCACAAGCGCACCAACATTAGCCAGATCTACATATACACGGATTACAAGCTGGACGAGAGCTACACGCCATCAAGGATCTCCATTCGATCTGGGACCAACTTCAACGATTTGCAGGAGCTGCAGGTAATGGACCTCACCGAACCCACCGGCTGGGTGCAGATACCCATCAAGGATGGCAATGTTAAGTCGATCCGCACCTTCATGCTGCAGATCGCCGTGATCTCGAACCACCAGAACGGCCGGGACACCCACATGCGCCAGATCCGTATCCATGCGCCCGTCGAGGGAAAACACTATCCTCTGGAACTCTTCGGGAAGTTTGGAACCGTCGATTTCCAGAAGTTCGCCACCATTCGATAAGAAATACTCGGGCTTAATCGAAGTCTTTTATTTTTATGTATTTTTTGGGGGTATTTAACTGCTAAAATACAACATTTAAAACGTTACTTTAGTAATTGTATGCATATTTTTGGTGTTTCTAATTAAATGCCCGTCACTTGTATATATAAATCAGTTGCAAATAAATATATACCGTCGAGTAAGCTTAAGTACAAATTAACAAACACAATGGAAGTGTAAGAGTTATTATTGTTACTGTTTTATCGCGATACAAATGCAAAATGTGAAGATGGAACGCCAACGAAAGTGTGCGAGGCTTATTGCATTGCTTCGTTTGCATAATATTTGTGTAATATGTTGCACTACCCCGAGGATTGTCGTTAATGATTGGTGATTATGTGTTCGCTCTCTTTGCAGCCTTCAGCGTCTTGTAGTGATCCTTCTCCTCGCCGTTTTCGGGGGGCTCGCACTCGTAGGAGGCTTTCATCAGAAGATCCTCTGAAAGCACCTCCGCCTTTAGCAGATATGATACCACATTGGCCATCTGCTCGTAGGGACAGTCCAGTCGTTGCCATTTGCTAAAGTTCCGCAGCTGGGTGCCCAAGAGAAGGCACTTTTCGAAGTTTAGGTTGCCGTTGGCCAATCTGAAAGTATTTTTGGTTAATTTTTAATTTTTATAAATCATCAGAAAACTGAAATCACTTCGTTTCTTGGCTCTCGTTAATTGCATGCAAATCTTTGAGGAATAGCGAGAAGAACGGGATGATGGCTCGCTCGATTTTGTTGGCCATTTCTCTTTCTGAACGCCAAACGGCCGCCTTCATGGTGGAGCGGTAGTTGAGGAAGTTCGAACTGGGATCCATTTGGTGCTCCAAACCATCGAACTTTGTTGTCTGCACTTTGGCCCACTATAAAAATATTAATAGTTTATTTAATCACTAACGTTTTAGTTACCAAAACATACAGTTTTTTTTAGGCGGGCTATGGCAGTCAGGTTTAAAGCTGTCAAAATGGCCATCAAGCTGTTGAAGTTTCCCGTGTTGAAACATTCTAGAGCTATCTCCACCCAGAAGTCAATCATTTGTGCTCTTTGAGACTTTTTGCCCAGCTATGGGGTAAAAGAATATTAGCTTTGTCACCATATTTAACTATTCCAATACCTTACCTTCAATATTTCCGTGGCAGTCAAGTAGCTCAGCTGGTTAAACCATTGCACATAGCTGTCAATTGTGACCTTGCTAATGCAATTCGAACCCAATGTGCCCGCCTTGGTTTGGGTCATGCAGGATTTTAGCCCGTCCTTATCCAGTATTTCCACAAACTCCTCGAGACGTATTTGTGACAAATAAGCGTACTCGATGGCATAAAGTTGGTGGGCCAACTCGAAGGCATTGGCGCAATTGCTTAGCACATTGTCTGTCTTGTACACATTGGCTGCAAAGCGTTTCAGTGACTTAATACTGCTCTGACGTCCCAAGGAGCTGGCGGAAGATTGTTTGATCAGCAAATATTGCAGTTGGTTTCGTCCCTTTTCGGCTCTTTGAGCCTGAGATTGGGGAATGGCATCCAAAAAATCTGACATTCCTTTAATCGCACGCGTCTTTTCCAGCTCTTGCAGCAGCATATCGTTGTTAAAGTCTCCGGGACAGATGTTGAACCAGTGATTTAGCAGGCGAATAAGGTTATCCTCATTTTCCTTGGACTTGGCAATGATTTTGGAGAGCAGCTCATGAGAGGTCGAAAACAAACGGGACGAGGTCAACAGGGCAAACTTTAGATCTTCATCGTTGCCACTGATTAGCAAGCTGACTAGCGAATCTAGGTTACCCTCCTTGGGCATGTCTTTGGCGTAAACTGGCGCTGGTTGGCAATCGGATGGCTCTGCAATCTGCAAGTGGGTGTTCTAAAGCAGACAAGTTATTAGTTTATTATATATTTAAAAGTACTACAGAACTTACTAGGATAGAAACAGCATCAGCCTCATCGGCGGAGCTGGGAATGTCGCAGTACAAGGAATCTGTCAGAGTGTCGCGAGGATGCGACCAGGGCGCACTCATGGACACGCTGTGGAAGAGGCCATCATGCCCGGAGTCGCAGCTGCTTATATTCGAGCTTTTGTCCCCAATGGTGGTGGATGACACGGATCCAATGACCTGATCAGAGCCTGTAATGGCCGAGCTGCTGGACATGAGGGAAGCATTCGAGAAGGTTTGGTTTAGCTGGCGGCCCAATGGATCAGCTGGACGATCGTCGGAGTCCGTGGCCTGCGAGGCGAACGTGGAATTCGAAGTGGTTTGGTATTTGAGGGCATTCTCGGGTGTGGCACGAGCCAAGGCCGTCTGCTGCTTGACGGGATGCCAGATCTCCTTTTGATGCGACTGATGGTTGAAGTTCTCCTTCGTCTCCACGGTGCGTTCGTCTAGGATCTGTCCGTTGCGCGAGACCAGCACCTCCTCCGTGGTGGTCAGCGAGGATTTAACGGTCAGCGAGGTCTCAACCTCGATGGGCTGCTGAGCCAATCCGGCGCGGAAGAGCAACTGGTTCAAGTGCTCCACCGAGGGCATCTGTCCCTCCAGCAAAGCTGCCTTAATGGCACTGGCATCATCCGCTGGCAAGCCATCCAGTTTCACGGGCACTCCGTTGACCAGCAGCACTTCCTCCTGCTGCAGCGAGGACGAGGTCTCGCAGTCCACGATCTTCACGTCCTTTCCGAACAGCGATTCCACAGCGTTCAGGATGTCTTCGTCCATGGTTGGGGAGGGTTATTGGGTCCGGGCAGTGGAGAATCTCTGGTGAATCGTGTCTTTCTGGTTGGGTTGGTTATTAAATGCGTTATGACCACAGGGGACTCTTTGGATTAGTCGCAATGCACATGCACTATCTCGTACATTTCTGGAACGAAAGGGGCAAGGGAAAACCTCGATTAGCATACGTATAGGGACAGACAGGTGATCCGGGGCTTTAGATTCACGCAGTGGTGACAACGCCCACTTTTGGGAAAGTGGGCTGGTCTTCTCCGATCAGAACATCGCCACTCAAGCGGACACACCTGCAGGAACACTGATGCGGGGTGGCCTTCCATGGTACGCAGTGCCGCCATTCGTCACGGCATTCCCCGCCTGCTGCTCATCAAATTCCCTTTGTCAAGCCGCGCCTTATATAGTTTAATTCGCCAATTGATTTAATTTATTTCTATTATTGTTGTCGCTTGAAGTGTGACTGTGGCTACACCGTTAAAATATACCACCGGCAAAAGGAAATATACTAAATGAAATATTCCATTGGAACGAAGGTGTACGGTTCTCTGGAAAGCAGAAATTCTGATTGGACCGTTTTTTGATGTTCAACGTTAATGACTACTTTCCGTTACTAATCCGAAGATTCACAGCCGGAGATCCGGAAAAACCCACTTTTATTTCGGTTTTTTGATCAAAACCATGGGAAATAATTGTCAGATGTTGGAATGCCATACCTCATTGAATTCGTTATAAAATTTCCAATCGGATGGCACTCACAGCTAAAAAATTTCAAATCAGTTGATTTTTGGCAAATATTAACCCCTTATCAAAAATGCCAAAATCCGGAGATCCGGAAAAACCCACTTTTATTTCGGTTTTTTGATCAAAACCATGGGAAATAATTGTCAGATGTTGGAATGCCATACCTCATTGAATTCGTTATAAAATTTCCAATCGGATGGCATTCACAGCTAAAAAATTTCAAATCAGTCGATTTTTGGCAAATATTAATGATGTAACCCCTTATCAAAAATGCCAAAATCCAGAGATCCGGAAAAACCCACTTTTATTTCGGTTTTTTGATCAAAACCATGGGAAATAATTGTCTGATATTGGAATGCCATACCTCATTGAATTCGTTATAAAATTTGCAATCGGATGGCATTCACAGCTAAAAATTTCAAATCAGTCGATTTTTGTCAAATATTAATGATGTAACCCCTTATCAAAAATGCCAAAATCCGGAGATCCGGAAAAACCCACTTTTATTTCGGTTTTTTGATCAAAACCATGGGAAATAATTGTCTGATATTGGAATTCCATACCTCATTGAATTCGTTATAAAATTTGCAATCGGATGGCATTAACAGCTAAAAAATTTCAAATCAGTCGATTTTTGTCAAATATTAATGATGTAACCCCTTATCAAAAATGCCAAAATCCGGAGATCCGGAAAAACCCACTTTTATTTCGGTTTTTTGATCAAAACCATGGGAAATAATTGTCTGATATTGGAATGCCATACCTCATTGAATTCGTTATAAAATTTGCAATCGGATGGCATTCACAGCTAAAAATTTCAAATCAGTCGATTTTTGGCAAATATTAATGATGTAACCCCTTATCAAAAATGCCAAAATCCGGAGATCCGGAAAAACCCACTTTTATTTCGGTTTTTTGATCAAAACAATGGGAAATAATTGTCAGATGTTGGAATTCCATACCTCATTGAATTCGTTATAAAATTTCCAATCGGATGGCATTCACAGCTAAAAAATTTCAAATCAGTCGATTTTTGGCAAATATTAATGATGTAACCCCTTATCAAAAATGCCAAAATCCAGAGATCCGGAAAAACCCACTTTTATTTCGGTTTTTTGATCAAAACCATGGGAAATAATTGTCTGATATTGGAATGCCATACCTCATTGAATTCGTTATAAAATTTGCAATCGGATGGCATTCACAGCTAAAAAATTTCAAATCAGTCGATTTTTGTCAAATATTAATGATGTAACCCCTTATCAAAAATGCCAAAATCCGGAGATCCGGAAAAACCCACTTTTATTTCGGTTTTTTGATCAAAACCATGGGAAATAATTGTCTGATATTGGAATGCCATACCTCATTGAATTCGTTATAAAATTTGCAATCGGATGGCATTCACAGCTAAAAAATTTCAAATCAGTCGATTTTTGGCAAATATTAATGATGTAACCCCTTATCAAAAATGCCAAAATCCGGAGATCCGGAAAAACCCACTTTTATTTCGGTTTTTTGATCAAAACAATGGGAAATAATTGTCAGATGTTGGAATTCCATACCTCATTGAATTCGTTATAAAATTTCCAATCGGATGGCATTCACAGCTAAAAAATTTCAAATCAGTCGATTTTTGGCAAATATTAATGATGTAACCCCTTATCAAAAATGCCAAAATCCGGAGATCCGGAAAAACCCACTTTTATTTCGGTTTTTTGATCAAAACCATGGGAAATAATTGTCTGATATTGGAATTCCATACCTCATTGAATTCGTTATAAAATTTGCAATCGGATGGCATTAACAGCTAAAAAATTTCAAATCAGTCGATTTCTGGCAAATATTAATGATGTAACTTATCAAAAATGCCAAAATCCGGAGATCCGGAAAAACCCACTTTTATTTCGGTTTTTTGATCAAAACCATGGGAAATAATTGTCTGATATTGGAATGCCATACCTCATTGAATTCGTTATAAAATTTACAATCGGATGGCATTCACAGCTAAAAAATTTCAAATCAGTCGATTTTTGGCAAATATTAATGATGTAACCCCTTATCAAAAATGCCAAAATCCGGAGATCCGGAAAAACCCACTTTTATTTCGGTTTTTTGATCAATGCCAAAATCCGGAGATCCGGAAAAACCCACTTTTATTTCGGTTTTTTGATCAAAACCATGGGAAATAATTGTCAGATGTTGGAATGCCATACCTCATTGAATTCGTTATAAAATTTCCAATCGGATGGCATTCACAGCTAAAAAATTTTAAATCAGTCGATTTTTGGCAAATATTAATGATGTAACCCCTTATCAAAAATGCCAAAATCCGGCGATCCGGAAAAAACCCACTTTTATTTCGGTTTTTTGATCGAAACCATGGGAAATAATTGTCAGATGTTGGAATGCCATACCTCATTGAATTCGTTATAAAATTTCTAATCGGATGGCATTCACAGCTACAAAATTTCAAAACTCTGCTAAATAATTGTCAGATCGCATTCACAGCTAAAAAATTTCAAATCAGTCGATTTTGGCAAATATTAAATATTATCAAAAATGCCAAAATCCGGGGATCCGGAAAAACCATGGGAAATAATTGTCTGATATTGGAATGCCATACCTCATTGAATTCGTTATAAAATTTCCAATCGGATGGCATTCACAGCTAAAAAATTTCAAATCAGTCGATTTTTGGCAAATATTAATGATGTAACCCCTTATCAAAAATGCCAAAATCCGGAGATCCGGAAAAACCCACTTTTATTTCGGTTTTTTGATCAATGCCAAAATCCGGAGATCCGGAAAAACCCACTTTTATTTCGGTTTTTTGATCAAAACCATGGGAAATAATTGTCAGATGTTGGAATGCCATACCTCATTGAATTCGTTATAAAATTTCCAATCGGATGGCATTCACAGCTAAAAAATTTTAAATCAGTCGATTTTTGGCAAATATTAATGATGTAACCCCTTATCAAAAATGCCAAAATCCGGCGATCCGGAAAAAACCCACTTTTATTTTGGTTTTTTGATCGAAACAATGGGAAATAATTGTCAGATGTTGGAATGCCATACCTCATTGAATTCGTTATAAAATTTCTAATCGGATGGCATTCACAGCTACAAAATTTCAAAACTCTGCTAAATAATTGTCAGATCGCATTCACAGCTAAAAAATTTCAAATCAGTCGATTTTGGCAAATATTAAATATGATCAAAAATGCCAAAATCCGGAGATCCGGAAAAACCCACTTTTATTTCGGTTTTTTGATCAAAACCATGGGAAATAATTGTCTGATATTGGAATGCCATACCTCATTGAATTCGTTATAAAATTTACAATCGGATGGCATTCACAGCTAAAAAATTTCAAATCAGTCGATTTTTGGCAAATATTAATGATGTAACCCCTTATCAAAAATGCCAAAATCCGGAGATCCGGAAAAACTCACTTTTATTTCGGTTTTTTGATCAAAACCATGGGAAATAATTGTCAGATGTTGGAATGCCATACCTCATTGAATTCGTTATAAAATTTCCAATCGGATGGCATTCACAGCTAAAAAATTTTAAATCAGTCGATTTTTGGCAAATATTAATGATGTAACCCCTTATCAAAAATGCCAAAATCCGGAGATCCGGAAAAACTCACTTTTATTTCGGTTTTTTGATCAAAACCATGGGAAATAATTGTCAGATGTTGGAATGCCATACCTCATTGAATTCGTTATAAAATTTCCAATCGGATGGCATTCACAGCTAAAAATTTTAAATCAGTCGATTTTTGGCAAATATTAATGATGTAACCCCTTATCAAAAATGCCAAAATCCGGAGATCCGGAAAAACCCACTTTTATTTCGGTTTTTTGATCAAAACCATGGGAAATAATTGTCTGATATTGGAATGCCATACCTCATTGAATTCGTTATAAAATTTACAATCGGATGGCATTCACAGCTAAAAATTTCAAATCAGTCGATTTTTGGCAAATATTAATGATGTAACCCCTTATCAAAAATGCCAAAATCCGGAGATCCGGAAAAACCCACTTTTATTTCGGTTTTTTGATCAAAACCATGGGAAATAATTGTCAGATGTTGGAATGCCATACCTCATTGAATTCGTTATAAAATTTGCAATCGGATGGCATTCACAGCTAAAAATTTCAAATCAGTCGATTTTTGGCAAATATTAATGATGTAACCCCTTATCAAAAATGCCAAAATCCGGAGATCCGGAAAAACCCACTTTTATTTCGGTTTTTTGATCAAAACCATGGGAAATAATTGCCACAAGTTGGAATGCCATACCTCGTTGACTTCGTTATAAAATCGAGTGGCATTCACAGCTACAAAATTTAAAATGTATTCTCCCACCTGAAAGCCCTAAAACACAATCCCAGAGGAAAACGAATTTTTTTATGATATAAGATTATTTTTTATTTAAAACAATGTATATTATAAATAAATAAAGTATTTAGTTTTTAGATAAAATAAATGCTATGTGCTTATATTTAGAAAGATATTACCTTAACCTTATGGTAACTTTAACACTAATAATAATAATTTTATATAGGAGAAACTTAACTAATTTATTATTGCAGTTTCAGGTATAAGGTAATGGTAGTATTATTATTTATAGCTAACTTATGAGTACTTGCAGGTAAGCGCCTAATATATTTCTTTGTTGGTGAGCTGGAGAGCAAGGAGACGGCGACTGGTAAAACCTGGATATCCTTGAAGACGACACTGAATCTCGGACCCAATATCCATGGCAACTTCCCTGACAATGCTGATTCTGATCTCCTACCTACTTTTCTGTATTTAATTTAGATATTTCGATTCATAAATAAAAAAAATGTATAAATACTATTTATGCAAAACTTTTACTGTGGGTAGGGACTTGTTAATCCAATTTATTTATGTTTTAGGTATGTATTTTAATGAAAGATATAATGTAATGAAAATTGGATCTTATCTTCAGTTGACTTATGAGTACTTGTAAGCGCATTATATTAATCTTCGATGGTGAGGTGGCAAACAAGGACGATGCTTTGAAGACGATACTGAAACCCGGCAGAACTATCCATGGGAACTTCCTTGACAATGCTGATCCTGATCTCCGCATTCCTGTATTTTTTTTTCAACTAACGCATATTTATGCTCAAATTATATATTAAATAAAAAAGTTTTTTATACAAACTAATTATTCATTTTTTCTGTGGGTGGGAATCTAGTTGCTTTAGAATCTTTTATCCTTTGCTTATTTTTTCTTAAACAAATTTCATCTTAAAACCATTATAACCTTACATTTATACTTAAGGCAGCTATAGAACATGTAGTCAAGGGATGGATAAAATGTTTAAAAAACCATCAATTAGGCAAAAAACCGTGAGATATACTCTAATTTTCCCCGATTCTTCCTTCGAAAGCTATAAGATATAGTCGTCCGATCGGCAAGGTATTCCAACTTGATTCGAAATTTTAACATATGTTAAGAGCTTTTACATTTCGCGAATGAACTGCATAGAATAGATTTCAAATCAGTCGATTTTTGGCAAATATTAATGATGTAACCCCTTATCAAAAATGCCAAAATCCGGAGATCCGGAAAAACCCACTTTTATTTCGATTTTTTGATCAAAACCATGGGAAATAATTGTCAGATGTTGGAATGCCATACCTCATTGAATTCGTTATAAAATTTCCAATCGGATGGCATTCACAGCTAAAAAATTTCAAATCAGTCGATTTTTGGCAAATATTAATGATGTAACCCCTTATCAAAAATGCCAAAATCCAGAGATCCGGAAAAACCCACTTTTATTTCGGTTTTTTGATCAAAACCATGGGAAATAATTGTCAGATGTTGGAATGCCATACCTCATTGAATTCGTTATAAAATTTGCAATCGGATGGCATTCACAGCTAAAAAATTTCAAATCAGTCGATTTTTGGCAAATATTAATGATGTAACCCCTTATCAAAAATGCCAAAATCCGGAGATCCGGAAAAACCCACTTTTATTTCGGTTTTTTGATCAAAACCATGGGAAATAATTGTCTGATATTGGAATGCCATACCTCATTGAATTCGTTATAAAATTTGCAATCGGATGGCATTCACAGCTAAAAAATTTCAAATCAGTCGATTTTTGGCAAATATTAATGATGTAACCCCTTATCAAAAATGCCAAAATCCGGAGATCCGGAAAAACCCACTTTTATTTCGGTTTTTTGATCAAAACCATGGGAAATAATTGTCAGATGTTGGAATGCCATACCTCATTGAATTCGTTATAAAATTTCCAATCGGATGGCATTCACAGCTAAATAATTTCAAATCAGTCGATTTTTGGCAAATATTAATGATGTAACCCCTTATCAAAAATGCCAAAATCCGGAGATCCGGAAAAACCCACTTTTATTTCGGTTTTTTGATCAAAACCATGGGAAATAATTGTCAGATGTTGGAATGCCATACCTCATTGAATTCGTTATAAAATTTCCAATCGGATGGCATTCACAGCTAAAAAATTTCAAATCAGTCGATTTTTGGCAAATATTAATGATGTAACCCCTTATCAAAAATGCCAAAATCCAGAGATCCGGAAAAACCCACTTTTATTTCGGTTTTTTGATCAAAACCATGGGAAATAATTGTCTGATATTGGAATGCCATACCTCATTGAATTCGTTATAAAATTTGCAATCGGATGGCATTCACAGCTAAAAATTTCAAATCAGTCGATTTTTGTCAAATATTAATGATGTAACCCCTTATCAAAAATGCCAAAATCCGGAGATCCGGAAAAACCCACTTTTATTTCGGTTTTTTGATCAAAACCATGGGAAATAATTGTCTGATATTGGAATGCCATACCTCATTGAATTCGTTATAAAATTTGCAATCGGATGGCATTCACAGCTAAAAAATTTCAAATCAGTCGATTTTTGGCAAATATTAATGATGTAACCCCTTATCAAAAATGCCAAAATCCGGAGATCCGGAAAAACCCACTTTTATTTCGGTTTTTTGATCAAAACAATGGGAAATAATTGTCAGATGTTGGAATTCCATACCTCATTGAATTCGTTATAAAATTTCCAATCGGATGGCATTCACAGCTAAAAAATTTCAAATCAGTCGATTTTTGGCAAATATTAATGATGTAACCCCTTATCAAAAATGCCAAAATCCGGAGATCCGGAAAAACCCACTTTTATTTCGGTTTTTTGATCAAAACCATGGGAAATAATTGTCTGATATTGGAATTCCATACCTCATTGAATTCGTTATAAAATTTGCAATCGGATGGCATTAACAGCTAAAAAATTTCAAATCAGTCGATTTCTGGCAAATATTAATGATGTAACTTATCAAAAATGCCAAAATCCGGAGATCCGGAAAAACCCACTTTTATTTCGGTTTTTTGATCAAAACCATGGGAAATAATTGTCTGATATTGGAATGCCATACCTCATTGAATTCGTTATAAAATTTGCAATCGGATGGCATTCACAGCTAAAAAATTTCAAATCAGTCGATTTTTGGCAAATATTAATGATGTAACCCCTTATCAAAAATGCCAAAATCCGGAGATCCGGAAAAACCCACTTTTATTTCGGTTTTTTGATCAAAACCATGGGAAATAATTGCCACAAGTTGGAATGCCATACCTCGTTGACTTCGTTATAAAATCGAGTGGCATTCACAGCTACAACATTTAAAATGTATTCTCCCACCTGAAAGCCCTAAAACACAATCCCAGAGGAAAACGAATTTTTTTTATGATATAAGATTATTTTTTATTTAAAACAATGTATATTATAAATAAATAAAGTATTTAGTTTTTAGATAAAATAAATGCCATGTGCTTATATTTAGAAAGATATTACCTTAACCTTATGGTAACTTTAACACTAATAATAATAATTTTATATAGGAGAAACTTAACTAATTTATTATTGCTGTTTCAGGTATAAGGTAATGGTAGTATTATTATTTATAGCTAACTTATGAGTACTTGCAGGTAAGCGCCTAATATATTTCTTTGTTGGTGAGCTGGAGAGCAAGGAGACGGCGACTGGTAAAACCTGGATATCCTTGAAGACGACACTGAATCTCGGACCCAATATCCATGGCAACTTCCCTGACAATGCTGATTCTGATCTCCTACCTACTTTTCTGTATTTAATTTAGATATTTCGATTCATAAATAAAAAAAATGTATAAATACTATTTATGCAAAACTTTTACTGTGGGTAGGGACTTGTTAATCCAATTTATTTATGTTTTAGGTATGTATTTTAATGAAGGATATAATGTAATGAAAATTGGATCTTATCTTCAGTTGACTTATGAGTACTTGTAAGCGCATTATATTAATCTTCGATGGTGAGGTGGCAAACAAGGACGATGCTTTGAAGACGATACTGAAACCCGGCAGAACTATCCATGGGAACTTCCTTGACAATGCTGATCCTGATCTCCGCATTCCTGTATTTTTTTTTCAACTAACGCATATTGATGCTCAAATTATATATTAAATAAAAAAGTTTTTTATACAAACTAATTATGCATTTTTACTGTGGGTGGGAATCTAGTTGCTTTAGAATCTTTTATCCTTTGCTTATTTTTTCTTAAACAAATTTCATCTTAAAACCATTATAACCTTACATTTATACTTAAGGCAGCTATAGAACATGTAGTCAAGGGATGGATAAAATGTTAAAAAAAAACCATCAATTAGGCAAAAAACCGTGAGATATACTCTAATTTTCCCCCATTCTTCCTTCGAAAGCTATAAGATATAGTCGTCCGATCGGCAAGGTATTCCAACTTTATTCGAAATTTTAACATATGTTAAGAGCTTTTACATTTCGCGAATGAACTGCATAGAACCAGTTTGGCAGATAAATATATTGCAGGCATAGGATATCCAAAAATTGATCCAAAATTAATTAATGGTTGTCAGTTTTGTTTAATTAAAAAAGCGGAAACGATTTGGCCAGTTTATTTTTCGGTCCCCCTTAAACCACAGGATACGAGCACTCATCGGCGATCAAACAGAAGTTCTGGCCGCGCGGCAGGCGGAAGTAGCCCTTCTCGCCCCAGGTGTCGTCCCAGGAGTTCTTGATGATCCAGTAGTCCTGGCCGTTCTCCGATCCGTAGCCCACGACCAGGATGGCGTGGTTGGGCTCGCCCTGGTTGCACTCGTTGTCGTTGTAGATGCCGCCCTCGTAGTTCTTGAGGGTCTCCAGGCCGTTCACGGAGCAGGCGACGGGTCCCAAGGTGCCCACCACCTTCTTCAGCTCCTCCTCGTCCTTGGGCGGAATGACGCCGAATCCTTGGACTCGGGCTGCGGCCTTGCTGTCGTCGTACTTGCACGTGTCCGTTCTGTCCAGGTAGGGATAGGTCTCCGCCTGCGAGACACCCTTCTGCACCTCATCGATGAAGCAGAAGGCGGCCTCCTGGAAGCCGCCGTCGCAGCCGTTCAGGCCGAAGTCCTCCGACGGACCGCAGTCCACCAGATTCTGCTCGGACAGATTGGGCAGCGTGCCCGTCTTGCGGAAGGTGTGGCCCTCGATGGCACCGGTGGTGGCGAATGTCCAGCAGGATCCGCAGGTGCCCTGGAACTTCACCGGGGTGACGCCTCCGTGCTCGCGCCAGTCGAAGGAGTCCGGAACGGGGGTTGGCGGCAGCTCCACCTGCTTCAGGCTGGCGGCAGCACGGGCCCTATGGATCAGAAGGTTATATGGGTTATACGATCCCAACTTCCGGAGGAAGAGATGTGGGCACTCACTTGGCCGCGGGGTTTCGCTTGAAACCGGTCAGCTGCTGCAGGAACTCGGCGTTGGTCAGATCGGCGAAGGCGTTCACCGCCTGCTTGAAGGTGGCGGTTCCTTGGGCGAAGGCCTGGTTTCCGGCATCCACCAGGTTCTTGGTGGCCGCGAAGGCTCCCTCGTGCAGAGCCTGATCGGCGGCGTTGAGGTACGTCTTACCAGATTGAGACTGCCAGATTGAAACTGCATTTTAGTATACCAATTGCTCTAGGGAATCCCTCTTCACTCACCAAGAAGTCACCGAAGCTCTGGACATTCGACAGCAGAGGCACCTTGGGCACCACGCTGGCAATGTTGCTCGCAGCACCCTGAATTGCGTTTGCTGCATTAGTTAGACCTCCGGCCAGTCCTCCCCCCAGTCCGTCTCCGAATCCACCCCCCAATCCACCCCCCAATCCACCTCCGCGTCTACCGCCGAAGCCAAATTGGCCAGAGACCGCAGCCACCAGCAGTGGAATAACCAACAGAAACTTCATTCTGATCTGCGAAAGAAACGATTGATTGATGGGTTAGACGAGGCGGTTCCAACTGGTTTCTCCCGCGAGTTACGTCAGATCTTTGCTAATTATTAATCGCACTTGATTGCCCGCGATGCTTATCGATGCAACTGAGTAATAGACACTACTTTTCCAGCGAATCATCATCGCAAGTACATCCCGATAAACTCACCTTACGCGTTCACACAGGCCACACAAATGTTTTTGGCTCGAGCGGCGGGCGGAGCTTATATAGCTATTAGACTAGTGGGTCTCGGACTATAAACTGGCCAACCTCGCCCCCACCGACCCAATCGGGTCCACAAATCCCCAGTCCAGTGGCTCGGAATTATACAGAAATCGAGTCGCTTGATTATATGTGCTATAACTGTTTTAATGTGTGCGATTCGACGATCCGGCGATCATCGCTTAGTGGTTTGGGAACTCGTCTTGCTTCATTAGCGCTACGCAAGAAGCCACTGAATATATAGGAGGACACTGAACAAATTAGAACTAAATCTAGTTTCGGCCAGATGAAGACTGAATACCCGAATACACGAATAATTAGAATATAAATCTTGATTATTTGGCTGTTATGTCAGCAATGATTACGCATTTGGGTGTTTATACCTTTTGGTGCATTGCAATTTTGTCGCACGGATTCTCAATCTCGTTTTTAATTATCACTTTTTTTTTATCCCTTTTCAAGCACTTTGTGATAACGTATCTTTCGGATCAGGAAAAACCGGAACAAATCGAAAACCAGTTGTTAAATTTAAGAAAATTTAATTTACACGAGATAATCTGTATCGGACAGGGGCAAAATATAATTAAAATAACAGAACACGCTTGTGTTCCGTTTCTACTTAATCAAAACCCCGTTAAGACAGGATCTTTGTTAATCCGTCCGATTATAAATCAAGCAAATTCAGCAATCTTTCTGGTCGGTGGAGTTGGGACTATGTTTTTATTGCCCCCCATTTAGGAATCCAGCCCCATTTACACACTAACATTTTCCATCCCACTTGATTTATGGTTTCATCTACGCAAATTAGTAATCATCAAACGGGAGTTATCAGTAAATAGGCTATAATCTCCAATTCGCAGAAGGGTTTCAAATGTAAATAAATGAACTTCTGCTGATGTTTCCCTTGGGGAATCCCCTCTTCTGTCTGGGAAAACAAGTTTGTTATCTAAATTAGGTGACTGTGGGTTAATTATGTCAACGCAACTGTGAATATTTATAACGTTTATATTTTTAGTTGGCATAGCGGCACATATGTTTTCAAAATAGAGGTAAATAAATTATATGACGTGTATATATTTTGTATTTGAATTTTAATAAATGTTAAAATCTTAAAGATGATATTGTAGCCAAGATGAACTCAGTCAGGTCGAAGACCCTCTACGGACGTAGCTGCTCCTTGGTTACCGTCACTTCCTCGCCCACTAGGAAAATTGATCGACTGGCGACTGTGATACAAGGGACCCTTTCCCTTTCGATCTTAATCTATCCATTAGCCCTTTATGGGTACGTAATTTAAAAATTGGTCATTTAAATTCAATAATGTTATAAAGTAATAAAGTAATACTACAATAAGCAGGTCATATTTATGTAAGGCGATTTGCGACCTCACAAAATTAAATTACACTATAGGATAGAAACACTCAGCGATGAAATGGCAAAGGCGGAATCGTCCCAAAAGTTCTTAACGATCCAGGACGTTCTTCGATCCGTAGCCCACGACCAGGATCGAGTGAATCAGTTCGTAATAGTAGAAACACAGGATACCCCCTATTAGTCACCACCTTCTTCATATCCTCCTCGTCTCCGGGGGAGAAGGTTGCAATTATCACCCTGCGACAGGTGCGATAAGTTTTGGTGAAAGCCTGTCCTGTTGCTCCTCCAAACCTACCAACTCCTCCTTCACCTCTTAAAAGTCCTTAGGATACCAGGAGCGGATAAATCAAAAAAAGTGTCATTTTGAACTGCCTCAAATAAAATTTAATGTAGGGGAGAGTCGAATACTGATTATTTAGCACAATCAAATCAAACTCTAAGTGTTGGCTTACTTGTTTTATATTTAAATATATTCATTGCATTATTGGCACATAAATTATTGCTTTAAATTAGCACAGTTAATCCCATTTTAACACATATTATGCATTTTGTGAAAACGTAACGTTTTTGAGATGACCGGAAGCGATCGAAAACTGGTTTTTAATTGATGTCAATAAAATATTATGGCACACACGATTTTTTTCGAACTTGACAAGTTAAGTTAATCCAAGTAATACGAACAATGTTTACTACACATACAATCAAATATATGATAAGTAATAAAATCAAAAATGCATGTTCGAATATTCTTAGTATTACACCCGTTCGAAACAATCCTTTTTTACCTAGAATACTTAGTAAATGTAATTTGAATAACCAACTTAAGAAATATTAGCTGAAATGATTGCCATTTTCTTCAAGATTACTTTCATTTTTTTAATCAATATTATTATACAAATTAGACTTAATGGTATTAACACAAAACATAATATATATTTTATAACGAGTCAACTTGCTTTAGATTAGCACAAAGGGTTTAACATTTTGCATAGTTCTACAATTAGAATTTCTAGGTATTACTAGGAGGCATCTATCCGCTCTTGCGACGTCTAATCTGCCCGTTTCGCGATTCCTGGGCTTCGTGAATGGGCGTGGCCTCCGGCAGGAAGATAATGGGCTTGCTCAGATCAATCGGAGGAGATGCCCAGTTTCTGGTCATAGGAAAGCGCTGGAATAAACACAAATCAAAAAAATATATTTGTAAATGGTAACAAAACCAAGAAAAGATAATAGTTGAACATTATCATAAAGGAGATAGGGTACTCACCCCACTGGGTCCGTTTGGAGATCCATGCCCAACCTGGGGAAGAGCCAGGGAAAGAGCCAAAGTGGACAAAAAGGTAAGGACCAGGATTACTTTCATCGTGACTTCAAATGGTAATATGGTTTTCAAGGCAACTGTTTGGCTTGCACTGATTCTGGATCCCGACGGTATTCCCTTATATAATCCCGCCAAGTCGGAACTTTCTCCAGCAATCACTTCCTGGACTTCCGGATGTGTGCGCAACTGAATCATTTGTGCACTCGAAAGTCTGGCTGTTTAAAAATAACCCTCACATCGGGCACTTTTGCTTTCTGGAGCCGCCGAAACCCCCAGAGATTCATCCGTATCGGGGCATTCCCAGTTAGCAGTTACTTACTGTTCTCGGCCATTCTTGGTGTCTTGGTGTCTTGGGGAGCAGAAAAAAAAAAAGCCAAGAGTCCAAGAACCGGAGAACCAAAGAACCAAAGAACCTTTTTTATATTCGTTCGTTGGACCCTGCTATACATTTCAAGGTTGTCTTGGCATCTGCTGCTGCTGCTGCTGCTGGCATATACCATATATGTATGACTGCGTGTATATATGGCTGTGTGCTTCTTTCATTAACCACTCTGGGCAACAACAACGCAACATCAGTCAACAGAACTTCAAACGAAGTCACTCGTCTGCGCATGCGCGAAGGTGGAGCTCAACATGAAGATGGAGATGAAGCCGAGGATGGAGCAGCAGGTGGGCAGGAGGAGGCGGAATGGGATGGGTTGGGATGGGATGGGATGGGGGAAGGGTCTTGGCCAGGGGCCCCTTCTGGATCTTCTGGTTAATGTGAGCTCGCTGTTGTCGTGGTACGTCTACGTCGCAACTCCATCTCCATCCCATCCCATCCCATCTTCATCTTCATCCAATTGTTGAACGACACCGACCGACACACATAAAACTTGATGTGATGCGTCTGCGTCTGCGTCTCGGAGTCCTCTTTAAATTAAGAAAGATGATTTGCAGATTTGAATGCAGACACGGACATGGACACGGGCAGCGTGATGTAAGCCCACCGAGGAATTTATTTATTCTTTGGCCGCTGGCCTTTGTGAAGCGTAGAGTGCAATAAAATTCCACGGCTCACACTTGAGTTTTATAGCCCTAGCAGTTAATTTACTATTATTGGCTTTCATCTTCGTTTCGACTAAGCCAAATAAATCCCCCAGACTGGTTTATGATCTGTGCTTAGGCCATGGTCAAGCTCGAAAGCGAGCCGTTATGAGATATAATAGTAGTTATTTCGGAGATGGTTCTTAGGATTAAAATCTATTATTGGAGATTTTACTGTTTCACCAATGATGGTAAAAGGAACTTAAGAGCCAATCATTTTGGGGGTTTTTCCATGGAAGTGGTTTGAGTTTTACTAACACATCGAGTATGATTGACAGTCCATTCAACTTGGCCAACTTAGTTCTTAGAACCTAGCCTGAAACTCCATCTAAGCCCATCAAAGATTTAAGCCATCTCCATTGTTAAATACTACCAATTTATTTACTTATTACGTTTATTAATCAAGAGTTTCCTTTTTTGTGGTGGTTGTCATACAATTAAAGCATACAATACATATATAATTATATATAGATTAATGTCTTAGCTCCGTTAATCTCTCGCTGGATCGTTAATTTCAGCGGGGTCATCCGGTGGCCACCAGGTCCTCAGAGAGAAGCGTCATTTTCGGACATGTCCGGCCGGCTCTCGAAAATGGCCATTCCTCAGTGGAACCCGGTGGTCCCCGTGGGAAGACCCCCAGACCCAAACACACACACATCTTAGGCTAGTGGCTAGTGTCCGCGAGGACATGCCTAGTTGTTGGCCGCCAGTGGCTTGCCCAGGACACGCATGGCATTGGAGTAGTCCGAGTCGATCTGCGGGATGATCTGCTGCTCGTTGGGCCGCAGGGTCCGTATCAGATCGTTGAGCGACAGGGAGGATTGCGGGGTCAGCTCCTCCTTGGGCTGCAGCTCCTGGGAGCTGGCCATCTTCTGGAAGTCCTGGGCGATCTGCTTGATGCGCTCCTCGATGGCGGCAGCCGGGGATTCGGTGGAGCTGGGCAGGGCCAGTGGCAGGGGCAGTGGTTCGCTGGCCTCAACGGGAGCCACCTGCGACTCGTTCTCCGCCTCGGTTTCGCCCTCAGCCTCCAGCTCGTGCTCCCCATCCGCCTCCGAGTCGTGCTGCGAACTCTCGTTTTCCTCCGCCGCCGGAGCAGCTGGTGCGACATCCGAATCCGAATCCGTATCCGCACCCGAATCATGATCCTGGTGCTGCAACTGCTGCTGCACCTCCTCAATGGAGTGCATCTCGGGGTGCAGTTCGTTGTCGCTCAGGGGGAACACGTGCTCCTTGATGTCGCCATCGCTGTCGTTGCCCAACTCGCGGGCATGGTCTCCAAAGTTGTCGCCCTCGTGCTCCTCCTCGCCCTCGCCCTCCGCCTCGTGGTCGTCGTGCTCCTCGGCCTCCACATCCGCCTCCTGGTCCTCCACGTCCACATCGGCGGCATCGGTGTCGGGCAGCGAGCGGTCGTGGTTCAGCTTGAAGGACATGAAGGATGGCTGCTGCTGGGAGCTGGAGTCATCGATCAGGCGGTGGCCCACGGCTGGCGAGGACTTGGCCTTGGCGGCGGTGTACATGGCGCCACTGGTGGACATCAGCAGGGGCAGTGGCGTGGTGGTGGCGGCCACATGCAGGTTCATCAGGGAGGCGGGGGTCCTTGGGGTGGTGGAGGTGATGGGACGTCTGTGTTTTTGGAGATGGGAAAGACAGAAGCAAAATAACGAGATAGGTTCAATTTAAGTTCTGTGTGATTCCTGGGCGGTTCGGGGGCGTGGTTAGTGCGAAAGTTGCTTAGCCTAAAGTTAGTTAGTTGAACACAATTCATCATGACAACATCAACAACAACGACAGCAACGAGGGCGATACAACATCTAAGGAAGCTAAGCCCCAAACCACCAAACAAAATACGTTTTTTGGCGCTCATTTGGAATAGAACACAAAAGTCAATGCAATCCCAAGGGAGTTGGTGAAATCGGATACCATAATATTGGCATTTCTAACTTGAAATCTTTATAACAGCATGTAATATTGTTTTGTTTCTCTACTAATATGTTTCGAACATTTTAAGGATATTTTCGAAAAGATTCTTTTGAAACTGTATGATTATGTTTTGAAAATAGCTTTTCCTTGAGTTTTGTTTAAGTGTTGCATTTGAAACAGTATCAGAGATTGCATTAACTTTCTTTGTTTTGGTCATCCCATTGGCGTCTACAAGGTAATGTTCTTTTTGTCGACATTTGTAGATCTTAAAAATTTCAATCGGGATTGAAACCAATTTTTACGGCTTGGTTTATAGAACTTGGAGTGGCGTTAGTAAGAAGTCGCATTAGTCTTTAGATGTACATATGCAAATAGGTTGTGTGTGTAAATATGGTAGATTGGTTACGATTTGGGGTTTAGCTCACCTATTTGTTCATTCTTTTTGCAAATTCTGTTTTGGGAATCGAAATCGGATTCGCACTCTGTCAATGTGTGTGTGGGTGTGTATGTGTGAGTGTGTGTGTTTGTGGTCAACTAAAGTACTTGTGTTTAATCACATTATCCTTGCGTAATCTCTTGATCTGGGTTCTGTTCGAGTTTTAGTTCATATCTGGTATAAATACGTGTGTTTTTTTACTTAATTAGGGACATTTGTTTAATTGCCACTGGAGGGCAGCTCGTATAGCGAATTAATTAACGTTAATTATAGCATAATTTGTTTATTGCATTATCAATATTCTTAGTTCCTCCTCCAATCAGTGCTCTTAATATCTGTTCGATTTGCGTGTGGTTGTGTGGAGTTGTGGAGTTGTGTGGAGTGGCTCCGCGGTCAAGTGTCCTTACCCCTGCGCCGACGAGACGGGGATGCTGCCGTAGTTGTAGTAGTAGCAGCGGGTCTGCTCGCAGATGAAGTCCTTCACGGCCGAGCAGTCCTCGGGCATCCACTTGAGCGTGGGCTGCTTCAGGATCACGCATCCCTTCTCGGCGCCACTGCTGCTGTAGATTGGATTACGGGGAGAAAAAGGATATCGATGTAGATGGGTATAGTTCGGAGGCCAGAGGACACAGAGAAATAATCACATTGGCAGATTGCACTGTCTCTATAATAGTAGAGTGTAGAGTCATCTTTTATGACTAGACATTATAAACATATCTTTCAATATATGTATTTCGAGACAGCATAATAAGTATACAAAAAGAAACTATATATATATATTTTTTTTTTTTGTAAGTTCATTATGGCAGTTAAACTGTACAATTGAACTAGGAATATCAAATACTAAACAAATAAATTCTATCGTAAACATTTCCTGTTAGATTCTGTCTACCTTTTTTATGGCCAAAGATAAGCTAGATCTGTTCCAAATTGATTTCTTCTCTGTGTACTATTTGTTCAGGACTACTTACCTGTCGCGAGCGGTGCGCTGGGGAGAGGTGTTGCTATTATGATCGACGGGATCGAGCAGACCGGCCTGAATGGCGTCCGCCGAGTTCTCGAAGAAGTCGAAGGTGGCGTTGAACGGCAGACCAGTGCTCATCCATAGGAACATGCCCGTGCCCAGGCGATTGCCGGAGGTCCAGAAATCGTAGTTGCCGTAACCGGCGTTCTTCAGATACGTGGTCATCGACTCGGCCTTCTCCTTCGTCTCAAAGGAGGCCAGTTGCAGGCCCAGGGAACGGCAGTACTGGTAGGCCAGGAAGTAGTTGAGCTCCGGGGAATAGGGATTCATTCGGCTGATGAAGTACTGCACTCCGTCCAGGTGGATCGTCGTGATGCGTTGACCTGATGCAATAACAGAAAATGTTTAAAGTTCATGAACCAATTCTATACTTTTTTCTGGTAAAACCGAAGATGAGCAAACTATTAGCCAAGTTCACAATAGGTGAACGAACCCACCTATATTTGTGGATTCCGAACGCAATTGGAATCGCAATGCGTAACCGAGACAGCGAAAACGGTAACGGTTTCAACTGCGGACATCGCATGCGTAATCGCAGAAACATCATTAAATGGGATTACCAAAAAAGTGGCTAGCCATCGTTTTCGGCCCCACTCCATAAAAACGAAGAACAAAACTTTGGACCCCCTAAATTGGACGCGTGATTCATGATGATGATGATGATGACCAGGAGCATTTATGCGGTCCCTGACCTCTGGTAGCTAATTACACGAAATCCGAAATGGGGAATCAAGGTGCTGATGACATTAATTAGCCCGCTGGTCAGCCCGAAATGGAGACGAAGAGAAGAATCTTATGTAATCGCTGACCCGAGAAGTAAAGTAAAGCGAAGAGAAGTCTGCGATGCTGGAAACAATGCAAGATGACAGTGACTTTGAGTTTGGATTCGGGTTCGGGTTCGGGATCGGGGCAACAGGTAGCCGAGGGACAAAGATCTTGGCCCTCTCGAAAAGTATCTGTGTACACAAAACCATGTGTGTGTGTGTTGGCCCTTACAAAGCGGCTCAAAAGATAAACACAAATACCAGTACTTTGTTTTCCCACTGACTCAACGAACCCTCTTGGACACTTGGCCATTTATGGCACTTGTCGTGGATGGACATTGGATATGGGATATGGGATATGGAACATATAGGCAGGGGCCTAGACATCAAGAGAGTTTCAGTGTTTGAGCACACACACATCACCCAGTGTGTACTCTGCTCGTATATGAAATTATTTCCGGCGATTTAAATGCAAGACACACACGAAGCCAAGTCAAAGTCTTTGCCCGATCAGACTGATGATAGACGAGTCGTGGCGAAGATTTATGAATGAAAAGATTTCGGGGGAATTTATTATGCGACTGACGAGCTGAGATTTCCATCTGCCTAATAAGAATAATGACCACGCCATGATGGGGAGAAGAAATTCTTAAATTTCATTTTAATGGGGCAATTTTAGATTGGAGCTCAGGGGATCAGATTCAATTCAATCATTAATTCCCCCAAATGAATCCAGCTCGACGGCGAAACTAAATCGGATTCGAAGTGGAAGATAGTTCTCGCCACTTAGCCAGAAGATAACGAGCCCCGTTCCACTTGCAGTTAATTTGACACTGACTCTGGACGTGAATTCGACTTGGAGACCAAGATCGGGATCGGGATCGGGATCGGTATTGGGATAGGAATCGGGATAGGAATCGGGATCGGGACAGGTAACCCCATAATTGGGCAACACAGAGCAGAACCAGAGAACCGAAGAACCCAAGTTCCCTGCAGCTCTCGAGCACCATAATTTCCGAAGGTAATTACGCTTGGCCAGCGATAGATCGCGAATCTAGCACGTCTCTAATGATGCAGTCAAAGTCAATGGTAGTGTTTGCCGGGACTCTGATGGGGACGCTGATGCCATTGCCGGAGGATGCGGCTAAGTCTAGTTATTTGTTGGCACCTAACATCCCTCCGGCCAGTTAGCAGTCAAATCATTATAATGGAGATGGCGACTGGGATAAGCAGAGGGAAATTGATAAAAAGCCTGTTCGGTGGAATCGGGAACGGGAACGGTAACAATTCTGGTGGGTAATCGATGAGAGGAGAACTGAAGACCGGAGAATCGATGCAAAACACCGAGCAGGCTTAATGACTGCGACTCTGATTCGAAAATAATGATGGGAATGCAACGTTCGGTTCGCCGGAATCTCTTTCTTTCCTCGTTTTTCAGGCTTGGCTTGGCTGGATAATTTTTTGCAGTTCTGTGGAACTTCTTTTGTTTACTTGTTAAATGGGAGAGGGTTGAAGTAATAACAGAGGTTTCTTGGAGATTGAATTATCATTGATGGACAGAGGTAAGCCGCCAATTAGCAAGGCATTTAGAGAAACGGCGGACAAAAACTTAATTATTCCATCTTTTCAAGTTCTGAGAACAAGCTTAATTTGGTTGGCTTTTAAACAAGGTCTGCTCTTATACAAATAGTCTAAATGTTGTATGTCTTTTTCTAAGATTCTTTGCAATTAAAAGAACACTTTAAACTAAAAATAAAGAAATTGGAGTTCTTTGTTTATTAGTTACTTAGAAAATTTAATGTCATTATATTTGAACAAATACAGGGATTTTAATTAATTAAATTAAGAATTCAAGCCAAACTCTAATACCTGAATTAACATTTATAATAATGTCTAGGAGTTTTCCAATAAATATCCGAATAGTAATGTCCGAAAATGTTGAACGGCTTTTTTAAAACTTGTAACTTATGCATAATTCTCTTGAAAACTTTAAAGAACATAACAAAACTTTTATTAACAAAGGTTTCGTCTCGAAAATCCTAGTGAGAACTTCATTAAAATCCCTTTCAAGTAGGCATCCTTTTAATAGAACACCCAAACAAATAAAATTAACCAAAAGTCTTGTAAACACTTAGAAAATCATTTTCAGGACCGACAAAATTTAAAATTGGGAATTCCTGCAGGGTAATCAATCAAATTCAGTGAGTTTACTAACCTGCAGCGCATGCCAAGAGGCTCAGCAGGCAGAAGAGAACGATTTTGGCCATCTTTCCTTCGGTTTGTTCGATTGTTGGGAGCGCGGAGCACTTTCTGATTGCCACTGGCGACGATCGGGGAATACGAATGGGATTCGCGCGTTCGAGGTGGCTCTAAAAGAGAGTCTGGAGTTTGGAGTTTGGAGTTCAGCACTTCACGTCGCGTTCACTGCAAGCCTTCGTCGTCGACTGATCGCTCAACTGATCAGGCCAATATCACGCAGCCGCGAATGTCCGCCAAGAAGTCGGGAATCGGGAATGGAATGGAATGGGAAGCCAAGAAGCCGAAGAAGCCAAGAACAACAACGATCAGACTCGCTGCTTCCAGAACGTCAACGATTCCAGTTCCAGTTTCCTCTTCCAGGTACACTCACACTTAAACAAGCAGATACGGATACAGATACAGATTTGGAGGCAGCGACTTGTGTGTTAATCCTTGGATCCCGAAATTGGAATTGGTAATTGGAAGTTTTAGATCCGCCGAGCTTCTGTTCTGGCCAAGTTAGCGCTGGTAAATGTCGGCTGGTGCCGAAAGCAGTTAGCTTAAGAAGGAAATCGCTGGCTGGAAACGGGAAAAGACCGTGGTAAAGAAAAGAAAAGAAAGAAGAAATAGCCGAATCGGACAGAACCAACTATTTGCTTATTTCATGGATGTGATTGGAAATTGGCCTCGCTCTGCGTGCGTGTGTGTGTGTGCGTGTGTGTGAGTTCTTCCTGTTGGCCGTGGTGTGTGTGAGCCAAAGTCAGTGCTAGACAAAGAGCGCAATAAACCAAAGGCACACAAAAGCGGGCCCAAACCGAAATATCAATGCACGGAGAGAAATTCGATAAAACAATTTTAAGATACAAATTATTTGATTTCAAGTTTTAATTTAGATGTAATCCCAAAACCATATTTATATTTAATTAATCTACAAAAGGTTACAGCGTTGCTAAGATGAAAACAAGTTTGGGTAATTTGAAATCACTTTAAAAAGCAGTCTTAAAGCATGTTTCCGCACTTAATACTTATTGTGACATACTTTACTTGGTCTTAAATCGATATGGTATCTAACAGATACAATGTAGAGTTATTGGAATCTCAATAACAAAAATGATTGTAATAAACTTTATTTAGATTTTGTTTTACTAGATACTGGTAGTCTTCGCTTTACAATAAAATTATTTCCATACTGCGAGGTAGACCCTACTGCCTTTTAAAAATAAAACAAGTTGGGGAAGCCCGAGTTTACGAGTTGTATTCAATAGATACAACGGGTTGGGAAACTTTGAGATAGGTACATAGCTGGTTTTTTTCCCAGTGCCTACTAACACCTATAAACTCACTGCACGTAGCCGTCATCATTCCAATGGGAGTCGGAGCCGCGGCCGACTGCGCTGCCGACGTCGGCGTCCTCGGAGTCATCGCAGTCCATTGTTAGTTTTATTCTTTCTCCCACAACGACGCTTTGGTTTTAGGTTCTTTCTGCTGCTCTTTCCTCGTCTTCGCTACAGTCTTACCTGAAGGGCTCGCTGCACGTTCTTACCCCCTCCCCCTCCCTGCGGCCGAAGCCCCCTATGCAGACCCACCCCCACTGCCCCGCTTCCACTTCCATGAACCCAACGCAATGTGGTTCCATTTCCATTAATTTGGTACGCTATCGCGACGAAGAGTCGCCCGTGGAACTCGCCGCTTTCTGCGGTTTTCAGTTTTCAGTTGGCTCTTTTACTTATTTTTGCTGGAAGCGTGAAATGTAATAATGATCTTCTGCTTTGCATTTTGACAATTTTTCTTTTTTCTGCGGGTGCCAGCCACAAAACACGAACTTACACTCCCTCTTTTTTCCACCTCCGTCCACCGAAAAATATGATAAATGTGTGCATGTGTAATTAAAGGCATCTTCTTGGCTTCTCCCTCTCTGTTTTAGGCTTCTGGCTTGGAGCTTTATAATTAACCTTAGAACTTGGTGAAGGATAAATATTGGTTTAATGATTATTAATAACCGAAAGTTTTAAGTGGATTAGAAGAAATTGGCCACCAATTAGAAACGTAGGACTGAAATAGAGGACTTTACACCGGGAAAAACTAGATTTAGCATCTTACTTTTATAAAATTATTTAAGATCAGATATTTTAAATCAATGATTTAAGGACAGATATTTATCTTAATATTGATTGAACAAATTGCACGTTATTACTGACAATACTTTATTATTTAAACGACTCATAATCTTTTTATTTTTGACACCAACTGTTATTGTGCCATTATGTAGGTATCGATAATTTATCCCTGCTTCAACGGCTTGTGGAGAACTCCCTTTATCACTTGTATTTAATTCAGGCTTAATTCTAGCTTCACCAATAGTTAATCCCATTGGTCACATCGCTCGATCGACGGTCGCAGGCTATAATTATGTACGCGTTGGCGAAGTGATTAACAGTCATGGGAAATGAATTGGCCGCAATTTCCCAGTTGGACGGTGGAGGATGTGGAGGTTGCTGGATCGGTGGTTTGGGTGGTGCAGCTAAAAACCTGTGCGTGCCCATTGCAATCGAAAATTCTATCGCAAGTACAACGCACCAAGATTTTGGCCCTTCGTTTGGGCTGGCTTTTTATTGGTAAAACTGCCGCCGGGTGGACGTCGACTTTGACTGCGACAGCGACGCACAGTGGAGCTTAATGTGACCGACGCGGCTGCTAGTCGGACTCCTTGCAATCTGGATTTTCCATAAGGATGCGGCGGAAAAGGGGGAGGGGGTGGGGCGGCTGTTGGATGGCCTTCGCCTTTAACAGCATTCATCCATCTATACTCGCGGCTGAGGCTGCTTCTTCTTAGCTTGATCTTTTGATCCTCACCATTTGTATTTGTGTGTGGTGTTGCACTGGGAAAAAAATACATTTGTGCCTTAATTCGGTAAAGTTTTCAATCAATTTTAAATATTACATAAATTTCTCTTCCTACTATCTCATTAAAATTATCTAAGTGTAATAAATAATAAGTGTCAGGATAATGTATCCTTAAAATGAGATAGGCTATTCAGGCTATATATATTTTGAATTTGATTTTACTTGTGAAACATTTCAAACAATCTCTGCGTGGTTTTTTCCTGTGTATGGGTGTTACTGGCGTCGTCGCTGTCGTCTTCTTCTTCTTATTCTGGCCGCCTCCCCCTACTCTTCCTCTTCCTGCCCCACCTCCTGTTCCCATTTCATTGCTAGTTGCTGTTCTTGTTCCTGTTGCTTGTTGTTTTTCGTCTAAAAATAAACTCGGCACCAGATTGAGGAATTTAATTCGCCTTTTGGTAGAAATCCTCGACTTTGGTTTTTGCCAACGGACTTTGGTTGCCTCTTTGGCTTTCCCCCTCCTTCCTTCCCTCTCCTTTCGTCCTCTTTGCTCTGCTTTGCCCCTGTGTGCGTGAGTGTGTGCGTGTTGCTCCTGTGTATCCACATCCATTTTGGCGTCAAGTTTAGCGATGATGCTGATGATGACGACATGGACAAGGCATCTAGCTTAAAGTGTACAGAAAGAAATAGAGATAAAGGAGGATCCAATTTTATATCAATAAAAAAACAAAAAAGTTATTAAGCTGTGACTTAGATGCATTACAATGTAGTTTATTTAACTAGCTTTCTGAGATAACCATCTGAATTTGAAAGAATCTTACAAGCTTAACCATGATAATGTTTTGAAAAATGGAGACATGCATATCGACATTTTTTTCTGTGTAGAAGAGCAACCAGGAGTTGGAGCACTAATACACACTTTTTCCGCTTGGGATCAAAGGATTAATGTGAATCGGGTTTCGCGGCCTGAGAAATGACACTGAGATATTCTTTTGAGGCGGACTTCGCACATTTCCACTTGCCTGCGTTCTAATTAGAATATCTTTGTGATCGGATGGCCCGAGTGGCATTGGGTGAGTGTCCTTGGCGGTACGAAGGTCATCAGCATTTGGATCGGGGGTCACATTGAACACACACATTCACACACACTTGGCACAACTGTCGTGAGGGCCCAGCCCACAAAATAGCAGGAACATGATCAGCAAACCGATCAGGACCCATCCAATCCACTCCCCTCCACTCCAATCCAATCCGATCCGATCCTAGTCCAACCCATCCTATCCCATCCGTTCATGCATAAATTCATGTCCGATTCCCACTCCCCCTTTCGACTGCCATGAGTCATGTGCATTTATAATAAACTTATTAAAATATGCACAAATGAATGCCAGGTTTTCAATAAATGTTTTCCAGGTCTTTCGTATGCGAAATTATAGAGCAGATGGGGCGTATAAGACTAAGATAAGCTGACGTGAACAAGTTCAAGTTGAAAGAATTCCAAAACTAAACGTTTTTAAGCTTTAAAAATATGTTTATAAAATAGATGAATGCAGTTAATGTCGACTAATACTAATGTGTTCAAAAAGAAATTAAATATGGTTTCACATGATCTTCTAATTTTCCAAGCAAACTGCCGTTTTTATTGCTTTTAAATCATTGTTTGGACCAAAGAAAGGGGAAAACATGGTAACCCAATGATCCTCCCACCTCCTAGCAATTGGCCTTCTTCGTCTGATTCTTGCCCGTTCGCCTTGACCATAACCATATCAACGGTAAATAATTTCGATCACAGCGCAATGAAGCTGAAACGAAACGAGAAACGAAACCAAATGAGCACTGGCCGGAGGATGGAGGATGGAGGCTTGGATTTGGATGGGGCTAAGATGGCGATGGCTAACTGGCAATCAAAGCGGATGAGGAAGAATTGGGGACAACGAAGAGGACCATGGAGGAGGAGCTGCTCTTCCTTCGGCTGTTGCTTCACGTCATTTCAGATTCCATGTCAAAAGGTGAAGCCAATTCAACGTTTCTGGCGAACTGGGCAACAAAATCACGACCGAAAAAAGCACAACAACAGGAATAACTGGCAACAATGGCAACCTAACCGCATCAACACGAAACTCACATCTCGGGGGGACTTCGGCGCGGGTTCTCGGATGATTTCCACTAATTTGTGAGTCGCGCAACTCATTGACCCATGCATGATCTGCTTCCACTTCCATTTCCCCAACACACAGCGATTCCCATGTCTCAATTCGATATAGAACAGATGCCAGATACCCGGATCGCTGGTAATGCCCGAACAAATGGCGCGCGATCTTCTCCTATTCTCATGTCGCTAATACGGCCATTAGACCTAAACGGTTGGAGCTTGAACTTAAAGAGTGGGTAGAGGAGTGGGTACGAGCAATGAGCAGGAAACCAAGAAGCATTCTTAATGAAGGGAATCGAATAGAAATGAAATGAAAGAAAGACGGAAGTAGACTTTTATGTGCAGACACACCGCCCGGCCAAAAGATTATGGCCAAGTTAGAACGGGCAGTGAGTGGGGTTCATTTGCGAAATTGAAATGCCACTGCCAACCTTCATGCGGGAGTGGATGTGGATGTGGGTGTGGATGGGTTCAAGAACCTCTCTGAGCCATGACTAACTGAATGACTGATAGCCGAGTACCAGGTGCCGACTGTAGCGTGGTGCCGCGCAAAGTGCCCGATTCTGCACTTGACCGCTGTCCGAACCCCAGACGCGGTATATGGGGCCACATAATTACATGCCAGCTCCCGCTGACCCGCCCCTTTTCCCACCCCTCCACCACCTTCCACCCACAGAGAGAAAAGACTGGGAAAGTTCCGCTCATGTTTAATGCCTAACTTTTCCGTAAGAACCCCTACACCACAGCCCTTCTACCAACTTAAATGTCTTTTATGTCAATCAAAGAAAGGGCGTCTATTGTTAATTAAACATCCATTACAAAATCACAGCAATATTACGTTTTTAAAATAGCAAAACCTTTAAAAACACCTGCAAACAAAATAAATGGATATTAATAACTACTCTTTTGATGATCAATAAATAACATTGCTAATTTTAAGATCACTTAAATAAAAATATAAACCATTTTGCACAAACTAGTTTATTCTATTGAAAAATCTTTACAGGATAATCAAGAGATGAAATGTTAGCAATGGTAATACGTAACTTACAATTCTTATGTATACAAAAGTTCTTGAAACAATAATCTATTATTTTCCCTCAGTGCACTCATTTCTGTGGCCAAATGCCGACAGCAGATTGTGTTTGTGTCGCCTACGATCGAGTTGGGCATGGATGTGGATGTGGATGCGGATGTGGATGCAATGTGTGTGCATATCCATGATGTGTATGTGCTTCTCACGACAGCAGCAGCCTGGAGCTGGAGCTGGAGCTGGAGATGGAGCTGGAGCTGGCTGTGAAGCTGGAACACGCCGCCAGTAGCAGACATTGGGGCCAAAGCCAAAGCCAAAGCCAAAGCTAAAGCCAATGGCCAACGGCGAACGGCTGGAGCCCGAGGGGAATCGAGGGGAAACGGCGATGCAGGGGCGGCAAACACGAGCTTGATGACTATTATGTGGGCAGAGGTCGGCGGGGTCGGTGCGCCGTGAACTTCTCATGAAAAGCCTAACCATGGGGAATTTAATAGTGCTTAGCACCAGCAGAAGACAGCCGAGAACGAGACCAGAAGCCCGGAGACTCTAGACCAGAGACCAAGAGACCAGAGCCCCAAGACCGAGATACCGATACAGATACAAATGCCGATTGGTAGCCTTCATTTGGCAGGCAATTACGGAAAGCCACAGAAGTGGAGTCATGCTGGTAGCACCTGGCCATATGATCAGTCAAAGTCAGAAATGCTGTTGGGCGATGGCACGATTAGTCTTTGAAAACTTAAATTGTGTTTGTCTAAAATGTATAAACAATACTAATATCAGGACTATTCAGGATTCCTATTGGTGAATCCTCTTGATTGTAATCTGAACACAGAGCACCCTAAGATTGATCCTTCTGGATCACATATATTTAAATAAAATCTATAGAGAATTAAACCCCAAAACTTAATTGGAATTCACGAAATTCTAAAGCTCGCAAGCTAATCGCTCAAAATAATCAAATCTCTGTTGTCAAGACTAACTAACATGTACAAGTATGATCTCAGGCACTTTTGTTTGTATAGAAAAGGTCACTGCTCAGAACACACTTAATCGCTGATCTGTGTTCTGAGCGATTGCTCAGTGAGAAAAACAGAAAGCGAATGTTAATGATAATGATGCCCCATGGAGAGGCAGGTCGTTTTCTTTTCCATTTCGCATTTACTCGAAGACACGGTGACGAAAGTACAAAAAGGTGAGTAGCAGGAGGGGTTCAATCAGCAAGTTGCAACTCGAGTTGGACAGGTGCTTCTCCTGCGGCATTTGGCGGTCCTCCCGTTCCGGATAGACGACCTTGTGCTCCTGCAGATATCGGATGAGCGCCATGCGGTCAAGGATGGTCAGATTTTGGACTTCCGGGCGCTTGGTATCGATGAAACTGTATCCCTCGCCGCCGTTCAACAGAAAGGAGGTGAGTATCACGCCGTAATATTTATCGGTCTCAACGTTCTCGTAGTGGGGAATCTGGCAGGCGGAGCACAGGGCCTTGATCTCGGTGATCCTTTCGCCGTTCGGTCGACTGTGGTTGAACTTGAGCCGAAGTCCCGAAACCTGAAGGAAGGCACCGGTCACCTGCTTGCTCCGCAATTGGGCCGAGTGCTCCAACGCCTTCATCAGCTGGTTGCCACTGATCCGAGTGTAGAACATATCGTGGCTAAACGGAAGTACACTCACCACATCAGCCTCGGTGATGACTCCCGTTTCCCCGGGATCGATGGATGCTCTAATGGCTAGGATTCGTTTAGGGAAGATTTATCACGAACCAAGATACAATCACTCACCTCCTGCATTAATGATCCCTATGGGGGCATCTGTCCAGGAACTTCTGTCCGTCATGGTTTCCAGCACCCGGGCATAAACAAAGCTATCTGCAATTAAGTTACCAAAGTTGCACTCCCCAAAGCCGCAGCTTTTTCTATCGCCATTCAAATAGACCGAGGTTGTGCCCACCACATGGCGCTCCATATCGTCGATCACCTCGCGATACTTAGCCAGAAAATTCTGCACATCTTTTCTGGGCTGAAAGTGGTTGTCCAATAAAATGGGTTTTCCCTTGAAACTCAGCAGATTACCACCTTTGTCGAACTGAAAAACAGAGAGGGATTGGGAAGTTAGAACCGATTTAGATGCGAGTACCATACTTCTAGCGAAAGGTTTCCCATATATTTGGTATAAGCGTAGGCCTGGACAACAGGAACCCTCCGACCATCAGGCTTGACCACTATTGTAGGATAGGGACCTTCTGGAACATCATTACTCGGAGCTTTGCCGGTGTACAGAAAAGTGTGCGACTGACCACCCACTACTACGTCCACATCTGGACAACGCTTGGCAATCTCCCTATCCTTTTCATAGCCCGAATGACCCAAGGCAATGATTATATTGATTCCCAGTTCCAGCAGCTTCTTGGTCTCTATGCTAAAAGAAGGGGAGTTGTGTGTTTGGGGTGAATTAAATTAAATATAATATATATTCTTTCTTACTTTATAGCGGACACCTCTTGCTTGTATATCACGTTGTTGGGCTGAGTACGCTCCTTGGTATCCGTTCTTATATAACCCACAATGCCGATCCTACGATTACCCTTCTTTATAACCGTAGATTTCACTAGTTTATTTTTCTCCGCAAGTTTGGGTTCCCTCTTCAAGTTTATATTGCAACTGACCACCGGGAAATTAATAATATCTAAAAATTCGGCCAGGGCAGCAGTTCCATCATCGAGCTCGTGAACTCCCAGGGTCTGCGGGTTGTTCTTTAGCTAAATAACTCGAGATTAATTAAATATCTACCATGGCATCGGGAGCCAACATATTTAGCATTTGGGCCACCATCTTGCCACGATAAACCGAAAACCAAGGAGTACCCTGGAAAGAATCGCCGCCGTTTAGATAAAGAACAGGAGCAGTTCCCGACCTCCTGGCTTCCTCAACCCTTAAACAAAGAACATGAAAAAAGTATCATAAGGATCATGCATTGAAGACACTGATCTTGGGGCAACATACACACTGGCCACGCGTCCAAATCCCCCGAAGCAGAGTCCCTTCTCATCGTCGCCAGACTTGCATTTTCCACGTTTTATCGAAATGGGGTCATACCACGAGTGCATGTCATTGGTGTGTAGTAGGGTCAACTTGAATCCACTGATCCAGTCCAGAAAAGTCAGGATCAACAAAAGGTCAACAGTCCGCTGCTTAAACATTTCTCTTAAATTCAAAAAGTATAGCCAAATGTGTAAGGTAAGTAATAAAAAAAAATTCAGATCTGTCTGGAAATGCCTACTTTTGGGATTGCTGAGAGATCAGTCTTGGGTTACCCTAAAACTATGCTTCACTCTGTTCAGTTTGGTGGTTGGTTGTAAGCAAACATCCAATTCCCTTTATGTAAAACTGTGAGTTGAAATATTTTTATACCCTTGCAGAGGGTATTATAATTTCAGTCAAAAGTTTGCAACGCAGTGATGGAGACATTTCCGACCCTATAAAGTACATATATTCTTGATCAGCATCACCAGGAGAGTCGATCTAGCCATGTCGGGTCTGTCTGTTTTATTTTTGGCCAATCAATCCGACCTACCAAATTTCATAAGGATCGGCCTATATCCTATAGCCGCCATATAACTAATTGATCGGAAATGCCATAACTTTGGTGTTTGTAAAGTTAGAAAGCGAAAAGAAACCATGTAATTTATTTTTATATCAAATTGCAATCAAATTGGGCTGATAGCAAGTGATTCCAGGAAAATAAAATAAAATTATTTCATGGTTTATTTAACTGGAATCACTTGTTATCAGTTATGGTTTCCCTTTTTGCTTTTATGAAAACCTATTCTTCCCAAATATTCGCTAAATTTAATCTCGAATTTTTTATGAAAGCGAAAAGGAACCATATTTTTATGTCAAACTACAATCAAATTGGTCGGATAACAAGTGATTCCAGTAAAATAAAATAGTTTTATAGATTCTGCACGCTTGGCTGAGCAAAAGTATTTAAAAATAGCATTTTTTACAAAAATATGTTTGTCCCCGATTTATGTTAAAACGCCTGTTTTAAGAGGTGGGCAAACGATTTTTTTATTCTTACTTGTTAGGAGATGGGCAAACATGGTCATATTTGTAGGCAAATATGTTAAAAAAAAAAATTTGAAAAAGTCTACTTTAATGTTTTTGAAAAAGTTCGAAAATTTTCAAGGATTCCATATTTTTAAAACTAACGGTTTGCAAACAAAAAAAAGTGGGCAAAAATGGGCCAATGATTGAGCTATTCATATTTCAAAAAATCGATTTTAGTCGACCAAATTCTTTGAGCTCATAGTTTTGTAATAACTGCAAGGGTATATAATTCCTTTCTTGTAATTATTTATTTTAAATTACTATATATTAAACTGAAAAACGTTTAAAATACAAATTTATTGTTATTTATTAAAACTTCGAGGTAAATTAAGTGTGGCACTTTGGCTTTTATAGACAAATATTAAAGGTCGAATACTACATCTAAGGATTCAAAACTGGACACCTTAAAAGTTGGTCTATGATCTAACTTTAGTTAAGGCTTTTAATCAGGAGGGAGGAGATAACCAGCAGAACTGCCGAGCCCATTAGTCCACTGGCTGAATTGATCAAAACGATGCGACCCTCGATCTCGGGATAAACATACTCCCGTTGCTTCAGATATTGGAGAACCGCTTCCCTATCGTTATTCTTCATGCGCTGTGGGTGGTGGGCTGGATCTTTGATTATATGACCATCGCCACCGCCCAACAAGAACTCTCCCACAACAACGTTGTAGACGGCGGTATCATTCAGATCGCTGTAGGTGGGAACTTGGCAGGCGGCACATCGAACCTGCACGGAGACCACACGGTGACCCTCTGGCTTGCTGGGATTGAGGACCACATGGATGCCGGACACCTGCAGGAAGCCGCCGTCCGAGTCCTTGCCCCTCAAGGAGGCTCCGTGCTCCAGAGCTCGTCGCAGAGACTTTCCCGTCATGGGCACCATAAAGAGAGCATTTCCCCAGGGCAGAACGGAGAGGAGGTCGTTTTCGGTGATGGAGCCATCTGATCGCTTCTCAATGGAGCTACGAATGCCTGAAGAATACACGAAGCGTTATGCTCTTTCATACAACTGAGTATTTACCGCCTACCTCCTCCCTGCATTAAGCAAATGGCAGCATCCGTCCAGAAATCACCACCCTGCTCCTCCGTAAGCCGACTGAACACCATGGCATCGGCCACCAGGTTGCCCAGGTTACACTCCTCTGCCCGGCAAACCGTCTTGCGTCCCTCCAGATAAACCTTGGAGTGCCCAACGACCGACTTCTCCAGACTAGTGACATTCGGACGGTAGACCTCCAGCAGATCCAGGAGATCCTGCTCCTGACCCACTGAGGCGTTTAGCAGGATGGGAGCACCATCCCATTTAATGAGGTTGCCTTCGGCATCAAACTGGAAATGCGAATTTAATAGGGGTTAGCAAAGAGATTGCAATGAAATGTAGTGTAAAATCATATAGTATCACTTTTCACATATTATATATGTATTTGTAAAATTTCCTTTCCCCTTTTAATTAGAAATAATTTGACACTACACAAAAAAACGAAAAAAAAAAAAAAATTATAACAAAATGTGTGACATAGTCCTTACCTGCACATGAAGTTTTCCCAGGTATTTAGTATAGGCATAGGCCTGCACCACCGGAACCTCCTTGCCACTCCTTTGTTTGACCATCGTCGGATAGGGTCCTTCGATGCCTTCTGCATCCGGCTGGGCGCCGGAGTGGAGGAAGGTGTTCGTATGACCACCAATCACGATGTCCACATCCGGACAGTTCTGGGCTATCTCGCGGTCCTTCAAATAACCCGAATGACCCAAGGCAATGATGATTTTGATGCCCTGGGCTTTTAATTTCTTGGCCTCAGCACTAAGTGAAAATAAATATTTGGGATTAGCTCAAGTTGATTGAGGTGATTCAGCCACTCACTTGATGGACTCCACCTCTTCGTTGAACTCAACACCGTTAACAACAGTAAGTTTTTTGGTGTCTGGGGTCAAGTAACCAATGATTCCTATCCTCGTGCCATTGGCCTCCAGAATGGCGGAGTGGGCCAGGTGCTTGGTGGCCTTCAGTTGGGGAACCTGGCTCAGATCGAGGTTGCAGGCCAATACAGGGAAGTTGACCTCGTTAAGGAAGGGTATCAGACCCTCGACTTTTTCATCAAATTCGTGGTTGCCCAGGGACTTTAAATGAAAGACAAGTTTTGGATATTTTTCCAGAGAAATAAGGGAGAGTAGACCTACCACAGCATCGGGTTGTAATTTGTTGAGGAAAGCACTGGCGATCTTGTCCTTAAAGATAGTAAACCAAGCGGTTCCGGTGTAGGTGTCACCAGCATTTAGATACAGTACGGAAGTTCCACCCTCCTTCGCCTCCTTTCGATACTTCCGAACCCTGAAATAGTGGATCTCATTTAATTAGGAGTTACTTTTTTTGGTTTTTCTGACTTACTCGTAGGCCACCCTCGCGAATCCTCCATAGCATTTATTCGAATTTGCATCCTCCGGAGAGCAAGTGCCACTATTCACACTCGTCTGCTCGAATCGGGCGTGCATATCATTATTGTGCAGGATGATGAACTCGGTGGCCACTTTGGGATGGGTTGGAGTAGGATTGGCATGCACCAAGTGCACCAAAAGGATCGTGAAGATCTGGGGAAGCCAGCAAGACCGCATCTTTAATTCAACTGCAGATGACAGTTGAAATATCAATTAGCTTTGGAATAACTCATCCATAAACATTTGATTAATCTATTGCAACTATCTTTATGAACGCCTAGAGTTTTTCATTCCTTTACGACAGAAATAAAAAACGTTTAAGCACAACGAACTCATTATCTTGAATAAGTACTTTATTCCAAGCTTTACGTAGTGTCGGGTATTTGTCAGTCGGAATAGCGACTGTCTGAACTAAAAAGATACAACAATTACTCAAATGACAAACAAAACTTCATGTTCGGTTTCGAGTTTTCCCTAGCATCAGCAGAAATAAATAATAGTTACGAGTGAAAAATTATCTTTCCATATACGGCAACACAGAATTCAATGCACAAACAATTGCGAAAAAAACAATATATTTCACTCAAGCGTTGTGTTGCTCCCATTTAAACCTAATTAATTATAAAGTAAATATCACTTGAGCTCTGAGTCGTCAAAAAAACCCCCCAGCAATAAAACATTTCGCGGAGCTCGTTAAATATCAGTTCGATCTGGAGGGCAAAACCAAATTTTGGGATGATCATCTTGATGGTTTCGAAAAACCGCATGTGCAGTTTGCCAGAAAAACAACTAACTGCAAGAATTTTGATAAAGAAAACAATCTGGATAGTAGCAATCATCGCCTGTTTCTTGTAATATTTTCACACACAAGAGTTTTGGTTGCCGAAAACTGCAATTGCCAAAAATGGCTTAACTCAAAAATAATTATTAATATAATAAATGAAATCAACTCAAAAGTATTCCGAAAATTGGCGAATATATATAAAAAGCTAACATTGAACTTTGAATGTATGTGTACAAAAAAAGAAAACCAATTTTGAAAATTGGACGTTTTAATGCAAATTGTGCTATTTAAAAATAACATTAATAAATTACACCGCAAATAAGAACCTTTTTCTGAATCGTGATTCGGGGAATCACTTAGTATAATTATTGATGTCGGCTATGTAAAGTTTCTATATAATAATTCCAACCACAACTTTCCTCCGGCCACAATTAAAAGTAAATTTTATCAACACTTGTGACACCTTTTCGTTCCACTAAAAGCTAGTTATTGCTACCAACGAACAGCAATAAATGTTAATTGTGTTGTGCAATTCACAGAACTGAAATCAAGATCAGTTCCAGTTGCACAGCAGTTTTTGCACAGGAAATTAAAACAACCTTTGCCACCGATGTCTATAATCGCACTAACTTCTCCCCGTCTTCTGCAAAGCGCTCGCAGCGCTACTCGTATTTTTATTATTAATTATTTTGGTGTCGATTCCATTCGCCGGCACACGAGAGCAAGTGCCTCACATGGAGTATGGGTATCCGTTTGGATCAACTGGCGAAACAGCATCTCAGCGGCAGCGGAGATTCTCTCCAGAAAGTCTCCTCTCTCTGGGGCAACGTTACGTATACGTAACGTAACGCAACGTAGACTATCGCATGGATTGGAGACTTTGTTATCAACTTTCAATCGTAGGTCAAATCGAGCTCTCATGTTATCGCTTAAATAATTTTTGGACTTTTCATTAGTGATCTTAGAAAGTAAAACTCCCTAAGAGAAAAAAGCTATTAGGTCAAGTAAAAAACCAAAAAATAAAAGTCATTAATATATATTAAAAAACAATAACCAATTTAATTCGGATTGGTATTAATATTTGCAGTGCGATGACATTTTAAAGCACCTTCTTTAAACTCAGATTAAAGAGTAAAGTATGCGTGGCAAAAAGCTAATTATAAATGCACACTTGCACTGGTAGGAAGTTGAGATATGTGGTCCAAATATAGTTGCAGAATGCCATCAAAGGCATAGTTTGTCTACAAAAAAACAATAATAAGAAAAGAAGAACACCATGTTATTTTTGGATCGAATTTTTGTCCTTTTTCATGATCCAAACCCTTTCCTAATTTTTAAAAACGGCTTCGCTGATAAGTTTAAAAAACCTGCACTTCCAGTCCTACTTTTCATACAGACATCAGATTTTAAAGTGGCCAATGATTAAATGAATGCTCAAAATCATTCTGGTTTAATTTTTAAAAAATCTGTGTTCCGATCTTGTTTTGTATTTTTGGGAAAATTTGTCGTCAATTTTCATGAAAAAAAAATGAATAATGAGCAGAAGTTCATCTTAAATAGCTAAACTTAATGATTCATTTAAGAACTCATAAATTAAAATTTCATAGAAATAAAAGGTCAGACATTGTTATTGCTCGCCAAAAAAATCAAAAACAATTGCATTGAGAATGATAAGGAGCTTGCCCTGCAAAAAAATATCATTTGTGATTCGTTCGTCTCGCTGAAATGTTGTCTTTCGCGTGGGTTTCTTTGTGCGCTTTGTGTATTTCCATCCCGGGTAATTCCCAGTTTTTAGATCCGAACTGTAGATATTCATTTTCACCCAAAATAATCGATGGCACCGACGCAGGACAAAAATCTTCTAAATATATGGCAGCCATAAAAAGGAGTGGCGAATTTATTTGTGGCGGGACCTTGATTACCAAACGTTCGTCCCACAACAATAGAAAATTCTTGGTTAATAAAATACACCGTTTTTTTTAGGATTTGTTTTATCAGCTGCCCATTGCATGGAAAGTTCAACCGACCTGTAAGTATTAAACTTATGTAGCATACTAACTTCAATTTTAATTTGTGAGTTTTTATTAAAGATCCGTGATGTTGGGAGCACACAATAAAAGCAATCCGGAACTAGAGATACCAGTCATCCAAACAATAAAGCACCAGCATTTTAATCGTAACGATTTAAGCAATGATATTGGCTTGCTGAAGCTGTCGCACGACGTGGTGATTGGAAGTGAGTGATAACTGTAGTCTCCCAAAAGATGTTTTTAAGGCATTTCCCCGCAGATCTTATTCAACCAGTATGCATTTATGTGGACAAGAACAGTATGTGGCGAGCCGAGCAGCCGACTTTCAAAGCTCTTGGCTGGGGAAAAACAAGGCATGCCAATGATAGCGAAATACTTCAATCAGTTATGCTTAGCCGAAAAGATTTATCACATTGCCAAAACTTGGTAAATGTGGATATCTATTTGACGCAGATCTGTGCTGAAGGGCAGGGATTCGGAGACTCCTGTACTGGCGATTCTGGCGGGCCTCTCATCGTTTCGGTTGATAAACTGGAAACTCAGATCGGGATCGTGAGCTACGGCTTAAGTCAATGCACTGGTTTAGCACTGTATACCGATGTAACCAAGTTTGTCGACTGGATTGCCGAAAGCATAAGGTTAAATGAGGTTGCTTTGAGTGGCAGAATTCCCATCTTTTCACAGCCTGAAGTGCAGCCATCCATTTGGTTGCATAGAGACTGCGGTGGCGACACCATGTTATCAAACATGAGAGCCTTGATTTTTGGGATTGATTTCAGGGCCAACGGCGCCTTTATCACAGAACGTACGTATCTATAGACTACAAAATAACCACCTTAATATCAAATTCATATATTCAAATATCAATTTGTGTTCTTTGAGAGCATTGATTTAATCTTTTTAAAGTTCAAAATTACATTATAAAAACAAAATGATAATTTTTATTTCGAAATGTTTAAAAGAGTATCAGATGATCTTATTTATTTTCAAAATGATATTAAGTATTGTATTTTTTAACAGATCAAACTAGTAAAGAAAAATATAAGCTGTACTACAGCTTAATCTAAAGTTTAAAAAAAAATAGGTTTCTTAATCAGTTTAGTAAAATGTATTTTCTTTTTTTAGAGTTTGTCTTGGCAAATTCGAACGACTTGCAATCACACCCTTTGTAAGTAATCGCAAACTATTTACATCTTAACAAAAATAATAAGTTTTTTAAAATTCCTCAGACGAGTGCGTGTGATCGGATATTATAAGTCTTTCGGAGAATACGGAGTCCACTCGGTTATGAGGCACTCAAAAGACTCCACCAAGAACGACATCGCAGTGCTGAGACTGAATAAACCGGTGACGCTGACAGGTAAATTTATTTAACTCAGGTATGTCATTTTGAAAACCGAATACCTTTCTCTGCAGATGGACTGAAACCGTTCTGCATGTTGGGACACAACTACTACCAGCACAATGTTTACCTTAATCCACCTTTAACTATTTTTGGACAAAGGAATGATCGCAATGAAGTTTATTCTTGCTTTATATTCGCAGTTGAAATCCTTGAACTCAGAAAGTGTGCAAACGATCTCTATAGAACGATTTACACAAATGAACTTTGCGTGAAGGATCCCAACGCAACGACCCACTACTCCGGAAAGCCCGGCGACCTAGTGTTTGCGAAAATTACACATTTGGGCCAAGAACATTTAGTTTTGTTTGGAATTGTCAGTTTTGCAAAATATACCGGTGAGGGTCATGTTTTTAAAAATATTAGGAATCAGATAGAATGGATTACTAATGTCATTAACTATTATTATTATTAATAATAAACCTCAACCACTTTTGTATTTTTTATGTGCCTTTTTGCCCAAGACATGTAAATGATTCCCAAAAAATTGATAAATACATTACATTTTTGAAGAGCATTTTTGAATGCCTTTATTTTTTGAATATTTTAAAGTTTTCTGTTGCAGGTAGTAAGGTAGTAAATCGCTGCAATAAGAACAATCGGGGATAGAAGGAAATAATATTATTACTTGCTGTTTCTTAACATATATTTATACATATAAAAACACTGAAACTACTCGTTGCACAACATTTATTTGCTAATTATTTAAGACAATCAAATGTGCAGAAGTTCGGTTCAAACTGAAGGGCAACTGGACTTCCCGGAGGTAAAAATAAGAAATAGAAGAATATAAATTTATGTAATACAATTGCCTCTGTCGACACCAAATCTAAAAGAATCTTGTTAGTAGGGCAGAGAGGAGCAGCAGTGATAAGGAAGCCACGAATCCGGACGCCGATCCGATGTCGGTCTTCTCGTGGATCACAATCCGCTCCTCGATCTCCGGGTAGACAAAGTGGCGCTGCTTCAGGTACTCCATGGTGGCGTTCAGGTCGTTCCGCACCATGCGCTCACTGTACGGATCCGACTCCTCAGTCAGGTCGTATCCATCGCCACCCTCGAGCAGGAACTGCGGCACGATCACCTGGTACAGGACCGCCTCATCAATGGCCTTGTACGTGGGAACGGAGCAGTTCGAGCACAGGGCTTGGGCGGAAACCACCCGCTTGCCCTGCGCGTTGTTGTAGTTGTACTCCACACGCAGTCCGGACATCTGCAGGAATCCCCCATTCGAGTCCTGCAGCCTCACATCCGCCGAGTGTTCCAGGGCAGCCAGAAGGGTCTTGCCCGTGATCCTGGTCACATAGAGATTGTTCTCAAAGGGAAGAACGGCCAGGAGGGTGGCTCCATTGATGACTCCATCCGCCTGCTTATCGACAGAGCCGCGGATTCCTGAGAGTGAATACAAGGTCAGAACGTTCGGTTGCTCTGTCTAATCCGGGCGAAACCCACCTCCTCCCTGCATAAAGGCGATAGATGCATCCGTCCAGAACTCCCCACCCTTGTCCTCCAACACGCGGGAATAGATCATGGCATCGGTCACCAAGTTGCCCAGGTTGCACTCCCTCATCCGACAGATATTGCCGCCCTCGAGGTAGACCTTGGTGTAGCCCAGGATCGTGTTCTCCAGCTCCTCCAATTTGGGGCGGTACTCATCCAGCAAGTCCAGGAGATCCTGCTCTTGAGTCACCGAGGCATTCAGCAGGATGGGAGCTCCGTCAAACTCAATCAGATTGCCCGCGGCATCGAACTGGAAATATATGAATGGCCGAGATTAATGAGGTGTTCTTGAGCTTTCTTAAACAAATGAATATCCCTCAACAATGGCGCTCAAAATAGTGTAAGAATAGTTGTTGATATGATGTATAGTTACCTGAACATGGATCTTTCCCAGATACTTTGTGTAAGCATATGCCTGCACCACTGGCACTTTCTTGCCGCTCGGCTGCACCACTGTGGTGGGATAAGGACCTCGAACCGCCTCTGGATCCGAGTCGGTGATGTCGGCCACCGGTTGACTGGCGTCCAGGAAGGTGTGGGAGTGGCCACCAATGACGATGTCCACCTCCGGACAGTTCTTGGCTATCTCCTGATCCTTTAGGTATCCAGAGTGACCCAGGGCGACGATGATATTGATGCCCTGGGCTTTTAGTCTCTCAGCTTCCGCACTGGGGAAAGTAATAAATATAAGTAGGACTCACAAGGTGTATACAAGATGAATACCCACTTGATGGAAACGATCTCCTCCTCGTATTCCACATTGTTCCGGAAGGCAAGAACCTTGGTGTCAGGAGTTAGGTACCCAATCACGCCGATCTTCACCCCATTTGCTTCCAGTATCGTGGAGTTGGCCAGCTGTTTGGCGGACGCCATCTCGGGCACTTCAGTCAGGTTCAGATTACAGGCCAGGACGGGGAATTCCACGGCATTGAGGAAGGGCACCAAGCCTTCAACGTTCTGATCGAACTCGTGGTTGCCCAGCGACTAAAAAAGATGTGGCTTATAATGGTATATGCTATGATTTGGGAGGTTTGTAGCCCAGTTACTTACAATCGCATCGGGGGACAGCTTGTTGAGGAAGGCACTGGCGATCTTGTCCTTGTAGACGGTGAACCAAGCTGTTCCGGTGTAGGTATCACCTGCATTGAGGTAGAACACTGGAGTTCCACCTTCCTGCGCCTCCTTGCGGAACTTGCGAACTCTAATTTGAATGGAGAAGTTGATTAGATTAGAGTTCTTTTGCGTGGCTCTTGCCCCACTTACTCAAAGGCCACCCTGGCGAATCCTCCGTAGCACTTGTTCGTGTTGGCATCCTCCTTGGAGCAGGTGCCACTAGTCACACTCGTCTGCTCGAATCGGGCATGCATGTCATTGTTGTGCAGGATGATGAACTCGGTGGCCACGTCCACCAGGGGAACAACGGGATTCGGCTGGACTGGATGGATAAGTAGTGCCAGAAGGCAGCATGATCCGATAAAGAGACTCCGGACGGACATTGTTTTGGGGCTGGAATAATAAGTTTTATCACTGATAAGCTATCACACGCAAAACGATGAGGAGTGGGTGGTTCATCATGGCAAAAGCAAGACTAAAATCTATTTTTTTGCTTCATCACTTTATACTTATTAAACACCCGCAAGCGTACAAGCAATTATATTAGTTATTTTAAATTTAATATAAAATAATGTCGATTATTTTTGTTTTTAGAGTAATAATAAATTATTTCAATCGTTATAAATCAGTTTTTGAGCTGTAGCTGTTGAAGGTCCTTTCAGCCCCTTATCATCCACCACCGAAAGTCACATATTTGATAATCACGATTGGCAGAAATCGCAATTCCGAATTGCAGTCATTTGTTAGTTTATTGAGTGCCTTAAATCTAATCGCCGCTTATCACTCAGCGTGTGCGCAAATACACAAATCCCCAACCCATTCAACTCGTCAAATATTTTTGCCCCGGCTTTTGGCATCGCAGACCACTCCACGCTCCACTCAGTTAACTGGTTTCTGAATTTCAACTCGGAAACAAGCTCAGAGTTCAAGCTGCTCATGGCATTGGCCGAAAAGCTTTCTCGGCTTGAAAGCCCTGACCGAAACACAAAAACTCTTCTACTTTGAACGACGATGAACACTGAACGTCAGGCACTGGATATCTAAACAACGAATTGCCGATCGATCGCTACTTACATGCACTCGTCGCACGGTCCGCGGGCAAACTGACCCACCAAATTGGCTGAGAGTCAGAGAACCGTTATAGCCGAAATCGCAAAACCGAATACCTAAAACAGTAAACCGAAATTAACTGACTCGCGGAGCGGACTGATTACAGGTACGATAAGGCCTCGTATTGCGCGATGACTGATGCTCTTTTGGCAATCCCAATTATACATATATATATATTCGCCTTTTTGGGAGCCATCAGAGGCAGACTTATCGCACGATTATCGCCGGTTGTAGATCAGATAATGCTGAATTGGCCATATCTACCTGACTTATCGTCACCCAGACAGGGGCAGGTACTTAGCCAAGCAGTTGCCCAAACATAATGGGACAATCCCAAGCTGAAAATTAATATTTGCCAAAAATATACAATGATATATGTACGGAGAACATTCTGCACAGTGAACTTGTTTAAACCACGGTTTTATATTTTATAGATTGTTGTTTTAGTTTCTTGCGATATGATTTATTGTCTTCCGATTAAGCAGCTATAAAATGCCTGGTAAAACCGCAAAATAATGCCTTCTACCAAAATATCACTTAACACTTACTTTACGGTATGTTTGGTATAGTATAGTAAAGTATAGTTTGGTAAGTGTGAAGACAATTGATAAAAAATGATCTTGGACTGAAATAGAAAATTGCTACACTCTTGTTGTACTATTATTTTGGGGTTATATTTAAAATATCATTCTAATGGTATAAGCCAACATCTCATAAATTACAAGAAGGATGAAGGACACAAATTCTATAGGCCAGGCTTAACCCCTTTTTTAGTTCTCTGACAACAATTCTCTTTTCACTTTCCCGAAAGGATGTTCACCATTTAGAGCGTGTACTGTAAACAGTTTATTGCCGCACAGTTGCTGCCAGAGCCGAGTAAACCGATCTTTGTTATTAATTTCTTGAAAACTCTAAACAAGTGTCTTCTGCGAACTTTAGTCAACAATAATAACAATGAGGCCTGCTTGTTTCACTGATGTATGATTTATAGACGCCGAAAAAGAAGGAACAGATAATATTCCAAAGATTGAGTGGGGTACAATTTAATTCGGGTAAATTACGTTCTCAGTTCCATACGAATTTATAGGCAAATGAAAATATCTGCTGCCACTTGTCGCGTGTTTTTCAAACTGTTCAATCATATATAATGGGCGCTACATACACAGAACAGCTGCGGCTGCGGATGATTATTTACTGCCTATGGTCGGGCAAATACTTCGAACGAAAAGTAAAACTTTCCTGCTCGCGTTGTCGCCTAAATATATCCCAAAGATACAAGATACAACAGCAATTGAGTTGGCTCGAAAATAAATATTGGATGCTCGACTGAGTTACGCTGAACTGAGGGCAAAAAACAACTCACAATATTACACAATGTCAAGTGTGCGATAATGACCAGATAAAAATAATATATGATATGCTCCTTAGCACATTGCTTATCATGTAAATAATATACACATATTTTTAGTGCGTGCTAAATGTAAATATCCAATCAGCCATATAAAAAGTTCACAGACATCAGAGGCGTGATTACTAAAATGCCTTCCAAAATTCATTAACAGCAATACGCTAAGATAGTGTCAAATTAGGAGCCCCAAATCAATCCCAATCAATAATGCCCAATTTCCTTGACAATAAATAAAAATTGATTGCTATCAATAAGTTGAGACAAGGAACTGTCAATTTGTTATTACGTCATTTTAGTTATGGCAAATGTTGAACTTATCCCTTTTTTTAAATGTTGTTCGCTAGGTAACCTAATATATGGATAGCCCATTCATTTTTGGCTAGTCTTAAATTCGTATTATTGATTAGCATTTGTTTCACTCACGTTTGCTTGGTTTATAACCTGTAATTACGTCGATAAGCTTTCCCGTTCTCCATGCCAACAGAAGTAATCTTGATTTCATTCCAAGTTACTATTCAGCCGATTGTACCATACAAATTTCCATGACAACAAGTATACAATTTCCCAATTTTTCTCGCAGTGCCTATAGGTGTGCACTTATCATTGCAAGGGCAGGTCAAACTAACTCGTAGGGGAAGCGCCGATCGAAGAGATGAATGTGAAGCGTGCCAGCTGCAAATGTTTATCAGGATGGTCATAGCAGACTGGGTAATTCCCTGCACACTTTCTGAAAATGGGGTTTCCTATGTAATAATTGATTTTTGAGGGAGATGTTTTTATTATCACAATTCTAAGAAAGAACGAATTCACATGTTAAATAATTCTTTTTGTATTAATCTTTTACTAATAACAACAAGAACATTTAAAAAATAAATAACTTGACTGTATAAACGTTGTCACTCTATTTTTAATTGCGTCATCAGCATTCATTTTACCAAGAACAGCAATTTTAGCAATTATATCGGTCATTGTTCGCTAAAACCAGATCGAATTAATTAGCACATTTTAAATTAACTTGCTTTAGAAGCCAGATATTTGTACATCATTAAAATTATATTGTACAACATTGTATTTTTTGTGATAGCAATCGAGTTTCAAAGTAAAATAACATGAAATGTAATTAAATTTCTAAATTCTAAATATGTATTTTAATCTTTTAACCGTATTTGTAATAATGAAATTCTTAAAGTGACAGTGGATCATTACGTTTATGATTATTTGGTTTCTTTAACCAATTAACTGTTAAAAATAACACTATTTTATATAATGATATATACATACATAAAGAGGGTACTTACCTTTCGAATATGCTGCACCGAAAGGAAACAGCCACGGGACAACAACAACGGGGAGGGCGGAAAGGACGAGCAGGGGCGCAATCGATGATCCAGGGGGACGGGGTGTGGAGTGCGGGACAGGGGAAGGGGAAGGGGAAGGGAGGATATTCGGAGCGCGGCTGCTGCAGCCGGAGAGCGAGCCAGCTGAGGGTTGCAATATCCTGCTGCTGCCGCTGCTGCCTTTTAGCCTGTAGCCTGTATCCTGTTGCCCTCCCGCTTCAGCTGCCGCAACTCAAACAGCTGCAACAATTTTTTCCTTGCTTTCGGATTGTTGTTTTTAATTTCCTTGGCGCGGCACATCCCCTAATGCCACTATCTCTGGTTCCTGCCGCAATTTGGGGTTGGAGTTAGCAGTTGGTCGCCGGGGTGCAGTTGCTCGCAGCTCAGTCGTGGCGATCGCCAGGTGAACGAAGGTTGTGTCGCGCAGAGTCGATTTGCAGTCGGAACATACACATATCCCCTAACCATGTCGGGAAAACTGATCATGAAGCGCAAGCGAGCCAGCCAGGAGGAGCAGCAGCAGCAGCAGCAGGCACAGGAGCAACATGTTCAGCCGCAGGAGCAGCAACGGCCGGATGAAGCCGGTCCGGAGAAACGCCATCGTCCTCTTACTCCACCCGCCGAAGAGCCTGCTCAGGATTACCCATCCCCGGCAGAAGCCCCAAACCAAATCCTTCTAGAAGCCCTGCAAAAGATCATGGAGCTACAGGCCGAACTGGATGCCTTTGAGCAGGATCTGGATGACCGGGATGGATATGGGGCAGCAGGAGCTGAGGATGAGGACGCCGAAGAGAGTGCGGAGGATGCAGAGGTAGCCGCCCAGTTCGCACCACCCACCCCAGCCCAAAGAAGTCAGGCGGAAGCACTGGGCTTCGCCATGTGCGCCCGGGAAACGCTGCTCTTCCTCCAGAGCGAGGGAATACCCACGGAGTCGCCACTCTACCAGACCCTCCTCGGGAAGTTAGTCGGCCAAAGCGATGGACTGCTGCACGCCTAACAGCGATCTGGAGGGCAGGAGCTCCTCCGCATTCTAGTCACTTTGCTGCGATCTCATTGCAAGTAAAACGAGAGAGAGAATCCAAGGGTTGGGCACTTTTACTGGGGTGGAAATGGTGCAATCCGGGAATCTGGTAATCTAAGCTGTTTACTCTAGTCAATTATTGTAAAGCAATATAAAACCCATAAGAAACATCGAAATAAATAAGTTAACAAATAGAATAAAAAGCAAAAAGTGTTTGTATTTGGATGGTTTTCAACTTCAGAACGGCATATAACCCTCTTTACATTTGTTTCCAGTCAGCAATGAAAACACACTCTTCTTTTCGATTTTCGATACATTTTAAATATATTTATTTATTCATTTATTTATTACTTGTGTTATTTGATTTTACATATAATAATTAATGAGAATAACTCAATCGCAATATATTATTTCTTTTAATTCATTTTGTAGGTATATAATATAAGTGTATATATTCTTATTGTTGTTAGGGCGGGGGTGTTTTTGTTGTTCGGTTATTTTATTAACTTGTTTTCATAAATTATTTGGGGCTTGGAACCGCCCTAAAGTAGCATTTGTTATAATTTCATAATTATTATCTGTATAATTTGTAACAACAATAATTATTTGTAATAAATGGTTGTAATTCCTTTGTATTATCTGTATTACTGATATTCCTTTAAAACTAGATTTTAATTGTTTTCAACAATTTAACGTTTCACATGGTTGTAAGTAAATGTTTCTTAAGGTTTTTGGACAAGATATCGTTTATTCTTATTCGAGTAGATGTTTATTTCATTGCGTAAGTAAAGTCAAATAGATGCGCTCGAATTATGAAATAAAGGTTATATATAAAAAATTATAATATCTATAAATTGGCATTTCAATTGGTAATTTCAGACCTTGGAAGGTATCCCCGTTCGCTCGGATCACCTTCCTTCAAACATTTGGCACACTTTCTTGGTTCTACTTAAGCTCTACAGAGAATTCTCTTTCATTTAGAAACTAATTTTGGGCAATTAAACAGAAAACGAAATCTTGAGCTTGGCAACTGATCGAATGGTCGATTACAGAGTTATATTTAGTTTACTTTTGTTAGTTCAGTATATAATTAATGGAGACAGCTGGACAAAGCAGCCGGATAATTGTTCAACAATTGGGGAAACGAAAAGTGAGTAAGGTAAACGAATCCCACGATTAGTGCTTTGTCCGGCGTCATGGGTTAAATGGGTTAAGTACATTGAATTACATTGTTATTATGTTTAATTTAGTTGAGTTACGTTGTCGCTTTAGTTATAACTTTGCATTTGTGTATAAGTAAATCGAGTATTTGTTATTCTTACATTCGCATTTAAGTATTCTTTTTACTCTGTTATTGTTTTCGTATCTGGTGTTTTAATAAAGTAATCATTTGCAGCATTATCCACTTACGGATATTGATTCACAATAAACTTGTATATATTTTTGTATTTCCTTAGTTATTTGTAGATCTTTAGTGTCGATATATTTATTCTGAATGCTCGAGTATTAGATAATTTTCATTAAGGTATTTTAAAGTTACTTTTCGTGTCAACATGCGGTTAGTCGATCTCTGTTAATTATGTAAATATTAGAATTTTTAAGTGTATATATATATATATATTCTTTATCTGTATCGTTAGTTTTGTTAAATATATGCATATATAAATAAAATTATGGTTTAAATGTGCCCTCTGTATTAATTATTATATTCTATTAAGTTAATTAATCTCATAGATTTTGTCTCGACCGACTGCTGTCCCTATACATAGCTTTGTCTTGCTGTATCAGTTGGATTCGCTCTGTAACTATATGCCAGACAATCCCAGCTCAACTTTGAGCTGAGCCGTGTGGTTAACTACTGATTCCGATTCCTCTTGACCGATTGCAGCTCCCACTAATCGTTCAGGCTCTTTGAATATCTTAAAGATGGTTTGTAAATAGAGATAAAAAACCGGACACAGTTTCGTGTGTGTTTAATAGCCAACGTGAAAGTACGGATTCGATTTGTTGATCCAGCCTCGTCTTCGTTAAACGTCAATCCTTGCACGCAAAAATATATGTATAAATATATCTGTTATGTATATGTTTTGTATGTGGTATATATCGTAAAGTTCATTTTGTCCATTTTGTAAATACTTCCCCTACGCCTTCCTCTAATCTTATGAACTCTAGTGTACAAAGTTTCTGTGATGTTGATGTGGTTTTCGATTTGGTTGTTCTGCTTGTAGTTGTTGTATCTGTTGGGTTCAGAAAAACTGCACGGGCAAGAACGGAAATGTGCCAATATGTAGCGAAGGATTAGCAGGTCTGTAAGAAAATGTTAATTTGGATTTAGAGAGATGTTTTTGTCGTTGGTTTGCAGTGTGTGATCGAGAGGGTTTTGGGGTTTCTGGATCAATGCAAATCAATACGGAAGTTTTGGATGATAAGCGGAGGGGTATACTAGTGATTTAAAAGCAAGCAAGCGGCATCACAATAAGACCGTGTATTCATTTGCATTGACCAAAGAGATATCGGTTTGGTGTAGGTTGTGTGCAAGGACGAAGGAGTTCACATTTCACTTTCGTTAATATCGCATTTCAATACCTTACTAATAGCATATTGGGCACTGAAGCGGTTGTGGTGGTGGTGTTGTTGTGGTTTTTACTGCCTAATGTGTGATTGTTGATATTGTTGCTGTTGGCACTCTTTTGGCCATCTATAGCGCCAAGTCGATAGGAGGATAGAAATGAAACGTCGTTGGAGTTTTTGTCACCCATTGGGTGAAAGTTGCTATTGCAATTATTGTTGTTGCTGGTGTTATTGTTACTGCTGCTGCGGTTGTTATTGCTGTGGTTGCTGTTGTGGGCTGATAGCTGCGGTGGGAGATTTTGTTGCGATTGCTGAAGTTGTTGCTGATTTAGCTGGTCAGATAGTCAGAGTTATGTTTATGGATCAGCCTGTTTATCAGCCATTTCCACTCACCTTGGAACTGCCGTTGGAATTGTAGTAGTAGTTGGGATTTATGTTCTTGCCGCTGTGGCACTCACTTGCTCCATGATTGGGCAAAAAGTTGTTGCTGCTATTGGGTTGGGATTTCATGGTCAGATTTTGGGTGGTTGCCGCTGGATTGGTGGTTCGACCTCCGCTGGCACTGCTGGAATCCAGCAAATTTCACCTGTTAACATGGCTACGATTGTGATTCGAACTGAGACCGGAGCCACCGATTGCATTCGACTGAGAACCGCCACCGGTGCCTAGACCTGCTCCGCCTCCACCGCCACCAGCTGGAAAAAAATATCGAATAGTCATTCCACAGCATATAATTATAAATATTTCCTTGACTCACCCGAATAGCCCGGTGAATGCTGGTAGTACTCTCGTCTTCCATAATCCGGCTCGTAATCAGAGCTTTCGTAATGTCCACCACGTCCTCCGCCACCGCTGATGCCACCGACTCCGCCCAGTATGTTAGCCGGCGGTCCGTGGGGTCCGTGGCCATGACTGCCATAGGAGTAGCTATCGTACGACTGATGCGGATCATAGCCAATGCCGTCGTCATAGCCGCGACTGCAAAATATAATTAATTTTTAACAAAACAGACCTTATAATCTTTTTCAAACACTTACCCGTACGTTTCATCCATGGCAGTCCTGGCTTTTTCCAATATGGACATCACTTTCTGCTTGGGTGCAAGCACATTTTTGCTGAACGAAGACTGCTGTGAGCTTCTGAAATAAATAAATTACTTGAAGCATTCATATAAGAAAATCTGAAGATATACAATCTCTCACCTATAATTGTGATGCGGTGTGTTTTTAGCCCCTCCAACGGTGTTAATAGAGCCACCTCCCATGGCATTGTTGCCTCCCTGCATGTGGGACGCCTTTTTGTAGCCACTCTTGGCATTGTCGTTGTCATTTAGGCTAGTACTGTCCATCAACTCGCGAAGCTGCTCCTGCCGAATGATGTCGTTGCTGTCCGGGATCAGATACTTCCTCAGTTCGGCCATGGCGTAGGCAATTCGGGCATAGGCTTCGGCGGGCGGCGCTATTGTTGATATCTCTACGTGCAGATCGCTGTTAAGGTGAGCGTACTTGGGGTCCTTGGAGCTGCGCAGTTCCTCCTCCTTGACGCGATCGCGCATTGAGTTCCGGCCCAACACGGTCATCTTGCAAAGCGTCTCTTCCTGCAGCCTGCGAAGTGAGTTGCCCTTGGGACCCAGCAGTTTGCCCACAAAGTTAAACTGGACAAATGGGTTTTTAAATTAGTAAATCTAGCATATTAGGAAACGTAATAACTAAATATATTTGTCTAAAATTCACCTTAGGATGTTCTCTAATGGGAACTAAAACACGCTGCGAGATGCGCAGAGGCTTCTCTCTATAGATATCCGCGTATTTTTGCTCTCGGGAAGGAATCCTTCCAGTGGTCTGGACTTTTTCAATCTCTGAAATTGCAAAATAAGCCATAATAGATGCAGGAAAGCATGAAAATTATTTTGTCTTCACTTACCGCCCTCCAGCAGCTTCTCGGCAATGGGAAACTTCCTGTCCATGCGATTCCGCTCTGCCATGCAGTCGCGTATGTACTCATTGGCCTTCTCGTTTATCTGGACACTGCCGCCGGGATCTCCACCATGGTGACCGTGATCGTGGGCTGAACTGTCGCCGTTGTGGGCGCCTCCGGGTGCTCCGATAGAACCACCTGATTTGCGAGGCTTTCCGCCGAACTCGTCATCATCGTTAAAAGCGGAAAAGTCACCGTTGCCGTCGTACTTCTCGGTCATGATTTTGTTGCCCGTATTCCCGGAGCTGCAATCTGAAAATGACATATGTACTAATTAGGATAGTTGGCATTCTCGAAATATTTTAAATAATTTAGTTGACAAGAAGTTTGGCTCAGAACAGAGATAAGCTTAGAAGCCTGGAGATAAAAATTCATTATCTCTACATTAAGTATAGTAAACGGCATAAAATGGTTTGTAACAATATGTACATAGGTGGGATGGTAAGATTGGGACCCTTTTTTAATTGAGCCGTACCAATTCCTCATATTTTATAAACCAGTATGCACTATAGGCCGTTATACTAATATTTAAATGCAATTATTTATCAAAATCAATTAGACGGCGGGCAACGCTTTTACCAACACACTGTCACACCACACACACACAGTCACTGTCATTGGGCAAAAACAACCACCGTGCAAATTTGAGCGAAAATCAAATTGTTGCCGTAGCTCACACACAAAAGCTTTGGGTAAACAGAACCGGTAAAAACGATGGTTTTCTAATTCTAGAATGACAAAAATAAGGATTTTCAGCGATATTTTCTATTGTGAATTCGGGGTGTCCAACTGGTGCCCCCGCCCGCCTCCCTCGTTCCATAGTGCACTTTCACTTTTCAGTGGGACGCAGTTTTTCACCTATTTTTTTTCTGTATTTGCAAATTGCATCAAGCGTTTTTTGTTACTTCTATTTCTTAGTTGCAAGTGAATTTCCCCTGGGTTGTTATATCACAAAACGCCCGATAAGTGTGCACTAAATAGGTCCCATTAATTACCACTTTTAATTGGCCCTTTCGTTTATTGCTTTTAATTTAAAAGGTTGCGAAAAAATGCAATTCGCGAAAAAAAACAATACTTCCAGTGTGACCGTGCGACGAAAGCTCGGAAAAGCTGATTGCGCAAAAATACCAATTCGTTGGCGGGTAACACAGTGGGGTTTATTTAAAAGAAAGTGCTGGGTATTGAATATATTTTTCACTTATTTATTTTCACTTCGCCCATCTGAGTAGAACTCTCCTCCTTTTCCAATTCGCCAACTGCGGTGGATAAATCGTAAGCTGTGGTAAACATTTCACTTGCTAGTACTAAAACTATATTTACTTTTGCCTTATTATGCATTTTATTGGCCGGAAAACTAAATTTTCACCTTTTCTTTTTCAGATATTTTTGAAAAAGCGGGCGCAATAACTCAACCGAATAGAATGAAAACACATCGATTACCAAACATCGATATCACAGATGTTTGCAAAACATCGATAACAATATCGATGTTTCTCCACCTCTATCTCCTAGGAACGCGAACTAGCGAAACTCAAAACAAAGGATCTATAATCTATTCGATTTATTAGATGTTCTAGCTGAAGCTAATTCTTCAACATGTCCGCCGTGACTCCCAACTCCTGCGTGGAGACGCCCAAGGCGCCGGAATGGCTGTCGAAGCTGGAGAGCCGTCGAGAGCAACTGAAGCGCTCCAAACTGGGACATGAAGCCGGAGCTGGAGCTCCCTGCGCGGAGTGCAAGGACAAGTGTCCTGGCCTGGATTTGCACTTCTGGCGCAAAGTGTGTCGCAACTGCAAGTGCCCGAAGAATCAGCATGTATGTCCAGACGACGATGACGCGACAGGTTGGGCGCAGTTCGAGATTTTGGGGCAGATCAGGGCCAAGCCAGCATGTAAGTATCTTTGGAACATAATAATATGCGTGAAGAAGGCGCGACTATAAGAATTTCTCTTTGGCAGACATCAAAATCAAAGCCCTGGCCAGTCAACCAGTTCAACTAGAGTGGGTGCCACCAAATGCCGCTCCGGATGTGGTTACAGACTACATGGAGAAATTAGGCACAGCTCGCATACCTGTGGCTGGAAGTGATGCTGCACTTAAGCGGAAACTGCAGCTTGAGCTCCAGGTGCCTCCGCACGATCTGGATGCCGCCCTGTGCGATGGATTGACGGAAACGGAGGCCATCCAACTGCAGCAGTATGTCCAGAAGTTACGAGAGCAATGCGTCGGTCAGGGCGTGGTCGTGCGTCTGGGTGATCGTCTCAATCATGCCCTAGTGGAGCATGTGGCCCCCGGTTCGATAGCTTCCCATGAGGCGTCTAAAACATGGCAATCTTTGGGTCTCTCACCGGTGGCCGATGACACTCTAAACGAACTTTTGGCCAATCCCAAGGTAGCGCAGGCTTTGGCCAGTCCACCCAGCGCGCAGCCCAAGCTGCTCGTGGCTTTTTCAGAGCCCTTATCCGACTCCACAGTTCAATTCGAGGAAAACGGAGCTCTGCGGGCTCAAACCCGGGAAAAGCTTTTGGGGATCAGCAAGCCAGCCTTGCAGAGCCTTGTCAGTCATGGCGCTATCTACGACAAGGTGCTTGGAATTTTACAGGTTGGAAAAATCATATTTTTTGAGTTGATTGTTAATTGAGAAGATCAACTTTAATCCAAATATATGTTTTTTTTCTAGGAAAATAAGCTGAACATTTCGAGGGATCCGAAACTAGGTCCCATTTCCGAGTTTCGTAAGGAGTATGTGAACAATCCCCAGTTCAGGGCCGAGATCAACAGCATTTGCCCGCAGCTGCCCATGACGCCAATGAAATCATCTCCAGGCACCCCCTTCAACTCTCCGTTGCCGCTAAAGAACCCGGTGCAGATCAGATTCGGAGCACAGATGCGCCAGGATACGCCCATGCGTCGGGTCAAGTTTGGCGGCGTATCCACTATTGTTTACGATTGCGGACTGCCCGCCAATACGGATTACGAGCGGGATCCGGTCTTTGCGCAGATCCTCCAGGCTGAGCCGCTTAAACACGCGTTGCAGGAAGCGCGGGCTGGTCGTAATCCGCCCTCGGTGGTTATTTCCAACATTTCGGCTCCTGTGGCGAGTCTCGCGGACCTTAAAGGCCTTACTTCTGCCACTAAGGCACAGCTCCAATCCGTGGGACTGGACAGAGACATGCTGCAGTCCGCTGTATCTAACGCACCTTACTATGATCGTCTTTTTCGTTCGCTCCATGACAAGGGCATCTCGCATGAACAATGCCAATTGTTGCAGCCACTTAAACAAGTGCACGACTGGCTGCTGGATGACGATCAGTTGCTGGACGAGATAGACAAGGTCTTCGCTGATATGGCTAATGGAATGAAGGATATTTCATATCCAAAACCCAGTCTTGGCGAGATGCCCACATCGCAGAGTAGCGATTCTGGCTTCCACTCGAAACCCCCGACTCCGGGATACGGCAACGAGGATCTAACCGCAGGGCAGGGCAGATTCGCCAGCATTCCCGGTATAGAGGACATGAACATGTATCCAGGTTGCGCCGGCATGCCAGAGCAGTTTCAGCAGTTGCGTCTCTACGGAGAGAATGCTCCAGGCAAAGGTGAGTACTCAACAATAGATTCTCGTACTACATTTATAAGGGATCTTATATATAGGCTTAATAAACTGTACTTTACTTTTGACGTAAATATGGTACCTATTAGAATTAATATATCAAATTAACTTTTATAAACAATCATATACAGAGATAAGAAAAAATTACTCTTCTGTTCAGTAGTGACAGAAATAGTTTGAAATCGTTAATTGATCCAAATAATTAAAATCCTTTTAGTTCTTTCAGATGCTGAGCGAACCATCATGTGCGCCGACTGCTTTAAACCCATTGTTTATGGCGAAGTGGCCGTCAAGGCGGATCGTGCTGGAAAGGAGATCGCCTGGCATCCAGGCTGCTTCAAGTGCATCACATGTCGGGAACTTTTGGCTGATTTGGTGTACTTCTTCCACCAGGGGCAGGTATTCTGCGGTCGCGACTTGGCCATTAAGCTGAAGATCCCGCGGTGCCGAGCCTGCGATGAGCTGATATTCACCAAGGAGTACACGGCAGCTGAGGAGGCGACCTTTCACATCAAGCACTTCTGCTGCTATCAGTGCGATGAGCCGCTGGCCGGACAGCAGTACATCGCGGATGAGAAGTCCAACATGCCGCTGTGCCTACTGTGCTATGACCGCTTGTTTGCAGTGTGCTGTCAACGCTGCAAAACAGCAATCGGACCTGCGGATCAGGGTGTGGCTTGGGGCGATGTCCACTGGCATGCCAGTTGCTTTGTCTGTGCAGGAGCCCAGTGCTCGAAGCCGCTGATAGGAGGACGTTTTTGCGTGAAGGAAAACATGCCCTTTTGCAGTCCCGCCTGCGTGCGAAGCGTTGTTAATTGAGGCAGCTAAGGAACCACTCCAGTATTCGTATTCATTTAATATACATGCACAAAGGATCAAAGACATAATAACCCGGTATTTGATGTTCAATAGATGCCACAGACTCAAAGTGCCTAGAAGACTTGCATTTAAAAAAAAAAGCCAAACTGCTATTTACAATTCCAATCAAATTAGAGTTGTGATATTTTATATTTTAATATTTTGCATGCACTTTTAATAGAATTGTATTATTTTTCCCATAAAAGAAAACTAATTATGACTGAACTATTTACAATTCCAACCGCCTTTGCAGTGCCAATAGACCAAGTAGAGTATATATAAATATTTTATATAAACTATATAAAGAAATATTTACACATTGAATAGTATTATGTATACAGGAAACGCACATTTTTTAAATAAAGATTTTACTCGAAACTAAATACCCACAATTAATAAAACACTAATTGATTTTCAATTTTTTACGTATCTGCTGGTAGTTTTTATTGGTAATTGCATTTCTCGATTTATTATTTAATCATAATTCAATTTTTGTTGATTTTTCTTGTTCTTGATTGTATATGTATATGCATGTATAAAGTTGCCGATTTCTGTGGTCGAGCCATAATGCAGAAGCGAAAACAAGGGGGGAAAATCACATTCACATAATTGCCAAATTACACTTGAGAGAGGGTGTTTCGCATAATGTATATAAGTTGCATTTATTTCAAGGATACTTTCATAATGGCTCAAGTATTCTACAGATAGTTGCTCGCACTTGCAAAGTGACATGCAGTTCGTTCAGTTCAATTGTATTGCTAAGTATTGGGTGCGTACGTATAAACCATAATATGGCGTACTAAGAATTTGTCTGGTTCAGAGTCGTAAGCCCCAAATGGAGCTCCCCGGTAGCTGCCATCGGTAGTCAACGTTTCCGACGCTAGGAAACTTGTACGTGTACGTGGGCTCTGAGCTCGATTTCTTTGGGTAGGACTGAGTGGGAAGATTGGAGGGTTCGGGTTGGAGGAGTGTTTAATTTCAGCATGATTTCATCGATCTCTAGTTCTCTATGCTCTGGTTAGCTGTTTCGATCTTATATTAACACTAAGTTGCCTTTGCTTCAATTTGTTGTTAGTTTTCTCTCGTTAAATATGTATTAATTACATTGATAATTAGTTTAATCATAATTTCTGTTTTCGTAAACAATTTTACATGATAGGATTCTTCTTCTGAGTGTTCATGCGTGTGTGTCTGTAAAGATTTACGTGTGTTAGTTCTCCGTAATTTGCTACAACAAAAACTATGTCTTAAAATAATACTTTAGTTACAATTTATTTTGTTTGCTTCCTCTGCTCGCTTGGCATTTCAATTTTGTTCTTCTACTGCTGGCACAACTAAAAACAATCAACAAAAGGGGAGTTAAGTTTAAATAAACTTGTTTGTAACTAATATATTTTTTATATTCTTAATAGAGTTGGACAAGGGGGTAAAAAGGAAAACGACAACTTAAATTAAGGCTTACAAATTACGAGGGTTTTTCGGGGGCGAAGGTGGTTTAATGGGCAAAAAGGAATTGTTAGGGGCGGGATAAAACACTAATTACAAAGCGATATGGCAACACTGTACGTGTGTTCTGCCTACAATCTGCTGTTTCTGTTTTTCATAATTTGTTAAATAACTAAAAAACTTTATAACTTATAACCCAGGTCGGTTTGTCCGTCCGTCAGTCCGGTCGTCTGTCTTTCATGCTTTCAGTCCGTCGGTCTCCAGTACCCGTCCGCTCCGTTGCACACATCTTAAAGCTATACACAAAAAGTTAAGTTAAGTTGTATATAAAGATTTGCTTCCTTCGCTCTCCGGTCTCTGGCAGACTTCGAGGAGTAGCTACTCCCCGGATCATCGTCCGCCTGCTCGACCGCCGAGGCGGTCAAGTGGACCGAGCCCTGTCCACATCCCGGTTGCTCAGTATCTGTACGCCGCTGTCAACAATTCGTGTAGACGCCCTGTGTGTAGTAAAGCTCCGTGATCCGTTCTGGCAGCGTGCTATACAGGTTGGTGATCAGGTCGAGGGGCAGGCGGGACCACGCCTCCTTGATGCGGAATATCAAGTCGTCCTTGCGCGAGAATTTCCGTCCGCCGTCGAACACCTCGCGGATGAGCCAGCCCCACACGTTCTCCATGATGTTCAGATCGTGGGCGATGGTGGGCCACTTCTGGGTCTTCAGGCCCTCGGCATTTAGCAGATCCTGGGCGGTGGGCAGGGCGTGCGACATCCAGTTATGATCCTGCAGCACGAACTCCGTATTTCCACCCAGCTTGGTAACAATATTCGGCCGCTCGCGCATGATGGCCTCTATACAGGATTCCGGACGCTGTTTGGCGGATGACACCTCCAGATGCACGGCTCCCCCCACACAGACCATCAGGTAGATGTACACGGAGTTGCCACGCGGTCGCTGCGACAGCGTGCGCTCGTAGTTGCGCAAGTCGTGGAAATAGTACGAGAAACCATCTGGTCCGTCTAGGTTAAACCTGCGCTCGTCGTGGAACAACACCCTCCGCCAGTGCTCCTCGCTCCACACGATATACGTGTTGGCGAAATTAAGGCGCTCCGTTTGATTATACTGCGACAGTACCGGCTCCGTCTTCAGCTTCTTGGCGCAGTTTGCCGAACTGCTGGTGCTGGAGGAGGAGCTACTGGACGAGGAGCTCGACGACGCGGATGAGGACGAAGAGGATGACGAGGCGGAGGAGCTCGGAGCTGTAGAGGCGGCCGATGCCCGTAGGAGCGCGTTGGCCGCCGCTGCAATGTTGCTGCTGCTAGGTGCTCCAACGGCCGCCACCCTGGACACAATGGTGGGTGAAACGCTGGATCCGTTCGATTGCTGGGTGGGCGCATGGCTGGAGGCAGTGCCGCCGGTACTGGAGCTAGCCGCAGAGAAGTTTGAGTTCTGATTGAGGGCGTGCACGGGCAGGTGGGACTGCGGCTGGCTCTTGAGAGGCTGTGGTTGCGGTGGAGGCGCCTGCTGCGGCTGTTGCTGGTAGTACGGATGGTGGTGGTGGTAGCTGATGTGCTGCTGGTGCTGGTGGATCGTCGGCTGCTTAAGCTGCAGCTGTTTCAGCTGCGTCTGTGACTGGGCCAGCAATTGTTGCTGATGCTGCTGATGGTGTTGTTGCTGCTGCTGCTGTTGTTGTTGCTGCTGCTGTTGGTGGTGCTGCTGTGGGATGGGCATCTGCTGGATACCCGGATGCTTCAGGTAGTAATGCAGCGCCATCAGATTGTTGGCACTGCTGGCTGTGCTAGTGGGTACGGGCACGGAGACAGGAACTACGCCGGGATTGACTATTCCGCCGACCCCGCTCTGGAGAAGCTGTACTGTGGTGCCAGCGGGCGGTCCATGGACCGCTGCTGCCGCCGCCGCCGCTGCTCCAATCGCACCAGCACTGGCGGCCAACTGGGCAGCCGACTTGGGGTCATAGATGAACTTGTTGAAGTTCTGCAGGTCATCCGGACTGAGCACTAGCGTTTTCATTTGGATCTGGCTTGGATCGGGTATTTAGGGCTTAAGTCTGGTTTCCGTTTTAGCTTCTGCCGCTGGCTCAGCTGCTCATGGGCTTGGGCTATGAACCCTTCAAGCTGGGCTGGGTTAAATGCAAGTCCGGGTCTGCGGGTCTCTGCGTCTTTCTTTACTTCTTTTTCGGGGACTGCTTACAAACGATCACGCTCACGCACTTTCGGTTGTCTGGCTGGTTGGCTCGATTTCCAAATTAGTTGCGCGTTCAACTTGGCAACCTGTTCCTCTCTCTTGTTCTCCGCTTCTCTGAGCTACTCCCTTCTCTCTGGCTTATCAAAGGGCTGGCCGATCGACTCGGCTCGGCTCTCCGACTTCTTCTGATTGCAAAACTCTCGGCGGTCGTAAAAAGATGTCGGTTTACTTTCCCACCGTCGGGCACGTACTGTGTGTATATGTTGCTGGTTAGCCGTTTGGTGTGTGTGCGAGTGGAGCACTTCCAGTATGTTATCCTCTTTTGTTGAAGTGGTTTTTCTTGTCGCTGGTGGTGCTCTGCTGTGCTGCAGTTGCTCCGCTGGCGTGCAAATGTTTCCTTGTTTCTTTATTCTGTCGCTGCCTTGGCTCTTAGGTATTCCGCTGTCGTCGACGTCGATTTACCTGGAATAAAATAAAAAGCAGGTATGTGAAAAAGAGTCTTGTTTCACACTTTGTCTTGTGTATGTGCCTGTGTCGGTGTCTGTTGTATATATCTTTTCAAGCGATAAATACAATGCAGCCATGTATTCAATAATTTTTCGGCTGGTGAAATCAACACACATCATTTCGGAACAGATGTTCGTTGAGCTCGGATTTCAGGTCCCTTTTCATCTTCTCTGACCTGCCTTTCAAGTATTCTCCTACAAAATACAAAAAAAAACACTGAAATGGGAGCACACACGCAGGCACACATGTGCAGTTTTTGGCATTTTGGAAATTTTCTGCATTGCCAATTTTTGGTTTTTGCCAGCAGGTATTTTTCGGTACCTTCCTATTTTTGTATTTTGTGTGCTCCTTTTCGGAGCAAAACATACACACGAAACGAAACAAGTGGTTGGAGGGTCAAAAGTGCAGCAGCAGAAAAGGAGAAGCGAGATAAAGATGCCCGAAATAGAGGGCAGGTGTTGCAAATCCTGCAGAGAATTGTTTAGCGATTGGCAAGCCAAAAATAGATTACCCCCTATCTACGTTGGTTTTTTGTACACCCTTAAAAATTGTTTTCTTTCTTGCTAAGTATATTAGTTGTATGTTTTTAAAGACGATAAATTAAGTTGTATCTTTATAATTGGACACTTGTGAGGGCATAAAAACTTCGTTTAGCCATGTTATTATTTTTGTTTTCTTCCCAACCAGCGAGGCGATAAGGCTGCAGCCCTATATGGTACGTGTATGTATTTGCCGTGTTATCATCTGACTCCGGCTATGACGATTCCGATGGCGACACGCGCACGCAGCACATGCCCCATTCATAATCCCCGCACTCCCGGTTCCGTCCAGAAACCGAAATCCCACCATGTAATACACCTATATCTAATCGCGCATATAAATTTCACTCCCATGGAATAGCTTTTCCCTACTCCAAACAAACTGCGACTTTAATACGCATGTTTCCCACTGTTTTCCCTTCGCCAGTAATGAAATTAAAACTAAATTCTGCTCGCCACGGGGATGAAAATCGAGTTTTCGATTCGTCCAAGGGAAGAAGCATACGTATGTATGTATCTGTGTGTGCGGGGTGGCTGCGGATGTGGATGAGGACGTAGATATGGATGTGGTTGTGTCAACCGAAGGACTACGGTGTGTATTTTTGTGTGGCTGCTGCAGCAAACTCGGTCGCTTTCCGATCGAAATTGCTGCAGCTGTGTGGATGTGTGCCTGGAAACTGCTGACTGTCGACTACTAGCTGGGGCAAAAGTTTCTCCGGGGCCTGGTCAGCGGGTCGAAAGTTCAACGGGGAAAGACCTTCGACGCGCTGCTGCCAGGCCGAACAGCTTTTGGCAAGATGTAAGGGGATTGAGGACTAATAAGAAGCCAATACAACATGAATCAGCCAAGGAAAACTTTGGAAAATCAGCTGAGGGAGGCGATCTTATGCTGTATACTCACATTTCTGAAGGTGGAAGAACAATGAATACGCATTTACTACCCCTATCTAAATGAATATCTCATCCCAATGTGAGAATTATCTCATCAATAACTTGGAGTTAATACAATTTAAACATTAAATAAAAAAATAAAGAGATTCTAATAAATCACACTAACAAATTCTTTAGCTCAAAACGGTCTTCAGTAAAAAAAACACTTTCACCAAATTGTTTATCTTACAAAACCAAAGTCAATAAGTCTGAAAGGGAAAAAAGCAGATCTTTCATTGCAATATCAATCATTTTAAGTATCTTTATTAAGTCTCAATGTGGTTTTACCGTCCTGGTAATCTAATAATACCTAATAAAGCACTCTGTTTAGTAAAATATCACTACTATTAGTGTTCTCTTACAATTATATGTTTTCAAACAATCTTTAGCAAAAAGCGTCGAAACTTTAAATAAAACTTTTCTCTAGCGATTGTACAAGGAATGGATATGGTTTAAAAACTTGAAAGCCTTGAAAAAAATTAAATTGGAAAACTTACAATATAAACTGGAAATTATTCCAATCTGATTGTTTTATCAACTGTTTTGCCATGTTTTCTAATTATCATTGTGATGACGGCGGCTTTCTACGATTTGCGTAGAACAGCTGCTGTCTTTAATCGATGGCAACTCATTTTCAGAGCTGATTACGCACTCTCGGCATTCTTCTGCGCAATTAAAGGGAAGTTGTGAGTTGGAAAAAGATAGTTTTGTGCTTGCTGCTCTGCAAATTCCCCATTCACGAGAGATATGGCACATGCAAACAGTCGAATGGAACGAGAACCTTTGTTTAGTGTTGTGTGAACTTTAGCCTTGCGTTCGTCCAAAAAATACAAAACAAAACAACAAACAAAAAAAAACTGGTTGTAGTTGTAGGGTAAAATACAGACAAAAGATTGAAACGATGCTGGTTTCCAGCGTTTCAAAGCCCTTGGAATGTTGGCAGGCCTAAAAATGTCTGCTTTTTTTCTACAATCTAATCAAATGCCCTTGATAAGTCTCTGAACTCGGTCCGGGATCTTTTAAGTCTGCTGACTAATCAAATTTTAAGCAATTGAGTCATGTTCAGGGAACTGTTTTAATACACAGAAAAAAATATATCTATTAAACATTTTCTACATCATTTTAATGTGAAAATATGTAATCAATGGTGAGTTTTATTTAAATAATCAATTTTAATTTTTTATAATCTAATAATCGAAATCATTGTTTTGAACTTTTTGGCCAACTTGAAGTGCTGGTAATCATTGAACTAATCGTATTATATGATTTTTTTTCTGTGCACTGGTTCATATTGGTTGCGTTGAAACTTTGTTGTTAAGGTGATTCACTCGGGTTATATTCAGAGATGTTAGATGATTTTTGAACGATTTTCACTTGTTTTCATTGGGACTATTTGAGTCCTGTGGCGACGACACTTTTGAAGGGGATCACTGTTTTTGTGGCCGCGAGTGTGGAGCCCTTCGTTGCGGGGGCTGTTGCTATTGCCGTCCCCCTCCCACCCGATAACGTTGCAGTCTCGTTTCCCGTTACGTTGCATTCAAGGAGCACAACACACGCACGCGAAAAGAGACCGAGCAAGAGAAAGATGAAGGGGAAAATACGGGAGCGGGGGCATATGGACATGTGTAAAATATCCAAAAATATAAAACGAACCCAGCGACCGACGACCAAAACGTCCGACGTAATAAAATCCCTTACGCGCTGCAGGCAGCGCTGCCACATGCTTCTATATTGAGCCAGCCAGCCCTTATATACATATTCAACTCTCCGTTATGTACAACAACAACCAGTCCCGCATACATACAAACAGACCCCGTCTCTGTGTCCACATGTATTAACGTATGTACGATACGTGCGTGCGTGTCTGTGTGCGCGTCGTGTTTTTGTGATGCCATCGTCGATATTGAAAGTACATGTGTACATACATAAATACGAATGTACGTGTATGTACGGGCTATGTACAACGTACGTTGAACGAGAATCGAATCGCGTTGGAAATAAAATGAAATTGCGAACAACGGAACGGTACGATGACGATCCGATACGAAGTCTTCTTTTTATTCAGTTAATTCTTAGCACATATGTATAGATATATAATAGAGTGTGTGTGCGTGTGTGTATCGTTTTCATTTTCACGGAACAAATATGGCTGCAGCACACACAAATTTTTTTCGTTTTTTTTTTCACTTTTTCACGCTTTTGTGGCTCGTTTTTTGCTTAAAAGTATTGCTGACTCGTCGATTGGGGTTTCGTGGATTTTGACTCCGTTTGCGTTGTATTTCTTGACTGCCTTTCGGCTGGCTTTAGGGTTTCGTTTCAGAGTGCGTGATTACGCCATTTTCTTTGCTCGTTAGCTTTTCGCTGCACGCCCATCTTTCGAATTACCTTTTTTTCGATTCGATCAATCGATTTGATCGCTTAACTAGCTGCACACGCGTACACTGGGTCGAAACGATTGCTGATTGGGATCACCCAATCAATTTATTGACTATTCCACGGGCGCTGGGGGTTTCTTTAAATGCAAGTACGCAAAACTCACGGGTTTTCACCAACCAACACGATTCGTCTTGCTCAGACTTAGCAGCAGTGTGACCGAGGGAAACTTTCCTTCGGGCGTGTCAGTGTGACCATCCCACAGTGCTGCCGAGATACCGACAAGAACAGTCGCTTTGACCTCGTACACAAACCATTTAGTGTGGACACAAGCCAATGGGACCAAAATAACAAAAAATGTTTTTTTAAAATAAATAAATTTTGTATTTTATGTTGCAAATTTAAAGCTTTTTATTTTATGGTTCTAGGTTTTAAATTCATCCGCTTAGTTTCAACACCTAAAAAGCCAGACGAATGGCTCTGCCATAAGTTATCGATAGTTAACAGCTGACCCACTTTTAAGCCCAACAGAGCATCCAAAAATCTGCTTATATGATGTCATATTACTTTATGCATAAATAACTTTTAATTTACTTTAATCAAGTACAATTACAGTACATTATAATTTAACTCTCGCTCGCAGACAATTTCAATGTATATATGTATATAAATGTGCAGTAGATAATTTCAGCGTTATAATCCCAAAGCACCAGAACGTTTAGTCGGTCGGGTTCTGGATGACGATCAGGATAAAGTCCTTGTCGGGCGCCACCATGATCTCGTGCTTCTTGGATCGTACTCGCAGGAATGTCATGTCGTTCGAAGGGTCCAAGTCTCTCACCACACTTCTAGCCTTGTCAGCCAGCTGACTCATTAGACCAGCGTACTGGACGGTTGTCGTATTGTCCAGCGTGGATTTGACCGGAATACCTAATAAGAGGGTTCAGTTTCAGTTGCAACAAGTCGGGTATCAGCAAAAAAAAATTAAGTGTAAACCACCCACCTTCATTGTTGACCACAATTGTACCCACAACACCTTTGTGACTCTGGATCCTCTTGAGTGTCTCCTCGACCTCTTGCGACTGCAACCGGTAGATAAATGTAACTCCTTCAAGCCTTTGTACAATTACTTTATCTACTTACCATTTTTTCTAATAGGTGGGTTAAACTTCAGAAAAAAACACGGTTTAACGAAGAAGTAAAGTTTGTTTGTTCAATATTAGAGATGGACCGTCAGTGGTGTCACTTTTTTGATGTAAGCTTAACACCCAAATAATGTACGATTAAAAGACAACTATCGATAAGAATGTTAACCATTTTAAAAATGTTAGGTATCGAGCGTTGTTTAACTAATGCGCTCTTAATAACGTTTGCAAATTAACTTTTCTTAAAAAAAAGTCTAAAAAGCAACTAATTAATGCCAAATTCTTAAATGTGATATTGACCCATATCGCTAAACTTCCCGTAAAAGTTCGCCTTGGAAACCAAGAAAACAATAGAATTGGGTCAAAGAGTACAAAAGAACAAACAAAGCCTAGTTATTAAGGACTACTTTCAAACGGGAAATAGAACTAAATTTTACCAAAATCAAATGTTTTTGGATACTCAAAAAAGGGTAAAACTAGTTAACACACAGCTTGTACTATTGTTTTATAAAACTTCGTTTAATAGCCGCCTCGAACCCTGCGCTATGTGGAAAAAGCATTCAAAGAGGTCAAATCAAGGAAAAATGTCCGAGATGTAGTGATTCTTAACGACAGGGGTAACCCGGTAAAGAGTACGATGGATCAAGACGATGCCGTGCAACTCGCCGGACTTTTCCAGGCCATTCGAGGACGACTGGAGCGTGGGATGAGCAAAATAGATCCCACAGATGAATTGCTGATGCTGAGAGTGCGCACAAAAACGAATGAAGTTATTCTGGTTCCCGACTCCAAAATAACAGTTCTTGTTGTGCAGAATGCCCATGACAACTTTGAAAAATAAAGTAATCCAATGTAGTGTACAATTTGCTGATCAAATTATAATTTTATTTTTTTAAAAACGCATACATATTGTTGTTCATTAAAGTATTGTAACAAACACAGTCACCGAAAATCTTTTCAGAACTAAATGTGTTTAATAGAATTCTTTTATTTAATGTCAGGGAATACAAATTTTCGGCCATGGAAACATTTACTGGGATCGTTGATAGTTGTAAATATTATTCCAAATCCAGTTTGTATGTTTGATAACATTTGTGAAAACGTGTATGCCATCTGATGAATAACTGACCATAGCTAACAAAATAATATGATAATCTGGCCTCAAGACGTTTGCCATTATTTCCCCACTGGTTTTTTGGGCTATATTCATTTCGTGAGGACTTTCCACACAAAACTGATTTTGGTCGAGTTTAGCACCGAAATGATGTGTACATAGGTTGAGATCCCCAGGTACAACGGCTACATTTATAGCTTTCTCATCGTCAAACATGACAAAAGGAAACCCTTTTTGGGCGTTTTCCTGGTATTCTGGACTCGTGAGCATACAGATGGGTTTTAAACTTTCTGGAATAAGAAATCAGTGATCGAGTTAAAGGAATAATACTCTAGAAATTTACCATAGCTGCCAATTTGTTTATCTAGCTTTAGCAAGGCTATATCATGCTCTGGCAACTTGAAAACCGAGGAAACCTTGTGTTCTTCATATTTCTGTTCTCCCATAAATGTCACTTCTCTGAAAAAATAATTCAAAAATATGTGAAAAGGGTTCTTTTCTAACACTTTGGGACAGCTTACAGAGAGTTATGATTTTCTGGCAAGTTTGTGGCAACTGTGATGACAAATTCTGAAAATCAAAAGATATTACCTTTTTTAGCACCATTATTTTATGAAACTTAAGGGATAGATACTCACGCGGATGGATAAACACGCCTAGTGCCTTGAAACCAGGTCCATAAATAGTTGGTCGTAAGACTGATCCCATGTCTTTTTTAGCGCAGTCCTGGTATAAGAATACCTCTGTATTATAATTGCCTACAGGAGGACGCAATGTAGGAGCTTCATGTGAACCATAGGGGGTTTGACCATTTAGTTGCTCATCAGAGCTATTTATTGTTTCCTGAATCCAATCTACAAAGCTAGTCACATCCGTATAGACTGCTGCTGAATTGCATGCTGTTGTCCCAAAGCTTACGATACCGAGCTGAGTTGTAAGATTTTGGTTATTAATTTTAAGCTTTTTGATCAACGGACCGCCAGAATCTCCCTTACAGGTGTCGCCATTTGGGGATCCAGCACAGATCTGAGACGATAAGAGATCTTGATAAACCAAACTTAGGCATTCATTCTTATCCATTTGGTTAAGAGTGATAGTTTGAAGAATTTCACTATCGTTAAAATTTTTTTTTAGGCCCCAGCCAAAGGCTTCGAAAGTTTTCAACTTTTCTACGCTTTTCTTAATTTCCTTATTCGTATAAATGCAGATTGGTTTAACGTTCACTGCGGAAAAAAGCATTAAAAAGTTTGTCGAAATACATCAAACAGCTTACTTACTATTATACACGACACTGGTTGACAGTTTAAGCAGGCCTATATCATACGGCGAAAACCCGTGTCTGTATTGAGGGTGCGGTATCTGATGACTGACAGTGTACGTATCTTGGGGAATAGATTTATTGTATGCCCCCAATCCCACATGTCTGTAATTAATATAATCAAATATTAATAAAATTCCCTCCATTTAAATATCTAGTTCGATAATACTTACAGATCCTCTTCTATACCCAAGCAATGAGCTGCAGTTAACGCAAAGCCTACAAAAGTAAGAATGATATTATTGTGCCAACGTGTACATCTTCTATAAAAACCACGAACGTCTTGTAATCAGCGTGCCACCGCACATAAATCCTTTCTTGCTATATATGGCTGCGAGAAAGGAAGCAGATTCTGGTGGTGCGTCTATGCCTCCTGTAATCCTTATTTGAGTTTCAACTCCACAGGGACTCTCTAGGAATTGGGAAACGCCCTGGTGGACAAGAAGCAAGGTGAACAAAGGAATCCACGCGAGAGATGACTCCATTCTACTGGGGGCACAAAACACAACTGAAACACCACTGAGTCGAAATAACACAGATCATTTCTTATCAGCTATAATTTTAATTTTTCTGAAATACCCAATTGGTAGGTGTTATGGCACACCAGAGAAAAAACATAATTCTATTGCTTACATTTTAAACTAAATATTTTCGATTGTGACCTCACTATCTTGTTGTGCTTAAATCCATGTGTGCTACACCTAAATTTTTATTTTATGCTTTATTTAAAGAAAAGATATGAAATGTTTGAAACTTCAAATATAAAAAACATAGATTCAAAGACTTAAATATTTATTACAAGAAACAAAATTAAATAAAAAAATTTTTTTTTGAGTGTTTAACATTTTTTTAAGTTGCATCGATTCCTATAAGTTGGAAAGACCCCTAATTCCCAGAAATTCTTTCCTTCGAGTTGATTGTCTCTTAGAGATTATTTTGTTATCAGCAACTGAATGCGTTGTCTAGTCTTTAAATTTTTAATTAGTTTCGCTTTCTTAACCTTTCAAATAAAAAAAGAAAATAGCAAATTTCGGCAAGCTCATATATGTACATTGGTATGAACTTATGTATGTATATACCCCTGCAGCTATTACAAAATGAAACATTGGTCGGAAATGTATCCTTCACTCCGCTTAAAACTTTTGACTGGGATTTTATATACCCACTGGAAGGGTATAAAAATGTACATACATATGTATGTACGCAAAAATGAACAATATCCGTCGTCGACGGATTCCATCTTGACCAATCTGCAATTAAATGTCTCGACCTTTTTACCCTCTGATCCGTTCAGTTGATAAATGAATGTTTAAAAGCAGAATTCATATTGTGAAAAGAAGTTACTTAATAATATTTTCTATATGAAAAAATGTATTTTGGAATACGAAATATTTAAATCCATAATTTCATTGCCATTTAGATATTTGATGCAATATTGGCATGACACTTGACTACCCCAAACGGGATATAAAGAAATGAAATTGATAAGCCCATCCCAGTCCTTTTTGTTTTTTTTGATAGTTTTCATTTCATTTTTTCTAATTTTCAACAATATTTGATAGTATCAAGTACCTTTTATGGTTCCCGCTACTAATAGTCAAAAAATCGATGGTGCTAGTTGTTTTTTAACTTAAATGTAATAATAGCCATAGGCAATGCATAAATTTTAAAATTGTGGGGTAATCTATTTATTTGTTACTGTTTATTAACTAAGAAAAAAGACACATTGGTTGTTTTATTAATTTAAATTAATTTTACTCGCGATCCACTTAGTATGTGTCATAACATTTGTGAGAATCTGGATGTCCTCAGTTGAGAAGCTGATAACCCCTAGCAAAACGATGTATTGCTTTGCAGAAACCATAATCTTGTTTACCAATATGTCGCCCGAGATCTCGTTTGTCTGACTCATTCCGGGTGGATTTTCCACACAAAGTTGATTTTGATCTAATTCCGTTCCAACATAAGTCGAGCACATTTGGGAATTCCAAGGTTTAGCACTAAATTCTTTTGATTTCACATTATCAAATATAGCGAATGTTTGGATTCTTTCGACCTGCTTTTGATACGTTTCACTTACGATGCAGATCGGTTTTTGGCCTGGAAAAGAATAAATCAGTAAGCGGGGCAATGGATGAGTCAAAAAATAATTACCTTCGAAGTCAAGCGGCAGCATTAGCTTAAGCAAGGCTAGATCGTCCTCGTGCCTAAAAACCAAAGAAACTCTATATTCAGCATAGTTCGTTGATCCCATTATTGACACTTCTCTGAAAAAAATAATTAACTAAGTTTTAAAGAAATAGTCTGAGTAAGGACAACTTACAAAGAGGCGGCATTTTCTGGCAAATCTCTGGCAACAGTGATGACAAATTCTGAAATTAAGAGAAATTGTTTAGTATGTATTTATATAGTATGAAAATCAATTTATTAATGTGCTATTACTTTTTATCTAACATACTATGGATACTCACGGTCTGTAATTAGCACGCCCTGCGCCTTAAAACCAGGTCCATAAATTGTTAACTGTACAATCGAAGACATGTTTTCCCCATCCCCACCGCAGTCGTCATACAGCCAAAGCTTCTCCACCACCGATGGTGGTGCAGTGGGAACCCTCTGGAAATTGGGGGGGATTTCCGGTGGGTCATCAAATCTACTTATTGTTTCCTGAATCCAATCCACAAAGCTAGTCACATCCGTATACACTGCCATCGAATCGCAAGTTAAGCTGCCATAGCTTATGATCCCGAACTGAGCTACGAATGTCTGTTTATTTATTTCGATTTTCTTGCTCAACGGACCTCCAGAATCGCCCCTGCAGGTGTCTGCACCCGGGACACCTGCGCAGATCTGAGTCGAACTGAGAGTTTCACCTAACCACCTGCACTCTTCTCGATTTAGTTGGTTAAGAGTGATAGTTTGAAGAATATCGCTTTGTTGGCCATGCTCATTTAGGCCCCAGCCGAAGGCATCGAACGTTTTCACCATTGCTACTTGACTCTTAATAGCCTTGTCCAAATAAATGCATATTGGTCGAATGCGTCCTGTGAATAAAGGCATTAAAGGGTATTTCGATGGGTCGAATAGTTCACTTACCATTGTACTCGACACGTCTCTTCAGTTTAATCAAACCGATATCATTCTGTTTATTTATTGGGTTGTATGAAATGTGCTGTACGCCGAAACTCACATCGTACCAAGCAGTCGGCTCTGCTCTGTTGTGTGCTCCCAAATGCACGAATCTTAAGTAAATAAAATATTATTTAGTTACATAAGTAATATTTGTTAATTCCTGAAAACTAAAAATGACATTAAATCGATTTAGAAGCGTAAACATATGAAACAACCTTTTTTAATGTTTTTATGTTTAAATGCTTATATGTAATATTAATGAAAATTTATTTTTGAAATCTAGTATATGCGGATCTAGTAATATGCGGATATGTTCAAAGACCACGTACATAGCTATGCCGATTTCCCTAATCATTTTCGATCTATCCTAAGGCAGTGATATAGTCCAAGTGAACTCGTATATATTTAATCACAATAAAAGTAGTTTGAAGGTACTTACAGTACGTAGCGGGATTCCAAGCAATGAGCAGCAGTTAAGACATAGCCTAAAAAGAAGAAGCTATAATATTATTAAGCTGACCTTTGTTAAAAGAGAATACAAACGTCGATTTATCAGGGTGCCACCACACTGAAAGTGTGTTCTATTGTAAATGGCTGCCATATAGATAGCATCGCTTTTGGATGCATCGTCGCCATACATTATTCTGTCTTCAGCTCTGGTCCTCGAGCATGATGGATCCAGAAGCTGGGGTGCAGCCTGGTCGCAAAGGAGCAAGGAGAACAAAGGAATCCACGCGAGAGATGACTGCATTTCAGTCTAGGCATTCAACAACTAAACCTTCAACTCTCTGATCTGCTGTTATCAGCGTTTTAATTAGGATGCCAAAGAAACACAGAAATCTGTCTTCTTAATGGTTGAAGAAACATTAAATATTATTCGCTACAAAAGATTGCGTATACACCTAAAACAAAGAAGATGTGTCGATTTGTCAATTTTTTTTTTTAACCCTGGTTGCGTTCTTGTTGAAAATAGTGCCGAATTACATCACACTTAAAAATTTATTCAAAAAACTATATTTTTAGGGCTCCTTCCAAAGGGAACATTATGCCTTTTTGAATGCGCAAAAAACTATGCTAAGTTAATTTCTTAGCCATTTAGCCGTTCAGCTAAGATCAGGATTTAAAACTGTGCACTTCTATTTTGTTCCGGTCGTGGTAATGGTAGTGGTTGATAGTAGTTTAAAAAAATCGTATCAACATACGAATTTTATGATACCAATTTTTGTGAAGAAAAATTATTACACACTCGACTACATAAATACACTTTCTAGAATTACGGTGTAAGCAATAAGCTTATATATTTGACTACAGTTCATTCGCACTGTTAACCCGAAGCAAAATTAGCTCATTATTTATTACCATTCACATTAGAAATTAAGAAATGTTTTTAATTCTAAAAATGGTAAAATTATAATTAAAGAAAAACTTTTAAAGTCTTAAAATTATTTACTTACTGGATTTACAATTGGCTCACTCTACAAATAAGCATCATATTTGCATTGTTCTTCAAGCTTTATGCATATCTACAACTATCCGCAACTAAATTTGCAGTCTCTTAAAGGTCCCGCAATATAATGGAGTCCCAGGGCTGCAAAAAATATCATCTCATATTTTCGTTGCACTATCGCAATATCGCGAAGTATCGATATAAAAAAATTAAATAGAAAATGTGTTTGAGGTATCGTTACTATCGTACCACCTCAAACTCAAACCTTCTCTCTGTGTTTTTTTGGTCGCGGCTGTTTGTCTTGTCGCTTTATTCCGTTCGTTTCGATAATATAATATTAGTATTATATTACATTACTACTTAGCACATATAGTTAAAAGTGGAATCGCGAACGTAACAACACTTCAACTACAAAATTAGCGGCCGCGAATTTGTGATGACGTAGCCGTCTTTTTAGGGCGTAAAAAGCAAAGCAAAGCAAAAGCAAACAAACGCGAAAAGCGTAAAAGCGATAAAAGCGACTTAAATACGCAGCAGATAAAATACAAAAGGGAAAAACAAATCACGAGAATTCTTGCTAATATTCGGCAAATTTTTGCAAGCGTGAGTGTTTGTGTGTGTTTGTGTGTGTTTAGTGGGTTAAAACAAAAAGGAATCGAACGGTAAATGCAGCGCCGCAAAAATGTGCAGCCTGACGCTAAACAACATGGTCAACGTAACGCAGCAGGACCTTCACGATCTATTGGAAACTTTCGAAAAAAAGTCCTTCGAGGCGGCGGCCTTTGAGGAAGGAACGTCGGTAAGTTTGTTAGTTCCCGTATGTGTGTGTGGGTGTGACATACATTTAGGCGCACGTGCACGTGCTTGTCGCCGCAAAAACACACTCCTACACATACAGTCGAAAAAAGCTTGCTGTGCTAGTGTGCGTGGCGCCTACGTCGAGGACACGTCATTTATCCTTTCCTCTTCTTGGTCTTATTCTCTTATTTTCTACTCCTCATCTCCTCCTTCTCGTCGTCTTCCTTTTGCCGCGCCCCGAAAATCCTTAGCCACTCAAAATGGCCGCCATTAAGCTTCCTGCAAGGAAAATCGTATTTTTATGGAAATCAATAGGCGGTAAAACATGTCATTTGCTCGGCCTAATGGATTAAATTTGTCCCAGGATTTGTATTTCTCAGGACAATGCTTTTTCGTGTGGTGCTAGTCATTAACCTAAAATTGGTCACCGTTAATTATCTTAGTTGAATCCGGATTATTGATTCAGAACTTCTTGCATCCGTATTTTACCCACAAAATGTAGGGGTCTGAATCAGTAGTTTTCAATTCCATTTTTCTCTATTTTCATATTCATATTTATGAAACAAGTAAATTCCCAAATCGGCATAATAGAATTTTATAAAGTGAACCGTTTTCTTAAATTATGTTCCTTCGTTATTAAAATCTAAAAAAATATTTGTTTATTAAATCGAGGATCTAATCAAGATCTTTTCCAAATAATCTACATTTAAAAGTCGCATTATATCTTTTTATTAATTCCGGTTTCATTTAATTAAGAAATATCAACCAACAAAACATTCTTTATGACGTTTGTTCTCGATTTGTACTGAAATGGAATACCCCTTGCTTAGCTATGCGGTAATTAAAAGCCTAATGGCCATTTTAAGCCTTGCTTCGACTCACGCATTTAATGTGCATTATTTCACCCACACGCACTCGAACTCGGCGTTTGTCTTTGGCTTTCTGTACACTCCATTTACACCCCCTTTACCCCCTTCAATGTCACGCACGCCTTTTAATAGTCGAGCATGTAATTCCGTGTTATCGCCCGCTTAACCGGCAATAACACAGAATAACGATTGCGATGGCAACTTGGCAACAGCGGAATCGCTGTTCCGCTGCTCATTTGCATGCCACTGAGCTGCTGATGGTGAATACATTTCAGCCGAAAGCCAGGCACCTGGAAACAGAGCGAGGAAAGCTAGTTGAAAACTTGGCACGTAACTCACGTTTTCGCGGCGATCTTACATGTGTTTGTTCAACTGCAATCGGTACAAGTAATTGATTAACTGCATTGGCCAAGGGATAATACTTTGTTGCAGTAGTTCTACTTTACGATAGCAAAAGCACACATTTTTATCAAACAATGGCACAGTCTTATCACTCAGTTCGGGCCAAACAACGGGCGCCTGCCTTCGATTTGATTTTCCCCAAGTATTTTCCTTATCTGCCAGCGATTTGAAGGCGCAAACAAAAAGCTACTGCCCGCCTACCCCTTGATACAAAGCATTGGATTTTGATGGAGTGCAAAGGGTGAATTATGTGTGCGATTCTCGGCCTCTTTATATTTTCCCCTCTCCCAGGGTTCAAGGTTAAGTTTAGCCATACCGATTAGATTAGGCGCCCAGCCAATGGCACAATATTTAAGCCAATGACGTAGGCCCGCGATAATGTTTTTCAAAGTTCCTGGACTAGAGAGAGATCGCCTGGCGAACGTGTGCAAAAAATAATTTAAAAATTTACATTTCCTGAATACTTTACTGAAAAATCTCATCTTTAATATGAATATGATTAAAAACGTAGATATTTTGTAAGTCAATATGTATGTATTTGTATGTGATTTTGTGACGGAAAAATTTTGGGGTGTTTTGTGATCTCTTAAAAGGTTCCCTTTTTATTAACGATTTAAAGCCCAGATAAGATTCAACAACTATTTCTTTTGGAAGGTACTTCAGGTCCAAAGCCCTTTACTTTTGTTGTGCCCATTCTCTTATCGGGGCAAACAAAAAAGAAACAGTATAAATAGCTCTCGGTTAGCACGTGACACAACAATTTGCGTTTTAGATTACCAGAGGGAATTCGCCTTATCAGCGAACTTTGACAAAAATTTCAACCACATACCAAAAGAAAGGGAACAAGAAGATTGCTTAAAATTACATCAAGATATGGAAATATTTAATATTCAACATCCATTCAAAAAAATTACATTCATATTTGTAGGTTCGCCAAAAAAAATACATTTATATGGTGTAGATTCGCTAAAAAAAAATACATTTATGTAGTTTCGCAGTAGACGCCGATCGATCGATGGACAATTATTAATTATTGTGCGTTAATCGCCTTATACACCCTGAAAGCTTCGACGGAACTCCTCTTCGAAATCACCGTGACCGAGATCGATCTTATGGAAGTCGGTACATCCCTCACGCTCCAGCTTGGCCTGGGCCCAAAGGATCAGCTTGATGAGGAACATCATCCGCGGCTCCATGGGCTCCTCTTTGTTCTTGTTCTCCGCCTCCTGGCAGCGCAACATGGCTGCATTTACTTCGCCGGCCACCTTTTGGCGGTAGGAGTAGTACATCAGCTCGCCATACGGACTGTACTCCGGACGATCAAAGGCCAGGAGTCCCATGGTCCGCTCCACTTCGTGGAAATGCTTTGAATCGACCTTGGCGAATCCCGCAGCCTTGCTCTGGGCGAACTTCAAAGCCTTTTCCATCTTCTGATCCCGAATCATCTCGATCAGACGCAACTGTTGCATGTGGAAAAACACATAGTTGTCGGTCTCGAAGAGGCGCGGATATATCCGAGTGGCCAGATCCATGGCGTACTTGACCTGGCCCACTCTTACGGCATCCTGGATCCTCAATCGATCCCCGATGGTGTCCATGTGGGGACCCGGCATCACTGACGCCTCGGTCATGAAACGCTTGGCGGCCTCTTGATAGCCCTCTGAAAAAAATGAAAATGATAGAAAGAAGTGGATCTAACTAGGAGAACCCACCCGTGACCAGGTAGTTCATCACCAGGCGGTTGAGATCCGCCTGCCGGCACTGGAAGCTCGTCATGCGGTGGGGCCACGAAGTCGATGGCTTAAATTCGGCCATTTCGAATTGATCTAGTTAAATTTAGGTACTGAAAATTAAAGAAACACTTGAATCCCAGATGAAACTACTCTTGTTTATTGAAATTATTATTAGTATATAAAGTCCATATTTTGAATTCAACTGAAAATATATGGAAGATATTCAGGGATACCAGAGATTTCTTCAGTCTTTTAAAATCATTTGTTAAAATGTCTAAAATATTGTTGAGATTTATAGTTTTTGTCCCCCTAAATTGTGGCATTAATTATTGGAAGCCTTTACAAATAATGTATTATCTAAATATATTGATATTTTTGATTCCATGCTAATATTTATTTTTCCACTATAATTTAACCATATTAAATAAATAGATTCTAATTTTTAATTGAGAACTTATGAATGTCTCACAATTAGTGACAAATTTATTAAGGATTTGATAATAGTTTTAATCATGAGACACGAGTTCTCTTCTCTCCGCACTTGGCTATGATGATCATTTGTTAACAATGTGCTGATCATTATATCACTTTTGTTTTCATTTGTTGTATTTGGCACGGACCGACTGATTTATTTTCATGACTTGGCCGAAACGGCATTGAAAACTGTTGCAGATGCAAATGCAAGTGTGTATTGGCGTTTCCATTTGTAGGTAGTATCTTGTGTGGGTGGGTGGGCCATCTGTCTGCTCGTGTGGGCGCCAAAAAGTGAGTCCCAGCCAAGCGAAAATGCCAAAAATAGCAGGAAGGCTTTTTCGTTCTTCTTATAAATATATATCAATTTCGTAAACATTTTCGCCGTTCAACTTTGTGTTTGCCGCTATTGTTTTTATGTTTTTTATATATTTGCACTGTGTGAAAAAAACCCACCTGTTGTTGTTTTTGTTGCTGCTGTCGTTGTCAATTGAAGGTTTATGCAAAAATTTCACCTGCTGAAAAGCGGGGTTGAAAAAATGTTGCACATTGTGTAGGTCTGCAAGAACATACTGTGTTTTGTACGAATTTGGCTTCGAATGGTTGTTGCTGGATGATTTCTGGTGCTTTGGTGGCAATTGGATAAACAGAACCAATTGGACCAAAAACAGCCGCGGAGCGAGCGCTGCCTTTGGCGCCTGCTGGAACACTATTCAGGGCCCAGGACCTGCAGGACCTGGACGGCAGCTACTCCTCCGCATTCGATGTGTATCCCGCCTGGCCTCTTCCAGTCTGCAGCTATGTCTTCCAGTCCGGAGATTGCACTCATTTTGGGGGTTGCAACCAGTTCCAGGTACGGTGGAGCCCCGCTTTGGGATACCCAATGTACTGGGATACTTTAAATGGCCTTCTCACCTCTCCTGGTCGCCTGTTTTCGTTGGCAGCAGTCTGTGCCGTGGCCACGCCCCCGCCGACGAGCGCTTTCCACCGCCGCCCCCGGAAACGGATGCAGCTGTGCTGCAAGCCGTGCGGCGTCATTTGTGTGGGCGCTTTGGAAAACGCAGCACAGGCGCGCATGAATCCCCGGAAGAGCGGAAGTGCGACGCCTTCCAGCGCAGCAATTGCAACCAAACTGTGGCACAGTGGGGTGAATTCATTGGAATAGAGGCGTTTCTTTCATCACCATTTTTTATGAAATTTCAGAACGTTTAATTACGTTTAATTACAAAGTTTGCACCCCTTAACTTTTGGATCTTTTATTCTTTTTACCTTGTCAAAGCTGATTTATATCTTCTGGATAATACATTATTAAGATTAGAAAGTTAAACATTCATTTCTATGATGACTACATTTAAATTGGCAAGGTTAATGCGTTTGTTTTGATTGATTTATAATGTGTTATGGTAGCATGTCAAGCATGCCAAAAACAATTATTTGATGACCTCAGTGTGAAAAGCTGTGAAAATAGAATTGCCATGAAAAACGGGTCAAGGTTTTTTGTATTTATTCATGTTTAATATTGAAAATAGACCCAAAATTGACGATTTGAACTTGTATATTTCACTAATTTGTTCATCTAAACACAATTTGAAAAAAATATTAAAAATATTTAATAATGTTGGATTAATTCTTGATTACTATAACCTTAATATATTAAATGTTATGCGAAGATCTATTTAATTTAACCAGTGAAACTTAAGGAAGAATTTACATAATTGTTGGTCGTATTTAATTAATAGATGATGTTGAAAAGGTGAATGTTACATGTCGTACGACGAAGTATTAAAAAACTTTTAAATGATGGTATGGCCTAAAAAGGATTTAGGATCTAATTTGAGCAACGGTCAGGTTTTTTTTCAACCGAACAAAGAAAATTAGCTTATCTTAAAAAGTTAAAAATTTGGACTTTGATTTGTGTTCCTGTTGGCTGAATATATATTAAACACATTTTGGTTGTTTTCTTTGTCCATAATTACACTTAGTGTTATCTGGGAAGTTTGTCCACTGTGCTGGCGATTTGGGAACGCTACGCCCTTTTATGATGGCCTGTTGCACATTGAACTTTGCGCCCACGCGCTTGCATGTGCCACCCCGCGCCGCCCCTTTTCCTCGGGAGTGTGTGTGGCAATGTGTCTGAGGACCAGCTGTTGCTGCAAGGTGCGTGGGTCGCACCACAGACACTTGTGCCAGGAACGCAGGAGTGAATGTAAAGGTTTCCCTATATAAAACGGTATAATGGGGGTGGGCTAGGGGCAGGAGATTTCGAAGATTGGAGGGGAAGTGCATCTGGGGCCACAGTAATAAGAGCAGCTGCGCTTCCAGCTCTTATCGGGGATGCAGCAGCTTTCCGGGCGCATGTCCGGAAAAGAGAGAGCCGGCGAGTTCGATTTAATTAAGGGCCACTCCGATAAAGGGGTTCCAATGCTTCCAGATACATATATGTATTGCAACACTTCCACCCATCCGAAATGCATTAATCTGAAACACCCTGCTGCGGAACTTCTTGCGCATTCCGGACTAACTGCCCAGCATCCGGGTCCACCATGGAAGCATGATTAGAAGAAGGGCGCAACTCGCTATGCTCGCTACTCCTCCGATTTTCCTCCAATGTGTGGTTTCGGAAGCTGCCACATTTGAGCCACCAACTCGGTATTCATGGGCGCCTGCTCGCTGACAGATAAAATCGATAATGTGCGAAATGACAATGCCGCTTTAGTCAACTATTTGCAGGGAGAGGAAGTTCGAGTTTTCGTTCTCGGTTTCTGGTACGGGGATCTCGGCATTTGTTTGTTTGTGCTGTTGTCGCCCATAGCAAAAAGGGGATGTTGTGTTGATAAAACGAGGGAAATATCAAGTTGTGTGTTTGAATGCAAAGGGCCAACAGGAGCGCAGAAGTTTTTTCCTGCTCAAAAATACACACATACATATGTACTTTATTTATTGGTTTTAAAAGGTTGACTTATTTGTGTAAAAGCATACGGAGAAAAATTATCAGTGATTGCTTTAAAAGAATTGTTTATTAGTAATCCACCAAAATAAAATAAATTATATAATAAATAAAGTATTTTAAATAATTGATAGTGGCGTACCATTCTATTATTATGCATAAAATAATATTTATTTGTATAATTTAAAAGTCATTTGATTAAGCCTATCACTTCTCAAAAATGACATAAATATGGATGTAAACATTTTTAAAATAAAACTCAATGTAAAAAGTAATTTGTAGCCAAGGATAATCTACTCAATTTGTATATTTTAACTGTTCAGGAATATAATAGTTTAAGATAGTTTTTGAACTTGAAGAACGAAAATAAATGATTAATATATTTCGTTTATATTTTTTTCGTTTAACCAGGAAACATTGCTTTAAAATTAATCTTAATTTGCAGAGCTATGTAAAGTAGAACTTTTTATGCCATAAGCTCATTTACTTTTCCTGCTAGCCCATGGTAGTTTTTGCCAAATTGAATCGATAACTTAGATGACCTTCTTTTCACATTACACTGAACTGTCTGATGGGAAATCAGAAAGCGAGGAAAGCGATCGGCGCCTCGAGGAAATCCATTCTGGTTGGGGAAACGAGTGTGTGTTTGTGTGTGGGCGGGGGAAAATCTCTTCCTGACTGGCTGGCGAATAAATTAAGCAAATGATAAATAGATTTCTGAAAGGCCCCCTTCATACCACCAATGTTCATTGTCCGTAACGCCCACTTGGCTGGATGTCACTTATTGCGCTCAATTATTGCGATTGCGATTTGTTTTTATGTGGCAGCAAGCAAAAATCATTCGGCTCTTCAACGCGGTCCAAAACTTCCGGCTCAAACGTGTTTCTCTTCATCTTGTCTTCATATCCATGGCATCTCACCCACAAAGCGGTTTCAATGTCTTTCGAAAGTTGTCTCACACTGTGGAGTGCTTTTCTTCCATGTGTTGTTTATGGACACCAGAAAAATAAATGCAAATCAACTGCACCGGCAATTTGCATATTAAAATATCATTAATATCTCCTATTGATTAGGATGATATTTCATAAATTAAGAGAAATGCTGGTGGTTAACGCAGAGATTAGCTAAAGTAATGGAGAAGAAAAAAAGACAAAGTAAAAAATGTTAGAAAATAAAGCAGACAAGAGAAACTATTAATATACTTTGATTTATCTCTGCAACAAAGTTTTAAAAACTGCAGATATGCAAACAATGATATTTCTCTGACACTTGATTGCAAAAAATACTGAAATAATAAAAATAAAATAACTATTTTAAACGTGGGAAACCTTAAATCTTAAAGAATCATCAATTTATAAGAGGCAACACAAACTGCACTTTGTTTTTGCTTGCTTTGTGACGGAAAACAAAGGCTAAAGTTATATCAACGAAAGTATATAAATACTTCTTATCGGTAAACAAAAAATGGAACTCCATGGAATATCAAAATAAACTGCAGAACTGTACTGCCTTCGTATCCAGTACCTTGATTTGGAACCTGATCCCATTCCTGATTCAGAGTTCGAAACGTGGGCGCAACTTGTTTTTGTATCTGGGGGTCTTTGAACGCCGACTATAAAAACAACAACAAAGAGGCGCTGGAACAACACGCTGCACATTTTAAAGCGCAAGCATAAATCATGTAAGCAAGAACAACAAGAATAAAACGCGGAACACTCAGTCATTTGGGTGTGGTCAGTGGCCCCAGTTTTGAGCCTTAGTTCGAGCACTGAATAATTCATTCAAGAAAAGCCATTTCCCTGTCGCTCCAGGTTTAATGAATATGCAACGTGTGGGCTGCACAGAGGCCTTCTTTTGCTCTTCTTGTTGCTATTAGCCGAAATAAGCCTTGAGTCGAAACTGGGGGCAGTACAGTGCAGCTAATAGAAAACGAAAAATCATTTAAAAATGTAGGGATCCCCTCTCTTTATTTTAAAATTGGTTATCACAAATTCAACTTTTTAAAGTCTCTGTCTAAGTTAAAAAATAGCTTTAACATTTTCAATTATATACAAATTAAGGCTACGTTATTATTTGGTAATAAAATACTTGGTCTGTGGTAGCTACCACTCTTAACCAAATTATGTTTTTTTTTAAGAAAAGACGGACCGCCAGAAGTCGGAGCTCAAGGAGTTGGACTGTACTTAATCGACGACCTCTCCGCGCTTTTCTTTTGCTGTTTCCCTGTGCTCGAGTTGGTGGTTTTCTCGGTTCGATTGCACAAGTACGAGTACGATTATTTTCAGCTGTGCGGTTTCTTAACGTTGTGTTGTGTGTTTGGCTCAGCTTTTTCTGCTTTATTTTCCGCTTGTTTTTTATTTCTTTTTTGTGAGAGAAGAAAAGTGTGTCGCACTCGCAGCTTCTGCTGGATTTTTCTGGTGGCCCAGCATCGGCAGAGTCTTTAAAATCCGGGTTTCTGAGGCAAGCTTGGCTCGAAAGCCAGCCTTCGGTTTGGATTTCATTATTTGGGTCAACCGATGATGAAAACAATAATGACAATGATGATGACGCTTAATGATCACAACGCTCGCCAACTATTTTTCACGCTGTAACTATTTGAGCGTCTGTTTGTTGTTTTTAAGTTTTACAGCGCCTTTGGAACAGGCGCTCAGTTTTCCAAGCAGCGCGGCTGCAGTTACAGTTGCATTTACTCGCTTACAAAGAAATCAACAAAAGCGGCAGCAACAACGAAACAACGGCAACAGAAGCAATGAGCAAGCAGTTCAGTGCACACAACAACAGTAACCGCTTTGTTGTGCTCTTTGTGCATGTGTGCAAGTGTGACTGCTTTGTAACGGCAGCGTCTCCAACTTGGAGCTCACTCACACACACACATCTGCCATCGATGAGCTGTTTTTTTTTCGGCATCCCCATCTCTCCTAAACGCTCCCACTCTCAACTCAGTGCTGCCAAAAGTAGCAGTTGAAATAGCTAAAAATGCTTAAAAACTAGCTTACAATAATGGTTAGAAAAATGATTAATTATATTATTTACAACTTCAAAAGCTCATAACTTAAAAGAATTTAGCTGATGATTGATTTACCATTGCATAAAAGGCAAACCAAAAAAACTTTGTTAAAAAGAATGTTCTTACATACGGTTGCCTTTGATCAAACAAAATATTTAAACAATAAACAACATTTTTATTTTGTACAAATCTGCAGGTTTTTATAAAATAAAGAATCCAGCTGGATGAAAAAAAACATTGGCCATTAGGTTTATCAATTGTTTCGTTTTCATCCGGATGTATTTATTATTTATAAAAGCCTGCTGGTTTTACCACATTTAATTTTTACCAAATTTTAATTTGTTGTTAATACATTGTTTTAAGCCTTTTGTTTGATCAAAGCACCAGTACGTATGAGTGATAAACTTTAAATCCAATACGCAATCCGTTTAATGCGTATTGCCTTTAAAGTTTATCACTCATACGTACTGATGACTTTGATTTGATTTTGAATAAATGTAGTATAAATTAAATAATCTTTGCAAATGCAAATCAATAAAGTTGTTTATATCTAAGGTTCAATTCAAGTTGTATTTTAGCCATGTTCGCAACACAAAACACTTAATCAAACTGCGAAACTGCTAGGCAAATAGACAGTAAATAAAAGACAGGGTGAGCAGCACTTTTTTTTATAAGTGAGTCTAAACTTAACATTTTATATAATTTTGAATGGTTTGGTTATGCAATTTCAAAAGGCTAACAAGTACAAAACAAACGCTAGAAAGAGCCATTTGTTTTTGCGTGCTATTTGTTGGTAATTGTAATTGCGTTTTAGTTGTTTTGCTCGTTTGCTTCGCACTCTGCTCCACTATATTTTCATCGGGTTTGTTTTGCTCTTTGCTTCGCTTTTGTTGTTGCTTATTTTTGCGAAGCTTTTGTCTTTGTCTTTTTTTGCGCTCTATAGTTTTTGATATTTGCCCATTTCTCTTTGTGAGCTAAAAACCTGTTTCCTCAAGGTGTTTGTGCCTGTACGAGTGGTTGTGGTTGTTATTATTATGCTTCTATCTAGTTGTAGTTGTTTGTCTGGGACAGCTGGTTGGGAACGATACCCACTCTCCCCCACGGCCCCTTTGCTAGTCATTTTTCCTATTTTTAGCCAGTCGCCGGTGCAACCTTAAGAATTTTTCCCGATTATCACACAGAAAACAAATAGCTTTACATTATTCATTATATTTTTATTTATAATTAGTTAAATTGAAATGGAATAATCTGTTAGAGCCCGAGTTCACACCCCACCGGTGCCCAATGTGTATTAATATTTATTTAGCTCCCTAATCTGTATTGATATTAAAGTATTATAACATCAAATTGACTAATAAAAAATTCTTATATATAATAGGTCCAAAATAATATCAAAATATTCTATAATATCAAAATAGCCATCATATAATTTTTTTTTTCTGTGCATCAGTCCAATTGTAAATATTATACAATTATCTCGATGGCCAATTGGTCCTGTAACTTGCCAATATTCCCATTCGCTTATCGCGTTTAACCCTTGGATGGCAGATAGCCAGCCAAAGTCGACCGACTCCAGATTCCAGTTCTCCTTCCCGGGAGCGTCCAAGTTCCATTGAACTCGGGTTAGGAATGTCTATATAGTATATATGTACACACACCGAGAACGCATGAAAACCAGTTGCACTCCGTGTTCTAATCTCGCTGGCCATTAAGACGCGACGCCGGCATCGCTGATTTATGCAAGCAATTGACTTTACACACCGCCCCGTCAAATACTTCATGGGATACCCAAAGTCAATGGTTGTCGCCAGTCTGAGGTCATTGGTAAGGGGATCAGATCTCAGATCTGGCCGGCAAAACCCCTCGAACCCCTTAATTAGTTATTTTTCCCCTGAATAAAAACCAGACTCTCTAGTACGTATACGTAATATTAAAATATTTATTAAAAAAGTATTCAGTGATTGGCTAGACTTGAAAACCTAAATCTGCTCATGAATTTTCTAGGATTTATTTGCCTTTTGCTCATTATTATTTTTGTTTTTTTAAATCATATTTTAAGTATTTAATATAAAATAAAATTTTGCGGTTGAATTTTTCTTTGCCAGTAAAATTATATGTCAAGAAATTCCATGTCAATGATTAAGTATTCTTAATTTAACTTTATATGTATTCTTACAAAAATGCATTAAGTCATATATTTTGAGTCAGCCCTACATTGTTACATAAACCGTGGTATCTAAATGAGAAAGCAATCCGCCTTGAATATTTTATCCCACATTTATTGACAAATTAAATTAAACTCCATATAAACTCAAATTACTTTCCCGGTTCTTCACATTACTTTTGCAAAATTTATTCCCTCAGCTGCCTTATTGATGATATCCTTTACTTTACCTTTTTTCAGGAGTATGACATCTCCAAGAAATGCGAATACTTATTTAAACTCGACTACAGCCTTATCGAACTGGACAACACGAATGGACTGCTCAGTCCGCGTTATCCTGGCCGTATACTCATCCCGGAATGCGAGCACGGGCACATGGCCAAGACGCTGGTGCCAGGAAACGGTCTGTTTGGGCCAGTTGGCGGCGGATTGGGTGGAGGAGGCTCCTCCGGAACCACGGCAACAGCCACGCCTCTGAACAGCAGTGCAGGAAGCACCGGAAGCGAGGGTGTGGGCATCCAGGCTTTCGTGACTTTTGCCAATCCCGTGCAGACGCAACAGCAACATCCTCTCCAGCAGCAATATCCCACGCAGCAGCCACATCCACTGCACCAGCAATATCCCTCCCAGCAGCCACATCCTCTCCAGCAACAGCAGCAGAATGCACAGCAGCAGCCGCAAAATACCATTTATGAGGACCAGTACGACATCCAGCGGATGCGGGAGTTGGTTACCATGGCCAAATACGCGAGATGCCGTCAAAGATTCGCCGTGCCCGTGATTATGTACCGCGGAAAGTACATCTGCCGTTCGGCAACTCTATCCGTAATGCCGGAAACCTACGGGCGAAAGGTAGTGGACTACGCCTACGACTGCCTGAGTGGGGGTAACTACACTGCGCCAAACGGGGAGGAGAATGATGCGGACTCCACGGACGAGTCGCTCATCACGCACATGCACGACCAGGCCCAGTCGCAGTTCAGCTACGACGAGGTCATCAAGAGTGACATCCAGCTGCTCCACACGCTCAACGTCTCCACCATTGTGGACCTCATGGTGGAAAACCGCAAGATCAAATACTTCATGGCGTGAGTATATTTTAAAAATCCGTGTTGCTAATCCTAAACTAATAGCCCGTCTCTTGCTTTCAGCGTTTCCTCATCGGAGAAGGCGGATCCAAACAAGCACTACAAGAGCTTTAACCTTCTATCCCTGCCGTACCCGGGCTGTGAGTTCTTCAAAAAGTTCCGGGACAACAACTACATGGCGCGCAACCTGCACTACAACTGGAAGCAGTCGTTCAACGATGCGAACATCAATATTCCAAATCTGGGACCCGCTGCGGATATCGATGTGGTGTGGCCGGAGTACCGCGACTGGGATCTGGTGGCCATCACACAGAACTACTTGAGAGCGACACTGAAATACGTGCAGGAGGAGAGCTCCGGCCTGTTGATCCACTGCATCAGCGGCTGGGATCGCACTCCGTTGTTTGTCTCTCTGGTAAGGCTGTCCCTGTGGGCAGATGGACTCATCCACCAGTCGCTGAACGCCATGCAGATGGCGTATTTCACACTGGCCTACGATTGGTACCTGTTTGGTCACCAACTGCCCGATCGCCTCAAACGAGGCGAGGATATCATGTTCTTTTGCTTCCATGTGCTCAAGTTCATCACGGACGAGGAGTACAGCATTGTAGAGCATCGGAAACGCACCAAGACATCTAGCAGCAGCGGCAGCAGTGTCATAGTGATCAAATCCGACTGCTGCGACGATGAACCGCTCAAGGAGTGAGTATATCTAGGAATTGGATTAGAACGTGAATTTAATGCTTGATTTTTCCTTGCAGAGACTACATCCTGGCCTTCGATCAAGATAGCAACGACAGCTACTCAAACTGTTCCAACTGTGATATGTCCATAACAGATAACTTCTATGCCACCACGCCAGCGCAAGTCAATCCACTGACCAGCAGGTCACCCAATCCGAAGAGGTGAGAGTTCCTTTTATAAAATGAAGGCCACTGAATCAAGCTTAATCCCTTTCAGATCCAGAACCAGCCCCATTTCAGTGCCAGGCTCGAATACGCGGCAAAGGCAGGAGTCCACGTCCTCGAATGGCAGCTGGCAGGTGGTCACAGATACGGGCTCCATTGATTCCATGATGAATGGCAGCTACATGATGCGATTCGTGGCTCAACAGGCGGCGGACGGCGGTGGTGGCTCCTCGAACATTCCTTTGTACAATGGTGGCAATGGCTACCACTGCACCACCAACACAGCATCGAGTGGCAGTGGAAGTGGAAGTGGGAGCAGCATCAGCAACGGCAGCTCAACGCACGGTTTTGCAAATGGTTCCTCCAAAGACGTGGGCGGCAGCACTATGGCCAGCAAGCAATCCATTAACTTGTGAGTACAGAACCCCTCTTTAGCTAAGAATATTTTGCCTAAAACTAAAACGAAATTGTTCACTGGTAAAGACTTCGGTTTTTATTCTTCATATTCTCACTTCAGGGAAATAACTCCAAATCCGAAGCTTTCGAAACTTACATTTTACTTTATCCATTGCAGACGAAAGCAACGTCTGAATGCAGTGCGCGCCATCTTCATACAAGCCTACGGAAAGACGATTGGACTGAAATTCAAGGAAGGCTCCTCCATGAACCTGGCCACGTTCATTGGAAACCTGGCGGACCAACTGTTTTGAGGAAGCAGCAGCAGCTATGCTCGATCGTTAGTTTTTCATCCACATTGTTTGTTTGTTGTTAAGTGCTGCGCTGTCCCCCAACGACTGTATTTCGTATAGACCTGTTGAATTGCGTTCTCTTGTGACTGTTGACGATTGTGTAATGTAAAGGATAACTGATTACTAATAAGCATCGAACGAAACCGGCGGCTCCTAGACAAAGTGCATAGTACAACTCCTGTCGTCGTCCTGTCCTGGTTAACCCGCTCTCCAGTTCTCTAGATTCTCCCGCTCCCGCTCCTTGTTTGTTTAGTTGTTAGTCTTTCGAGAATGCAAAGCAAGCGAATTATAATATGCGATTCGGATTATACAATAGCCTTAAGTTGTAATTTATAGTAATGTATTTTTTAATAAACTTATGTGCATTTGATACGAAACAAAGTCAGATATTCAGCGTAGATCGGCTGGACCGCCGAATGGTGGCTAGTGGCAAGTGGTCATCAAAATCTATCCGCCTCACCCGAATCCGTAAGTTTCTAATGTAATATTTGGCGCTTTTCAATGGCACGTAGCGGGGTTTTTGGGGTGTTTTTGCAGCTGCGGTTTCATTTGGTTCTCTTTTGACTCCATTGCTTGCATCTTGGGCACTAAACACATTGCTGATCATTAAATCCGATTTTTTGCCATTCAGAATTTTGGACTGGGGCTCCCTGGAAATGCAGAATCCGTCCATCGCCAGACGCAGCAAAGTGTCCGCCGGGAGCTCCTTGACACGTATTGCCTTGAGGAACTCGTCGTATTCGCTCAGGGCCGCCTCCTGTTCCTTGGCACCCAGCTTGTGTGTGGCCTTTTCCAGGCGCTCCTGCTCCAGAATGAGGTCCAGGACCTCCACCTCCAATCGCCGGCGTTGCAAATTCGAAAGAGAGTTTAGAAAGGGTAGTTGGCTGAGCAGCAAGTCCTGGCACTTGGTCTTAGGCACTTCCGGCTGCTTCTCCGACTGCATGCATCTGTGCACATCGCCCACCACCCGCCAGAGGGGATCGGGAATTTGACCCTTGGCCTTGGCTAGAGCACCGACCAGCGGCCGAAGTTTGTCCCACCGCCACTGCAGCTCGCTTACGGAGAACGGAGCGCTGAGCTGGATGCCCTCGTAGCTTTCGTTGAAGGCTGTGGCCAATTGATCCCATCCCCAGGAGTCGTAATCCTCGTCCTTTTGAGCATCCTCGTGCCCGCCGAACAGGAAGGGGTACCTGCAGAGCAGCTCCATGAGCAGCAAGTCGTTCAGTACTATCTGGGCTGTGGAGTTCGTGTTTGATATATTGATCTCCATTTGGGGGATGGCTTGGCTCAACGTTTCCTCGGCGCTGTCTGTGCTCATTTTAAAAGCTTTGGGGATGTAAGTTCCTTTTCAAATTCAGATATCTTTTAAGTTCTTAGCTTATAATTACACACCATAATATACACACAAAATGGAATTATTTACAATTGTAGACAAATTTTTACAATTTCTCGAGATTCAATCTACAGGGTAGCAGAGATGATACTAGGCTTAACAACAACTATCGATATCGACAGCAATGACGATTAGCAGAGTCTGCGGTGAAACAATCGATACCTTATTAGGCCATCGCCAGCGAGGAAGAAGCGTCGTGAAAAAAGCCGCAAAATATATACAGACTGAAATAATTTTGCGAAGATATCGAACAATTAACGAATAAAGCAATTGCAAGGCCCCAATATGAGTGGCGGCACCATGTTATACGGCGGCGACGAGATCGGTGCCCTGGTCTTCGATCCCGGACACCACTCTCTGCGAGTGGGCTACGCGCAGGAGGATTCGCCCAAGGCGGAGATTCCTTCGGTTGTGGGGATTGGAGCGGCTCCGGAGACCAATCTAGATCCTGAGACCAAAACAGACAACAATGCCACGCCAAATAGTGAGTACACCTATACGGTTTTTCCTAGTTAAGACCCCTAACCACCGCGTAATCCCCTCCAGATGCTGACCAGCGCAAGTTCTATGTAGACACCAACTACGTGAATGTGCCACGATCCCAGATGGAAGTGCAGACGTACATGAAAGATGGCATGATCGACAACTGGGACCTGTTTGAGAAGGTGATCGACTACGCCTACGCCAATGTCATCCAGTCGGAGCCGGAATACCACCCCGTGCTTTTTTCCGAGGCCTCGTGGAATGTGCGCAACAACCGCGAAAAGCTAACCGAGCTAATGTTCGAGAAGTACAATGTCCCGGCCTTCTTCCTTGTGAAAAACGCTGTCCTGGCCGCCTTCTCCAGCGGGCGGGCCACCGCATTGGTCGTGGACAGCGGAGCCACCCACACCTCTGCCGTGCCCGTTCACGAGGGCTATGTCCTGTCGCAGGCGGTGGTCAAGTCCCCGCTGGGGGGCGACTTCCTGTCCCGGCAGTGCCGCCAGCATCTGGAGAAGCACGGCATCGACCTGTCGCCGGTGTACAAGATCGCCTCCAAGGATGTGGTCAAGGAGCGCGACAACGGACGCTTTACGCTACGCAAGCTGCCCGAGAACCTCACACCGTCGTGGCAGAACTACATGCTGCAGCTGATGATGCAGGACTTCCAGATGAACGTGCTGCAGGTCCTGGAGAATCCCTTCGACGAACGTGTGGCTGCCCAGATCCCGACGGTGCACTATGAGTTCCCCAATGGTTATCACCAGGACTTCGGTTCTGAGCGTTTCAAGATAGCCGAGAGTCTGTTCGACAATGCCATGCTAGGTGCTGGCCAACTGGCGTCCACTAGCGTGGGCATGTGCGATGCGGATGTGCGACTTTCGCTCTTTGGCTCAGTTGTGGTCACTGGTAGGGATTTACTATATGCCTTAGCACGATTTCGTAAAACTATACATACTATTGTCTTTTTAGGTGGCAATACTCTTCTCCAAGGCTTCCCAGAGAGACTAAATCGCGATCTGCAGTTGCGCGCTCCCTCCAACACGCGCCTGAAAATGATTTCCGCCAACGGCAGTGTAGAACGCAGATTTGGAGCCTGGATCGGCGGCTCCATCTTGGCCAGCATAGGCACCTTCCAGCAGATGTGGATATCTTCCCAGGAGTACGAGGAGGCCGGCAAAAGCCAAGTGGAGCGCAAGTGTCCGTAAAGACAGCGTAATTGAATTCCAATTTTAATTTTAAAGACGCAAATCTATGTAATTAATATAAATGTGAACTTTTAAATGTCCCAATTTTCACAAAGGTGTTTGAGCAGTTGTTAAGAAATAGTTTGCATTTGGTTAAGGAAATGTTTGTAGTTACATATGTATATATTTCTTTTTACTGCGACGCTGAGGCAGACGTTACAGTTTCACATTTCAATGGAATATTAACCGGCTGCCCATTGTCCTCAGGATCGAGTTCGTACGTAATGGATATGGAGTGGACTTTGGGTCCACGCTTTCTGTGGAACTGTTGGTAGAACGGTGGTACATATAACTTGCGGCGAATCAGCGTCTCTTCGGTTATTTCATGGCATAGTTTTATAAAACGTCACATGGCTCCAGACATCGTGTTGTTGCAAACGCATTGCTGCGAAGAGGTATCAAATAAGTTGAATAAATAATTCGATATATCTAGGCCTACCCACCTTGGCATTCAGTATGTCCTCCGACCAGTCCTCCTTGCTAATGCGACCCACCGCGTTGACCAGGATCTTCTTCACCTTAATCACGTTCTCGGCAAAGGTTCGGAGGACATCCTGCACGTTGACACCCTCGCATCCCATGCGCCAGCAATCGTAATCGGTGGCAATAGCCACCGATCCGTAGAGCAGGCCCGCCTCCTTGGCCAGCACCACCTCGGGGCACGTAGTCATGTTTATTAGGTCCCCGCCCCACTGGCGGAACATGTGGCTTTCGGAGCGCGAGGAAAATCGGGGCCCCTCAATAGTCACAATGGTGGCCTTCTGGTGGGCGGGAATTTCCAGCTCCTTGGCTGCCTCAATCAGTATGTTGCGGGTGCGTTCGCTGAATGCCGGAAACATGGGCAGGTGGCATACACCACGTGGACTCTGGGCCTTGCCGTCGTAGAAGGTCTGCAGACGTTTGGTGGTCCTGTCGATGAAGTCGTGCGGCACCACCAGGTTGCCCGGCTTGATTTCCTCGCGCAGGGAGCCACAGGCGGTGGACACAATCAAGTGGGTGCAGCCCACGTCGCGCAGAGCCCATATGTTGGCCCGGTAGTTGACGTTGGATGGCATGATGTCGTGCTTGCGACCATGTCGCGCCAGGAGCACGCAGGGGACGCCATTGATTTGGCCCTCGATTAGGGCATCCGAGGGTTCGCCGTACGGAGTCTCCACCACTCGCTCCTGGCGCTGTTCCAAGATGTCCGGGTCGTCCAGTCCCGAACCGCCAATAATCCCAATCTGCAAGGTTATTTTTAGTTCGGCATTGAGAAATAGTCATTTTATTTTTGGAGGGGTGCTCACCTTGATCGGAAGGGGATCCAGATTCGTGTCTTTGCATTTAATCGTAATCATGGCTAGCAACGGATTGTGCTGTTACAGGCTGCTGCGGCTGTTTAAAGCAGATTGGAAGTAGTAAAACGTTCCCGCTGATAGCGCACTGATAACTGTGTGTCTACACGGTAGGGTGCACGCGTCGCAAAAGCTCGGGCATGCTCGAAATGCCAGTCCGTCGCTTCTGTGGGTGTGTAATAAGCTTAATTAATTCATTTCGAGTAAGTATATTCAATAAATTAGAATTAAAGAAAAATGATTTTAAAGTTTAGCGGAACCGATTTAAATATCCGTTACATGTCTAGAAATCAGAAATCGCTATTTAGTTAAGTTTCCTGTTTATTTAAGTTTGTCTGTAAAGCCAAGCTCAGAACTATGGCTAAATCAAATATTTAATTATATGTTAATTTGGGTTAAATTAGTCGATATATAGATTTTGGATTATCTAATAGTTGTTATTAAAAATGTTCATTTATTTTAAAATTAATATTAAATAAGTTTATTTGAATTCATTTTTCGGAAATTATCAGATAAGTTTTAATTGTGAATCATATTTATGTACATTTAATATTCTGAAAACAATGTGTATTTAATTTTAACTAAAGCTTTACAAAAACATCAAATGGTGAAAGTAACAAAGGCAAAGATGTTATTCTATTAGTTCAAAGTAAAATATGTTTATTTGAATACATTTTACAGTAATTATCAGATTGGTTTTAATAGTGAATCATATTTATGTACATTTAATATTCTGAAAACAATGTGTATTTATTTTTAACTAAAGCTTTACAAAAACATCAAATGGTGAAAGTAACAAAGGCAAAGATGTTATTCTATTAGTTCAAAGTTAAATATGTTTATTTGAATACATTTTACAGTAATTATCAGATTGGTTTTAATAGTGAATCATATTTATGTACATTTAATATTCTGAAAACAATGTGTATTTATTTTTAACTAAAGCTATACAAAAAGGTCAAAAAGTGCAAGCAGCACTTTGCTTTGCGATGATATTTTTTTATTAAACCAAATTAAAGCCAATGCAATTCAAAGTTTTCTTTTTAAAACCAAACACAAGTACTTAAAAACGTTTCCTTATTATAATAATTTAAAGAATTTATTAATTTTGTAGAGTTTTTTTTGTCGTTATAGCCGAGTCTGTTATCGATTCCACCTATCGAGTACCCTTCCCCCACTTCCCAGCACTACCAAACATTAGAAGAAGAAGCACGATTGTAAACAGCTGGACGTGTTGCACATGGTTTTCCAAAACCAGGAGAGGCTGCAAAGATGTACCACCTTGGGCAGGATCTGCCTGGCAACGATGTAGACGACATAGAGGATCTAATATCCGCCGACGATGTAAAGCCACGGGAGCGTTATGAAAACAAGAAGAACGTGACGGTTCGCGCCAAGAAACGCACGGCAATCCGGCTGGAAACCGAGGAGGAGGAGAAACCAAAGCCCACGATCCACGAGAGTGTGATACCCGGCACTCAGAAAGTGTTCGTAAAAACATGGGGCTGTGCCCACAACAACTCGGACTCCGAGTACATGGCCGGGCAACTGGCTGCCTACGGATACAGATTAAGCGGCAAAGAGGAGGCGGATCTGTGGCTGCTCAACAGCTGCACGGTGAAGAATCCCTCGGAGGACACGTTCCGCAACGAGATCGAGTCAGGCATGCGAAATGGCAAGCATGTTGTGGTTGCTGGCTGCGTCCCCCAGGGAGCTCCCAAATCCGACTACCTAAGCGGTCTTTCTGTAATCGGTGTTCAGCAGATTGATCGCGTAGTGGAGGTCGTGGAGGAGACACTAAAGGGTCACAGCGTGCAGCTGCTGCAGAACAAGAAGAAGGTTCATGGCCGTCGATTGGCAGGAGCTTCCCTCTCGCTGCCCAAGGTGCGCAAAAATCCGCTGATCGAGATCATATCCATCAACTCGGGATGCTTGAATCAGTGCACCTATTGCAAGACGAAGCACGCCCGCGGCGATTTGGCCAGTTATCCGCCCGAGGAGGTGGTGGAGCGCGCCCGCCAATCCTTCGCCGAAGGCTGTTGCGAAATTTGGCTTACGTCCGAGGATACTGGAGCCTACGGTCGGGATATAGGCAGCTCATTGCCAGAGTTGCTCTGGCAGCTGGTGGAAGTGATCCCCGAGCACTGTATGCTACGTGTGGGCATGACCAATCCGCCCTACATCCTGGAGCACTTGGATGAAGTGGCCAAAGTGCTGCAACACCCTAGGGTCTACTCCTTTTTGCACGTACCGGTGCAGGTGAAGATTTAATTCTATATTCATTTATACTCTTGAGCAACCTGTTGTATTTATTTACAGAGTGGTAGCGACTCGGTGCTGGGCGAAATGAAACGTGAGTACTGCCGCCAGGACTTTGAGCACGTGGTTGACTTCCTTAGGGAACGGGTGCCTGGCGTCACTATCGCCACGGACATTATTTGCGGATTTCCCACTGAGACCGAAGATGATTTCGAGGAGACGATGACCTTGTGCGCGAAGTACCGTTTCCCCAGCCTGTTCATTAATCAGTTCTTCCCTCGACCGGGCACACCTGCTGCCAAAATGGAACGCATACCCGCGAATCTGGTGAAGAAGCGAACTAAACGGCTCACTGATCTCTTCTACAGCTATGAACCTTATGCAGAAAGGACAGGTGAAATATATACCGTTCTGGTCACGGAGGTTTCGCACGACAAGCTCCACTATGTGGGTCATAATAAAAGCTACGAGCAGGTGTTGTTGCCCATGCGGGAAAATCTCCTGGGCACTCGTGTTCATGTGCGAATCACCAGCGCTAGCAAGTTCAGCATGGTGGGCGAGATTTTGGACGACGAACGGGACTGGACTAGATGTGCAAATAAGCAAGAGGGTCCGGAGGTGCAGACCCAAACCAGGAGTCGGGAAAAGCTGATACAGCGCTATGTGGCCATTGCCCTGGTGGTGGGAAGTTTGGCTTTCGTGATTCAGCTCCTTGTGCGGTTTCTACTTCAATAAAACAGCATCTCGTTCCGAATTTATAATTTAAGTAACGCTTTAAACTTAACCTAGTATACATTAGAAACTTGATGGTTCCATAGTGGTGTGTTGGCCCGGGTCTCTTAATATTCATCCGAGGGTTCCGTGCCAAAGTAGCGATCGCCGAAGTTACCAATGCCGGGTATAACATAAAACTTACTATTAATCTCCGGATCCAGAGCGGAAGTAACAATTTTCACCTGCAAAAAAAAAAATTAGTGTTAAAGAAAATACTTTTGAGACACCATTCGAATCTCACCTTAGGAAAGGCATAGGCAATAGAGTGCACACCGATCTCGGCCATCAGCAGCGAAGCCAGGATGATGTTGTCCTCGGGCACATCGTGATCCAGCAGCACCCGAATGGCCATCATGGCCGCCGCTCCCGTGGCCACGGTGGCGTCCATTAGTATCACCTTGTAGTCTTTTATGTCTTTGGGCAGCCTCAGGTAGTAAAGCTCCGGCTCGCCGGTCTTTAGATTTGTCTGGATGAGGATCTTCCCGATGCGAATGTCCTTGCACACATCGCACACCGCCTGTTCCATTGTTTCGCCGGCTCGAAGAATGGAAACTCCACAGATTTTGCGCGATTCCATGCGTTTGCCCTCGTAAAGAACACCCTGTGGTGTCTCCACAGTGGTTTTCTTGAAGGGAAACAGACTAAGCGCGTACTCGATGACCAGCCGAATGAGGCGTTTCGAGTAGAAGATGAACTCATCGCGGGATGTATTCCGGCAGCGGATGAACGTGTGTAAGCCCTTGATCTGGGGCGTGGGATGCAGCAAGTGCAGAGAATGTGGCATTGGCTGGTCTTTGTAGGAGTTGGCCAGAGTTTCGCGTAGCTTAAATCCGCGCTGGAAGATGAAAGAAATTTTAGCTGAGCCTTTAACTATCTCCTAGTAATCCTCACCAGCTGGAGTTGTGTGTGGACGTGCTGGACGATGAGATGGATGGCCACCTTGTTCTCGCCTCCACGAGGCACAATGATGTCCGCATGGGCCATGGTAGGAGCTATATAATTGCAATACGAAGGTTTAACCATATTTAGGTATTGCTTTAGCACGCCTTTCAGGTCGCGTCCGCGCTGTGAGATGTCCCTGAAATTGGTTTTTCATGTTATACTCAAATAAGTCAAAAGAATATCCATCAGTTACCTTTTTAACCTCCTGGCCAGGCGAATGTCAGGATCTGTGTCCACAAAGATCTTCATATCCAACAGCTTGAGCACCTCGGGACTGTGGAAAGTAAGAATGCCCTCGAAGATGATCACGTTGGCTCCGTACATGGTCTTCGTTTGACTCTCTCGACCATGTGTCACAAAATTGTAGACAGGAACCTCCACCTTGCGGCCCTCCTTGAGTTTGGTGAGCACATCGAGCAGCAGCTCGATGTCAAAGGCATCCGGGTGATCGAAGTTGTATTCGTTGATCAGGGCCTGCTCATGCTGTTTCTCATTTAGGATCTATAGATTAAATACTTCAATGAGTTCCGGTTTTCCCTTAGGATTGAATGTTATTATCCCACCTTATAGAAGCAGTCCATGGATAGCAGGGTCACCCAGGGAACGTCCAGGCTCTCGATGATTTTCTCGGCCACTGTGGTCTTGCCAGAGGCACTTCCTCCGCAAATTCCTAGAGAATACAAGATGTTAAGGACTATATTGGTTTTAGGAATTCCCAATCTTACCTATGACAAAGGGCTCCACCTGCTGCCCTGCACAATTGTACCACGGCGGACGTCCGGCCGTGTAGATCGTGCGATTGTTTGCGCGTATGATACATTCGGACGGATTCGCGGTAGTAGTCTGGTTGCCAATGGATGTGGTGCGCTGCCTCCTGCCCGAGCGTTTCAGAGGCGACTCCAGCGACGCTTTCGCAGGCACTGTGGTGGGCGAGGCCGGGCAGCAGTTGAGCTCTCCGGGAAGACCACTGCCCTGGTCGGCATATGGATCCACGTAGAGCGGCTCAGTGGCATCGGAACGGTCATCGCTGCAATTAGTGTATATACCCAGATTAGTTGGCGATTACCAAATTCTACACTCCCACCAAATAACAATGACGTTGAATTAAATCAAAATAAATGGAATTCGGTGATTAGACACGATAACGTTTTTTTCACCGACCACTGATTAATTTCATAATAATTTCAAATTAACGTATGGGTACAGGAAACAAGAATACTGATTTTGTTAGTGAAATTTCTACAGGGCAGGTATTGAATTGCGAGCTTAAAGCTGTGGGTTCAAGGATGCAGTATACTCTCTGACCTACTCTACTTTTAATTCCCCCACTCCGCCTCTTTGGCTCACCCACACAATAGCATGATATCAGACATACTGCCTACGCAAAATTAATCTACTGTTCAATATGTTCTATAAATAGACAGATTACTTAAGGCTTTAATTGACTGTAATAGAAGATAACATAGCTAAAATTAAAAGGTTAATTGTTTTATGATTGTGAATAACGACAGATAATGCTATATATTTATTGCTTTTTAATCAAAAATGTAGGTCTGGAGAAAGTATTGCATGAAAATCCTGTGAATTGATAAGGCAATTCAGCGATTTTGTATGAAATATGATATGAACACCAGGGTGGGTCAGTTTTGTTTAATCAGGAAACATTGTAATATAAGTTCATAAACAAATGTAAAAAATAAAGTGATAGGATCAGTTTCTTATGAAATTTTTTTAAGTAGCTCAACATGTTACAATTTCCTGTTGTTAAAGTTTTATTTCGCCATGTCATTAATATTTGCAGATGCCTATGGCAATGTTACGTTTGGGTGTTTCCGCCATGTGCGCTGCAGAATGCTGACGACCTCATGATTCGGGAGTAACGTAATGTTTTTCCGGCCGTATTTGGCCATTAAAACAATGCAGACTACAACTTGTGCCAAATAACAACCAATTTATATTTATGTGAAGAAGTACACAGAGGCAGGCAGACAAAGACGGACGGTCCATCTTTTGGATACTGCGTAGGCGCGTTCATTGCACTCTCTCTCCGCCTTTCTCTGTATTGCCTGGTTTTCATTACTGTGCCAAAAAGATATACAGAGCGCAAATGGTGAAAAACGAGTGTGGCATGAGTAACAATTTTACCGTTTCGCTTGATTTTAAATCAGTATATAACTTAAGGAAGTATCTTTTAATAACAGAGGGAGATGCTCAATGTTTTGGTCTGAAACATTATTTACATACACAAACTTTGTAAACTTGTTCTGATTTGAATTAGATATGAATTAAATATATTTTAATAGGTGTTTTTCTCAGTGCAGGGCCAATAATCTGGTGACGCCAGAGGCAGAGATTCCTCAGCATATTTATAGTTTTGTAGTTTTTGCACACCATGAAGCGAGAGAGGAAGAGAGCGCCGCATTTGCCACGTGTGCTGCGCTCTGCCAGAAAAGGAAACAACAGGTTATGGCCACCCAGGTAGGACGAGGACAGCAGGCATTCCAGAAGAGAGAATAGGATGAAGGATTGGAATGAATGAAGGAGAACTGGAGTTGGCAAAAACCGATAGACGTGGCTTATGTGATCGCAGCCATGTTGGAGCACTTGCTGACGCTATCATCTTTTCTTTATTTGTTGTTATTTGCCGCACCGTAGACTCGATAAACAATGTTAACAGACAAGACGCAAACGTTAATTAAATACTGAAAACAGACAAAGACGGGGCGAAAAACAAGAGAGTACTGGGCAAACAACACGAAAACAATTAGAATGGCGGTAAATGAGACAACAAAAACAACGCACTCACACAGAGATACCCATGCACAAATGTATATGTATGTAAATGGGATTTCGATTTCGATCGGGTTTTTTATGTTAAAAATGGGAAAAATGCAATGAATTACATGTGACCATTGGTTTTGGCTGCTGTAGCCTTAACCTTTGACTGCTGATGATGCTGTTGTTGTAGCTGTTGCTGTTGTTGTTGCTGGTGGGTGGCGATGGTTAGTAAACCGGCAGATGCGGCTGCAAATGCTGATTTTGGCACATCACTGCTGCTTTTGTTGTTGTTATTGTTGCTGTTGTGGGCCGACTTGCTGCACAAAAACGTGATACTGCTCATTTTTAGCCCGTTTCTGTGGGCGTGAGAACTTAATACCGCAACCGGCGAGGCGATTCCGAAAAATGGGTCACTCACTGCACAGAAAAACGCTCACGATCGCCGGCGCGAATTCGCATGTGATTGGGAGCTTTATTTCCTTCGCAGCGATGGTATGCCTTTTGCGTTGCGGCCAATATTTACTCGATAACTAATAAAAAAAAAGTAATTCAGCGGAGGTGTGAGGTGAGCGGCGTTTGGGGATAGAATGACAAAAAGTGTTAAGGCAGTGCTAAGGTTAAAAAGCTGCGCTGCTTTCGACTCTGCCGGCGTCGTCGCAGCCATGTGGTTGTTGTTGCCGCCTGCCTTCACTTAGAGATGTGCGCGTGTCGTGAGTTTCAGATAGAAACAATCAATAAATACTTTTTTCAACAAATATTGGAAGTAAGATTAAGTCGCTAAGGACTGTTACAGCTGAATATCTTAGAGTGCAAACAATCTATTATTTTATAAAAGATAAGCTCAATTAATCTTATAAACATTATATTTTTTGAATAGATTGAAATAATTTACTTTGTTTAAGGATAATTTCTAGTTTTAACTAGCTGGCTTTCCAATTATTGGTCAAACAAATAAATTTTCCGTGACGGTTGCATTGAAGAAAACTCGCTCACGCGCGCATCTCTGGCTTGTAACTGTTCTCGCAGGGGGTTCGCTGCGCTATCCCGCTCTTTCGCCCGTCTTTCTCTGTCTCGCTCTCACCTCCGATCCGATGCAACCGGCGACTATATCGAAATTGAGTTTATCACATGTTATGTTCGGAGGTGTTCGCGAGCGCAGACCCTATGCCATTTTCCTAGCATTTATTTATATTGCGTGTTTTGCCTAGAGGCCCCACGATGGATGATGAATGGCTGCCTATTGGAGCACATGCCGCTGTGTGTGTGTGTATTCACATTCTAATGGCTTTTGTTGGATTTTCACACTTTACTTTTCGCCGTGCGTGAATTAATGCCTTTAATGGCATTAAAAAGTCGTTCGTTACCTGTCGGAGCTCGCGGAACTCGATGGGTTGTAGAACTTGATTTGTTTAGTCTGGGTCACAGACATTTCGGCCAGGGAATTACGATTTAGATTGCAGTTGGCCAATTGCAGCGATTAGAAAAAAACACGCGGTGATTTACTTCGTCGTGCCTCTCCCTCTCCCAGCAAGTGACTGAGACGGATTCGATTCAAAAAGCGTTGCGTTGAAAAAACGTGCGCGCAGAATACATATAGATTTCCTCGAGTGTAGATGGCCAGCTGACGGGGCCAATTACTGGCTGGGAAAAGGCATTGCAGCTGTGGATCGTAAATTGGCTTATTTATCTCCATTTGATGCTGTCATTGAGGCATTTATTCGAATGTTTTGGTGCAAATCAATTGGATTTCCCATTGCGCTCAGCTGTTTGATTGTAAGGTTTAAAAAGTGTTGCAAAGCGCTATTGGCTGTGACTTATCGATATCGTAGTTGTTGGCAAAGATTTTCGAGGGGTGAATGGCAAAAAGATGAGCGGGATTTTTGAGTTTTTATTTATCAGCACTTAAATCTTAAAAATATCTATCACACCATACAGATTTAAGCTCTTTCGGCTATAAATTTATAATAATCTATTGATTTTTTTCAAACTATATAAGTTGTATATGATTTTACAGGTCTATGTTGAAAGAGTTTAGATTGGTTGTTGTTTGGTGATGTTTAATTGTTATAAATTCAGCTTGTTCCTTTAATGTAATAATACTTGAGAAACAGTTTGTTTTAAATGTTGCTACATCAACTTGAACTTAATTTAGCCCTCAAGGGGTTACCCCATTACGTCCAACTTAACTACAAGAAATATTTTTGATAATTACATATAAAATAAAGTAAACAATAACTTTTTCTTTTACAATTTATTTAGGTTAAGGAACCGGTTTAACCGGTTCAATCAACAGATGGTCCCCGGGCTTGAGTCTCCACTAAGTGAATAAGCAAGGTGCCCAACCAGCTGGGCTGGCATCATTTAAGATCTAGCTAAACACCCAGCACGGTCACATTACAGGACGCAACAATATCCGATAAAAACTTCGTTGTTCGTGTTTTTCAGCACAGCACAGATTTGATAATATGCCGTAGGTGCGGCCAGCGAGGATCCTCAGCAGCAGCAGCGCGATGGCCTACATCAACATCGCCGAGTGGACGCCCGACCAGGTCACCGACTGGATCAAAGGTAACGCTCGAGGTCAAGGAAAACGCAGCTGAGAGAGAGAAAAAAAGTGCATCTCGCAGCCACTGCCCCAAAAAGCAAAAACAACAACAACAGCAGCAACAACATCATCATCATCGAGTGCAACAAGAATTTCCGCTTTGTTCAAGGTTTACCAGCCATGTAATTATGTTTTCCTGTTTTCGCCAGGTCTGGATGAGTCCATGAAGGGGTATTTGTACGAGTTCTCCAAGCAGGAGATCGGCGGAAGGGCCCTGCTCAACATACGGCCGTACGAGCTGGAGAATCTGGGCATGCTGCGCATTGGTCACCAGGAGATTGTGCTGGAGGCGGTAGAGAACCTGAGAAACTTTGTGAGTGCCGTGGTCCGATAATCGCCGCGATAACCCTCTAACCCCCACAATAACCTTAATATTCCAGCACTATCATCTGAAAAACGACAATCTGCAGTTCATGGCCTTGCATGTGGCCACGGCCGCCGGGAATCTCCATCGCGAGCTGGCCCGGAACCATGCGGAGAGCACCAAGATCGATACGCGGATACTGCACGATATCACCCGGACGATAGCCACACTGAAGCCACTGGTGGGCAGTCTGGAGCGAACGCCGTTCCGCAAGCAGGAGATGTACCGCGAGTACTGCGGCAATGTGCTCAAATGCGGCCTGGAGCTGGCCACCATCGCTCACAGGGATCGCTTCGCCCTGCAGCCGGTTCCGGCGATTCGGCATACGGCGGAGCGTCTGGAGAATCTGGCCAACTTCGTCATCCAGGACATATCCGATCCCATGGTGCTGCAGCCCGCCTCCCTGAACCTCGTCACCCTCAAGAAACGCGAATCCGAGCTGGGCTTCAACATAGAGTCGAGCTACAACGGCATCCACCGCGTCACGGACATCAAGTACAACTCGCCGGCTCACAATTCCGGAAAGATCGAGGACGGCGACGAGATTGTGCAGATCAACTACCAGACTGTGGTGGGCTGGCAGCATCGCACGGTGCTGGAGCACCTGAGGGAGGCCCTGCCCGATGTGGTGCTCACGGTAAAGAAGCGGCCCAAGCACACCAAGATGTTTGGCCAGATCTACATGCAGCCGTACAGGCTGCCCAGCAAGAAGAGGAACATGGCCGGTCGCTGGGCGGAGCAGATGCCGAGTCCCAGGACTGCGTTTTTAACCCTGGATACGGAGCGAACGGCAACGGGGGGAATCGGGAGCGTAGTGCCAGACCCAAGCAAACCCCTGGGCGGCGAGAAGAGAGAGGTGCTCATCAAGGCCAATCCAGTGTCCTCAGCCTCCGATTCGGACTCCAGCTGCAGTGATATACCCACGCCCACGGATCCCAAGTCAGCTGCCCGGGAGATCCGGTTGTACTACCCCAAGCCAAGAGCCCTGCTCCAGCGGCGGTACACCATCTGCGGGGACGAGTTTCTGAGTCTGAAGCACTCGGATCTGGTGGTACCGTCGTGGCACGAAAGGAAACCGGGAGTTGGCTCTTCGGCCATCTGTGATCCCGGCTCGCCCAGCATCCGGGACAAGTCGATATCCTTCGGCTACGGCCTGGAGATTGCACCCAGGCCCACCACCTGCATCGGGATTGCCGGCGACAGCTCCACGGACAAGGCCAAGCGGATGTTCCATGAGGTGAGGAAGCTGAAGCAGCTGACGGAGGGTTCGCAGCGCGAATTCCTCGCGGATCGCTACAAGCCGGGAGTCAGCAAAGTAGTCCGATTCGATGCCAAGGAGGACTACGTCGTGAAGAACGAGAACTTCATCTGCAATGTTGAGAACACCATACTGGAGACCTTCGAGCCGATTCCCTTTGCGGACGAGGGCGATGAGGATGCACTGGAAACGCTGCGCAACTGCAAGACGGAGAACGCCGAGGAGCTGCTGGAGGCGCTAAACCAGGCCACCCTTGGCCAGGACCTGCCCCTGGCCGAGGCCATCAATATGCCCCTGCTGCAACAGGGTCGTCGCGGTCGACTGGACAAGAGCCACAGCACTCCGGCCTACGACAATTCCGGCGAGGAGTCCGACACGCCGCCAGCGATTGAGCCCCGAAAGGAGTTCCTGCTCGTCGCTTCGCCGGCGCCTCCTCCGCGACCGCGCAAGCAGAGGGAGATGACGCCGCCAGTGGTGCCACCGCCGCCTCCGAAGCCCGCCAGCATGCAGGCAGCCAGTGGTGCCACCAGCATCGCCACACCACCTACCATCGTGTCACCCCCCATCGACCCTGCGGAGGTCAGTGAGCTGCACACGCCCAGCAAGTCCCGCACTCTGACGCTGAGGAAGAAGCACAGCCTGATGGCCAAGCGGCGGAACACGAACCTCAAGCTGCTCAACACGGGCGACATCCAGGGCCACCTGTACAGGCGCAAGAAGAATCACCACGGCGTCACCTACTGGGCGAGGATCTACTTTGTGATGCTGGACACGATTCTGTACGGATTCAGCAGCAAGCAGAGCACCAGCGCCAGCTTGGTGATCTTCCTGCCCGGATTCACGGTTTCTTTGGCCAAGGAGGTGCACTCCAAGCCGCATGCCTTCAAGGTCTACCACACGGCCAAGAGCTTCTACTTTGCGGCCGAGTCCCTGGACGCACTGAACCAGTGGGTGGACTACCTGCGCCAGGCGTCGCTCAAGGTGCCGCCGAGCTCGGGATCGGGCGGCGGTGTGAATGCCAAGGATCTGTACTCGGAGAACGACAGCTCGGGCGAGGAGAGTGACGCCCTGGTCGCCAAGAACCTGAGCACGCCCTCGCCACAGGGCAGCAAGGAGGCGATGTCGATGTCCATGGGGCTATCTGGTGGCACACCACCCTCCTCCGCGCCCATCAAGGCCGAGCGCGGCTACCTGAACTCGTTGCGCAAGTTTACGATGGGCCCCTTCAAGAACAGTGCGGCGAAAGCGTCCAGCGACATTCCCGTGCCCACGGAAAAGTTCCGCAGCTTCACAAAGGTGCCCGGCGGCTATCATGGCCTCCAGATTGGGGCCAATACGCCGGGCTACCATGACCCGGCCATGCCGCCCACACAGATTCCGCCTTTGGTGGCGCCCAAGTTGTCGCGCAGCTCCAGCAGAAGTTCGGTGGTAAGTGGCACCGAGTCCGCAGTATCGTTCTCCGCCTCGATTCTGGGTCCGCCCACCTCCCCGGCGCCCACGCCTACGCCCACGCCGACTCCCACGGTCACGCCCACTTCGCTGCATCACCAGAGCTCCGAGGAGAGCCCGAGCCAGAGCCAGAGTCAGAGTCCCAGCAGCAAGTCGAGTCTGAAGAAGGCGCCCTTCAACTTCCTGCACGCCTCGAATCCGAACTTGGTGGAGTTCGACTTCCACACCTCGAAGGCGCTGCTGCCCAAGATGAGTGTGGGCAGCACCCTGGACCACGGCCACAACATCCAGGGCTTTGTGACGCTCAAGGACCTGATGCTGCGCAAGCAGGAGGAGGAGGCCCAGGAGATGTACAACAACCGGGTGCACTTGGGCGTGGAGAAGCACAAGCATGCGCGCACGGAGTCGACGGCCAGTCAGCAGAGCGCCATGAGCAGCGCCAGCGTGGCCAAGCCGCTGGAGAAGCTGCCCAAGATCCAGAGCGTGAGTCTGCCCAAGGCGCCCGACTACGAGATCAGCTTCAAGCCGGACGACGAGAGCATCAAGCGGACCAGGACCAAGGAGGGTCAGAAGCTGCGCGACTTTGGCTACGAGCTGATTTGCGGGGATGAGCCGAGCACCAGCTCCAGCAGCCGCCAGGAGCACCACCACCATCATCACCATCAGCACCACCAGCACAGCCTCCACCAGCATGTGCAACAGCAACACAATCAGCAGTCGCAGTCGCAGCCGCAGCACAGTAGCAGGACCAAGTACTTCCTGCGCCCCCAGCAGCTGCAGTTCTCCAGTTTTCTGCACAAGACCAACAGCAGCAGCAGTGGCAAGAGCTCCGGATCCGGGGCAGAGCAGAAGAAGTCCAAGGGCAAGTCGAGTAGCGACCGGCGGTTCCCCTTCTCGAAACACTCGACCGGCTCCTCGGGCAGTGGCTGTGCCCCGGGTCATGCGATGACCATGACCCTGCCGCTGAACAAGAAGTCCAAATCGAATCACGCCTTGGACGGAGCCGGTGGCAATGGGATGGCCCTCGTTGGCAGCGGCAGCAGCATCAAGAAGAGCCAGACGTACAATCAGGACCTGCGCGACAAGGTGGTGGGCACCAAGTACGATGCGCATCGCAAGAACTCGGCACCGATCTTCTCCAAGCTCTCCCTTTCGGGCGGCACGCCGGCGAAGCCCTCCAAGGAGAATCGCTTCCTGGGCTCGCCGCTGCTCCATCGCACTCTGTTCGGACACCATCATCACCAGCAGCATCATCATCAGCAGCAGCAGCAGCAGTCGATGGTGACGCCGCCGAGCAGTGCCGATCCGGATTGCGATCAGGAGATCTTCAGCCAGATCACCCTGCCCACGCACAATCAGGCGGGCTACAGGAGCTACCGGGGCCCAGGCATCATGACCACCTCGACCACCAACCTGTGCTCGTCGGAGGGTCTACAACCGCCGCTGCCGCCAGCTCCTCCGCCCCCAATCATGGCCAGCCGGCAGCGGGAGGAGGAGCCAGTGGAGACGGCGGCGGCGGCGGCGGCTTCGGCGACCAATATATCTGAGAGTGCGGCCACCCCGAAGGTGTCCAGTTCCGGATCCGTGGACTCGAAAGCGGCCACGCCGGACTACCCCAACATGGAGTGCCCGCCGGTCTTCGAGCCGGAGATCTACTCGCTCAGCGACACCAGCTTGTCCCGCCTCATGATGCGGACGCCCAGCAGCAGCGGTAGCGGAGGTGGTGCCACCGCCAGCAGCAGCAACAACAACAATAACAACAGCAACACCAACAACAACACCAACACCAACAGCAACAGCAGTCCCAGTGGCGGCGAACACCATCCGAACTAGATGAGTGATGAAAACTATTGTGAATGCTCGCGGGGATTAGCCCCCGCTTACTTATGTAATTTATACACACGCATACAGAGATATATATGTATATTATATATAGCCGGTATTCTCGTACGATATATGTAGGTATACAACTTGTTCATTTTAATCGTCTTCCCTGTCTGTCCACCAGCAACACCAACAACACACGCATACCTGCAATCCCTTCGAGTCGAGACCCCGATCCCACTTAGATGTTAGTGTTTAATCTGCCTTATTTGCATTGTATTTCGGTTCTAGGCAAAATGTTTTACACATGCATGTACTCACGAAAACGAAAACAATGAATTGTAGCGAAAAGAGGATGAAACTTTAGAAGTCTGCGCATCGAACGAAGAGAGTTCTTTATGATTTGCCTTTGTACGCGATTAACCAAGTTAATCCGAGCTGTTTGATTTGCTCAACAGTTTGTGTCTAGATTGCATGTACTATATATTATTATGCGAAACGAGATATTATTGTAGTGGTCTCCAGCGACGCCGATGGAGCCACAAATGTTGTAGCGAATAAACAATATAATTATACACACTTACACGAAATATACATGCATACGAATAAAGTCAACTGTATATAATGAAGAGGAGGTCTTTTAAGGGATATGGTCTTAAAACTAACGATATAGTTTAAAACAACTCGAGAAACCCTTAGTATTCTTTAAGTTTCAAGTTATTTATTGGTCAACTGGATTTAAATTTGTTAAACCTTTTTCAGTTATTTTCTGATCGCTATTTCCATACTTTGTTAAATGTGGAATCCCATTATATCTTTTAAATTACATTCCGTAAAGTAAGTCTCTTGTTTTTTGTATACCCTAGAAAAGATCGCATGAAAAAACCTGTTGTACCCTCTATCAGATCGATTTAGAATCCTTTTATTCACATTACATTTCAAATTAAACCAGTTAAAGTCGCGTGCGCCTACACAATGTTGGCGATGTGCTGCTCCACCTCCTGCTTGGTGAACATGTAGAACTCCTTGTCCTTGGTCATGGTCATCACCTCCACGTTGGTCGAGTTGAGCTTCTCCTCCATCACCTGCTTCAGGGTGTTCAGCGAGAGGTCGATGGCCTCGTTGAGGGTCATCTGGGTGGTGAAGTTGTCCTGCAGGTTCTGCTGGGCGCCCTCGCTGCCCGATCCGATGGCCTTGGCGCCGTGGCGCACGAAGGTGCCGGAGGGATCCATGTGCCACAGCTGCGGCTGACCGGCCTCGATGCCGGCGAAGAGGATGGCCACGCCGAAGGGTCGGCTCATGGCGGCGGCGCCGTCGCTGTCGCCGCTGTCTCCAAACTGGATGGCCAGGGTGGACACTGCCTGGGCGCAGGACTCGATGGACATGCGCTCGTTGTAGACGAACCAGTGGTTCTGGCACTCCACGCGGGCCCGCTCGATCAGGGTCCTGGCATCGGCCATCAGGCCGGAGGTGGCGCATCCAATGTGCTTGTCCACCTCCACGATCTTCTCCACCGTACTGGACACCATCAGCGGGGATGTGATGCGCTTCTCCACGGCCAGCACAACGCCTGAAAAGGGTTCTTGCATGATAAATCCGCCGAGGTCAGTAAGCCGCTCCACAACTCACCTTCCGGCGTGCAAATGCCAATCGCTGTGGAGCCCAGTTTGATGGCCTCAATGGCGTACTCCACCTGGAAGAGGCGGCCCTCCGGCGAGAACGTGTTCACGCCTCTGTCGTACTCGGAGCGGGTCAGGAACATGGTGGCCTGCAATTTCGGTTAGTTTCGTATACGTTTGTCCTCAAATAACACGCAGGGCGGCGCTTACTTTTCTCTAGTTTCCTTTTTAAAATCGCAAACAAATGCCGGATGACTTGACGCTGAAATGACTTGCGGATAAAGTGCCATCTCTAGGTGTATCGATAAGCAGGGTTGCCAGCTGGCCAAAGGCAAAAGCTACTAATAAAGGCCGTTATTTCTCTAAACTCAAGTTGGCAGGGCATCGCATTCGAATTTTAATTCAGGCGACCTGGCAACGCTCTATTACTTTTTTAAATATTAAAATTAAAGTCAGAAAAGAAATTAAAATTAAAAACAGAAGTCAAATTTAGATTTGGAGTAAATTTCTAACTTTTGTTTATTAAAATAATATAATCAAATGGTTTTCAAATTGATTTTCAGGGACTTCGCCTTGCTGCCATCTGAATCAGGTTTCTGCATTTCCCGCTTTAAAGTCCAAATTGACACTATTACCACTAAGCCTTTAAATGGTTATATAAGTCAAGCAACCAGTTAATAGTCACCCACTTCAAGGACCCGGTTTATTAACCGATTTTATTTATTACTTGTTTTACACCACTATATTGGCGCATTATCGTTATTTTAATTATAGTTTACTATTTTACTGTGTTTAAATGATTGATTGCAGGTGTCTTTTATGAGATCTTCAAGACATAAAAGAAGATTAACCATGGGGATATTATGGTTTTAGCACCAGTGAAAAATGGGTTAAAGGAAGCAGTTGCATAACATCGCATTGAGATATTCACTTTCACATTGGCGGCTTGCGAGACTGTCCAATTATGGCCATTTTAAATCTAATCACACCCCGCACGCACGGTCTGCAACGGCCAATTCAGTAAATCCCCGTGTTACAGGCCAGATAACTAGACAAACAATGATTGAATGGAAATGGAATAATGATTGGGTCAAGGTTGCCGTTACATTTTACCCTTCCTCTGAAGACAAAAACGAACTCCGAAGATTTGGGAGTGGCGAGAAGAGAAGGCGGAGGTGAAGGTGGAGACGCAGCGAGACCACTCAAAGCCCCAAAAACAACTGAAGGTCGTTGACCAAATGCAGTGCGCGGGAAAAAGAGAGGTAGCAAACCCGTTAATCTGACAGAAAGAGCCGTTACTCGCTCCGGAGAATTGCAATTGGCCATAGTAAAAGTGGTGCAAAAAAAGTAACTGCGGGGAGGGAAATGCTGTAAACTGGACAATGGGCAATTAGCGGGCAAAAAATCGGAGCCTAAATTCGATTATGAAATAGAATGGGCATGTAAATGCTATGGCCTGTCTTCCGCGTCTCTCGCTTTTACCATTTTTGGGCTTAAGCCGTTGTTTTTTTTTTCGCCATGCTGGATTTGCGAAAAAATAAAAGAAAATAGTACCTGGCTTTTGTTTTAGTCGATGTGTTTAGTCGAATTGTTGCTATTGCCACACGATGGATTTTAAAATAGCCAACTCTCGGAGCTAAGTATGTTTTCAATTTAATGACTGCGAGTGATTGCACAAAATTCCAGGCAGCCAGTCAGTCAGTCAGTCATACATCACATAATGCGCACTCGCGGGTATGCTCACATGGATCCACGAGATACGAGACACGATGGTGGATATATAGGATTATATATGTATGTGCATACATATATCCAGTCACGCCGTCGGCTCCCACAGGGTGCCAATCACGATCGGCCAGGGAGCCACCAAATTGCTAGTTGTCAGGGGTTTCGGACTACCTATGCATAGACACCAAAAACAGATTGACCCAATGCGACTCCAATGATGCCAAAAAGTGAACCACACTCTGCACTGGGAGAAAATGTAGTACGGAGTGGGGAAATAGCACTCCAATACAAATTACAAATATGTTATGTAAACGAAAACTTTATCAATAATACAACTTTGAAAAGGGGTAACAAAATACGTTTTCGAATATATATATTTCACTAATGTTTGGGATCAATACTTATTTATCTCCAAAAATGATTTATAATCTTCCAGAATATATAATTAAAGTAATTCCCTCAAACTTATGAACCTAAGTGCATAATCCGCTCACACATTTTGACAGCGTGGTGAATGCTTAATTTATGATTGAAACAAAGTTTATGTATTCATTTTTAGAATGTGGATATAAAAATAAATTAAAAATGCATTTGGTTGTAAGTGGTATTTTTGGAGTTTAAATAAAATGCTTAAGTTCTCATAACATTCAGAAAATGAGCCTTACTTAGAAGATGATAGATAGATAGCCAGCTTTTTTCGGTGTAGGTCTTTTGTGGTCCCACTCACAAAAGTCGAGATGCTGTGGATGACCCCATAAAACACTATAAGCCGATATGAAATACACATTGCAAGATATATCCAATATCCAAACGCATTGTGCTGTGTTTAACCTTCTTATTGTCTCCGCCACTCACCACACTGGGTTTTCAGTTTTGGCTATTGGGTTTCGGCCCGTTTAGTTCGCAACGAGCCGAAGTCAATAGCCGCGTGGATTTGCATAATCCCAGCCTCTCGAATCTCGTATATCAGATGTCCAGGTGGGGGCCCAATAAAATCGGAAGCCTAGGAGGGCAATCCGCTTTAGTTTTTGGCCAATATAAATCAAAGCGACCGCCGATTGTATGTGGGTCTGTGTATCACAGATTTCCACTTCCTAGCTATTGTCTGTAGGATAACGACCCGGTTACCTTGTTGTAATATCTCGAGTGCAGGAGTCGTGCCTCCGGTACCGCACCGCCCCCCTTTCCCCGAACTCTGGTGGAAACCGAAACCGAAACGAGTTTTCATATAACACCGTTCCCCCGACTGACTTTTCATTACTGAGCCAAAATCCCCAACAACAACGGCGGGCAGCAAAAGAGTTGCGAATGCGGCGCGTTGCGAGATATAGAAAGACAAGACAGTCCAATTTTTCGGTGTATATAAGCTGAGTGCAGTGGCTCAGCGATTCAGTCCCAGCTTGGATCTCGTTACCCGTGCAGCACAGCGAATTGTGGAGTAATTGTTCCCCCGTGAGACGTCGAATCAGCAGCTCAGCAATGCGAATGGTAAAGCCATCGGATCTAGGATCTAGCCGAAGAAGTGTTCAGAGTGATCAGAGAGTGAATCGTGTCCCTGTCCATCCTCCTTTGCAGTTCGTACTTCCTTGTCTCGCCGTGTGCGTGGCATTGGCCCACTGTGGCACCGTGGCAGTCGAGGAGAAGAAGGCCGAGGGCGATGGCAAGACCGTGGAGAAGAGGGGCCTCCACCTGGGCGACTACCACCACTACCAGCCCCACCACGAGCACCACCACGAGCACATCAAGACGGTGACCATCGAGAAGAAGGTTCCGGTCCACTACACGGTCACAAAGCACGTGCCCTACACCGTTGAAAAGAAGGTGAGTCCTTAACCGTCAAAGTCTAGTTTTGTAACTCTTCATTACCGAAATGGGGATTTTGATATCTTAAAAATGGTATTAACTGACCCATTTGACTGTTAAGGATGTAAAATTACTACTTCGGGTTTTGAGAAACACTCAATCTGCTTTCTTTAATTATTTAACCATTCCCATTCGTAAAAGTCAAAGAAAAAATAAAAAAAAAATGAACATCCTGATAAATAGAGGACATAACACATAACCTGGACAGATTTACTACTTATCAAAATTAACCAAAATGTTATAGTTCCTATCCACCAATAACCATCCAATAATAACATTCCAAATCAGATCCCCTACGAGGTAAAAGTGGATGTGCCTCAGCCTTACATCGTGGAGAAGAAGGTGCCTGTCCATGTCAAGGAGTACGTGAAAGTGCCCGTGCATGTGCCCAAACCCTATGAGGTGATCAAGAAGATCCCCTATGAGGTGAAGATCCCGGTTGACAAGCCCTACGAGGTTAAGGTCCATGTGCCCCAGCCCTACGAAGTGATCAAGAAGATCCCCTACGAGGTCAAGGTTCCAGTGCCCCAGCCCTACGAAGTGATCAAGAAGGTTCCCCACGAGGTCAAGGTTGAGGTCCCGGTCCCCAAGCCCTACGAGGTGATCAAGAAGGTTCCCTACGAGGTGAAGTACGAGGTGGAGAAGCCATACGACGTGGAAGTGCCCAAGCCCTACGATGTCGAGGTCGAGAAGCCCTACACCGTTGTCGTGGAGAAGAAGGTGCCCTATGAAGTTAAGGTTCCCGTCGACAAGCCCTACAAGGTTGAGGTGAGTGAATACTATTTGATAATCAGAAGAAATTGGGGAGTTTCCAGACATAACGTTTCCAAAAAATCTTCAGTTTTAAAGCTGTGAGTCAGAATTACTATTTCCACTTCCCACAATTTTATATTGATAAAGTTAAGTGACCAACCTCATACTTACCCCAAACTATTCCCCCTTCTGCATCCCAGGTGGAGAAGCCCTACCCAGTCCATGTGAAGGTGCCCGTGCCTCAGCCTTACACCGTGGAGAAGAAGGTTCCCTACACCGTCGAGAAGCCCGTGCCCTATGAGGTGAAGGTGCCCATCGAGAAGCCCATTCCCGTCTACACGGAGGTGAAGGTGCCCATCCACAAGGAGATCCCCGTGCCCGAGAAGTACCACGTCGAGGTGCCGATCTTCAAGCACCACGAGCACCACCACGAGGACCACCACGACTACCACAGCCACAGCCACGGCCATGGGCACTACTAAAGATCGCCCGGGGATATCCAGACGTCCAGATTCCCAGAGCCAGTCGCACAGAAAGCGAGCACAAGAAGAAGGAGGAGGACGAAGAACGAAGGACGAAGGACGAACAGGGAGGAATACGAGGAGCAGCAGGCGAGACCATCTGTCAGCGAGTCCATCTGTATCTCTCAGATGCATCCACGCAGCAACGTTGAGCTGGACGTTGAACGGGTGACACGAGCGGGAGGAAATGAAGCAGTAAACCCCAAGACTGAAGAATTCGCGCAGTTCTCCAGTCCGAAGGAGGAAGATGAGGAGATGAGGAGAAGAAGAGAAGAAGAGGAGCCAGAGCAGAAGAGGGGGAGCCAGCGGGGAGTAGCAGTCAGAGGACAAACTAACTAGCTACTCCATTCGAGATCTGGCGGAGACCCACGAAAACGGTTTCCGCATCAGTTTTAAGCCAAATGTGTTAGTACTTTTATCATTGTGTTAGACCCTACGATTTCTATATTTAAATTATAAGCTAAAGAAACACTGAAAAGTAGTCGCAATTATTGGGTTTTTCGGGTGCAGCGACGATGTGGAAGTGAAAGTGAAAATTGACCAGCCAGCCATGGCCAAAAACCCCTGAAAAAGACACGTAACGCGGCGGCGGAAAATGAAAATGAAAGAAAACCAGTTACCATCCATCACCACGTACCATGTATTCTTGCGGCCAGTTCATTATGCAAGGAGCGATCCGTTGCGTCATCGACTGCCAAATTAATTGCAGGAAGCACTCGCCAACACTCGTTGAAACTTGGCAACATATTCGCAATTATGGCGGGCTGTCATAATGGCTAAAAAGATTAAGAGAGGGAAAACAAATGCATAGATTGCCAACAAATTGATGGCTACACGTGAAGAAGCTGATTTCAAGATTTAAATTTGAAGTCTTTTTAATTGACGTTGATATAAATATGTATATTTAAAAATAACCTAGTTTTTTGTATTGTATCGAAATTAACATGCTTATATTTTATTTAATACTTTTTTTTTACTTAAGTAAAACCTCTGCTATTGAAATCGTTTTTTTTGAGATTTAAAATAATATATTTTATTTATCATTAGTGGTTGCACGTAAGTGTACGCGCAGATTTTTCTAAGTGTACATTTAACGGCTCTATTTGCAATTGATTCGCAATTGTAACAAGCCACGAAAAGCAGTTGAAAACATAAAAAAACGGCACTTCAAGTGTGCAATAGCCTCATTTTCGGGGGCATTAGACGTAGCGCGTAGCCAAATTGCTCAGCATTTCAAAATATCAGTAAGTGCAAAATTACCCATCAAGTATCCACTAATTGCAATTCGATGGTGTAAGCTTTGGCGCTCTCGACATTTAAAATTTGGCGCGCACCCCAACCGTTACTGTTAGCCTGCACTGTTAACTCTGCCAACGATGTGGCAACCCATTGTGAGAATTGTTTTTGGCAACGTTAGTGCCCGATTTCGCTCTCCCGGAAAAAATCAGTTTTAAAGCCACTAAAATGGCGGTGACAATTACGAAATTTCGAAATTCGAGTGGAGAACTGGTGTCTGCGCCGCCCTCTTTGGTTTTCCGCCAGAAAACACTGGATCCCCAGCTGATAACAAAGGTAAATAATAGTCTGAAAAATGTATAAACAAGTCGCCCTTTTTTTGTTGACACTCGGCGTTGCCAGATCGGCAGAGGTGCACAAACAGCTGTTAAGTAACATGTGCCGAGCACAACAGAGAAATGTAAATCGCAAATAACAAAGTTATTTAATTTATTTGTCCAGAAACCGTTCGCAAAACTTGAGCCGGGAAATGCCACAGTGAGGATCTCTTCAGGGGGCATCGTTCTTAACAAAATACCTGCTATTATAAGGCCCAGTATGAAGAGAGCAGCGCCATCGACGTCATCGGGAGTCAGCACCGCGGGAGCAACAACAACAGCACCAGCTGGTACAGTGGGATGTAAGTGAAAGAAAGCGATCAAAAAATAAACCTAAAATGCAATTAAACTGATATGGCTTAATGTTTTGTATTAACAACTTATCCTTTGACTTTATTCGAGTTAAAGAATATAATCTTCATATTGCGATTATAAACAAATAACCGTAGAATATAATTATTAATATTGCATTATTATTCTAGATCCCCCATCCAAGACGCCCAGGTATGTCATTCAAGCCATTCCAAGTGGATCTAACCAACTGCAATTGCAAGCGAGGAAGGATTCGCAATCTCTGGGGGTGGCCATCAATTCACTGCCTCCAAATACGATCATAAAAGCCACGACAAGACCATCACAAGCTGCACCTTTGAATCCGGTCCCTGCGTTGGTCACGTCGACACCATCCACACCGAGTAGTAGCCGGAGCTCCGCTCAATCCAATCCAACTGTGGCCGCTGACTCCAGAGTTTCCTCCGCAGTGCGACAGGCTGTGTTCATTAAAAGGGAGCTGCCCCAGGCGCAGAGGAGTACGAGGAGTCTGACTCTGGGTTTGGTGGAGCAAGCGCCACTCCTTCATCTGGGTGTGGCTCCAGAGCACCTGTCACTGCTTAAACGACATGTCTGCCGCAGTGCCAATGTCACCCACCTGGACTGCTGTATTACCTTGAGGAAACTGCGGCAGAACGAACCTTTTGCCCTGCTGGCCGAGCACTTTGAGCTGAGTGAATCGGATGCCGAGGACTCGTTCAAGCGCACGCTTATCAAGCTGGCCCGCTTCCTGCGACCACTTATCCGCTGGCCAGATGCTCGGCACCACAACGAGCGGCTCAAGCACACGCCACTGGACTACCGGGCCCATCTGCTGCACGTCCGCTCGCTGATCGAGTGTGTGGAAACGGATGTGGCGGAGGATCACGGACTGGGCAGTGACAGCTACAAGTTCATATTGTGCATTAATACGAATGGTAAGGCATTGCTTAGATAGCGACCTTTATTGAATTGTTATCTTCTCCCCAGGCATCATCAGCTATGTGTCCAGCGCTTTCCCCGGTAATTGCGACGATCTTCAGTTGTTCGAGGCCAGCAGATTTCGGGATGTCATACCCAAGTACCTCACATTGTGCGCGGAACCTGGCAAAGCAGTTCCACATGCTCGCAGAACGGGCATGGAAGATCCCCACGACTCGGCGGATGAGGATGACTACCAGGCGGCGGAGGACCCAAAGCGATCGCTGAGCAAATTTGAGGCCCAGCGTTTGGGGGGGCAGTTGGCCAACCAGCAATCCCTAACCGTTGTGGATGGAGTTCTGACCTCAAAGCGAGCTCCTTCCGTTCAACTGCCCACGTTCAAGGCCCAAGAACCCGCCTGCAGAGCCCAAATGCGGGATATGATCAATGTCATCAGGGAATTCCGGATGCTCGGCCATTCGGCTATTCATCAGAAGTCGTTGCTGGGATATCTCGATGAAATGATCGTAGTGGCTGCAGCTCTTTGTAACCTTAAGCGACAGGAGTTGCACTCTTAATTATTACCTAGTTACTGTGAGTAAAAGGAAGGCCTGTTTTAGGGTCAGATTATTAATTATTTTTTAAATTTTCTCTTGAATTATTAAATACCTATTTTTTTAAAGAATTTAAAATATATATTTCCAAATGAGGAATAAAATAAAGCATTTCATTTCTTGTTCTAAGATCCCATTTAGAGTCGCACTTGTCAAAGCCTCACTAGTTTGGCGAATATCAAACTCCGACTCCCCTTCTTGTTTGATCAGCTGCCCCATTTAAAACACTTGCAGTCGTATTTCTTTTATCATTTTGCTTTATTTACTTTACAAAAATACAAGCAAAACTAAGTACATATTCAACGAAAGTTGTTCAATGAACCGGGGCAACATTGCCAATCGGAGTTTGCCATATTTGAATTTGAAGAATACATGTTTGTCGTATGTATGGATAGTCCAAGGGTAGGTGCTCCATCCTCCCCGTTGGCCGCTCTTTCTCTCTTAGGGGGTAATAATTAAAAACTTGCTTAGTTAATAAGTGACTCTGCGTACTAATTGCTAAACATATTGTATATTGTGTGGTGTATGCCTGACAAAACCAGCTCTAGCTCCTCATCCTGACATTATAACAAGTATGGTGATTGGGGCGTCCAATGCGTCTCAGAGCTTCTGGATGATGTCGAACTTCTTCTTGAGGTCCACGCTCTCGTTCTTGGGATCGTACTTCTTCTTGGAGGCCAACTTGGCGCGCATTTCGGCGACTGTCAGGGGCAAGTTCAAGCTGCCCGCCCGATTGCCGCCCATCGCAGGGGGCGGCGTGATGGGCGTGGGCGTGGGCGTGGTCGTGCCATTTGTACCATTGCCATTGGTGTTGGTGTTGTAGACACTGCCATTGTTGTTGATCCCGGCCTTGGTGGCCGAGGGCGGTGGGGGCGTGCTCATCAGAGTGTTGTTGTTGATCGGCGACGAGGGCTTGCTGCCATTTTGAACGGGCGGAGGAGGAGTGGCCACCACTGGTGCTGCCGCCGCCGACGGGATGCCCCTGTCGACCACATCCAAGTCGGAGGCGTTCATGGTGCTGCCGCTCTGGATGCTGCTGGCATTCGAGGATCGCTTGGTGCTCACCATGCTGATGCTACTGATGTTGGCACTGGCTCCTGGCATCTCCTGCTTGGTGCCCTCGTAGCCATTCTGGCTCGCAGCACTTCCGTTGCCATTGCAGGCAGCAGCTGGCGGAGGCGACGGCGTCTTTACCTCTATGGCCTTGCCATCCACATCGATGAGGAGCAAGCGGACCTCGTTGGCAATGGCCTTGATCCTGGCCACCACCTGTTTGTGGGTCTCGCTGCCAATGGACACCCCGTTGACCTCCAGGATGCGGTCGCCCTCCTTCAATCCAGCCCCCTCTGCCGGAGAATCGGCGTCCACCTTGCCAATATACTGACCCGGTTTCACCTTCTCCGAGTGAAGGTTGAAGCCGTACCCATCGAAATCGGGCCTTTTTACTATGTGACAGGTTTTGGTCACGCCCGGCGGCAAAGTGGGCGGCGTGGGCGTTTTTGGGGAAGTGGGCGTGGACATCTTTGCTTCTGAAATTGCAAATAACGATGGGATAAGTATAAATCGCATTGTTATCAGGTTAGGGATATTTTTCTGAGAACTGGGAGACGTACTGACTTGCCTCTCTGGATTGACGATAGCAAAATGAATATTTTTCTAAGCTTTGGGTCTTATTGGTGATGTGTATAAAATAATCATACAAAATTGTATGATAAATAATAAAATAATCATACAAAATTGTATGATAAATAATAAAATATTCACAAACATAACCTAAAGTTCAATTTCTAATCTGCTATTTAAAAATAAAATATACAAATAAATTGAATGCCGTAGTTACAGAACAAAAATCATAATATTTTATGCAAAAACGAACTCTATTAACCACTTTTAATGGGCTGCCTCATTATGCTTCTAAAAACTATTTTTCCACAAAAATATTTGCTGATAAAAGATTCAAGATTTCATAATGAGCTTTTGTTCTTTGGCAAGCGAGACATGAGTCTGGAATGGAAATGTCACAATATCGTGTTTAGTTCGTCATTAAGTTGTTTTTTTTTTGTATAGGGGTAGGCAATCAGCAAAGTCCAGATAGATACGTATATGTATGTATTTATTTTTATGGCAAGCAGCTACCACCGAAAGATAAGGAAACTTCTCGTTCATTCAGCTTTTTGGCCACCTTATCGCGTACTCCCTTTATGACCGGCATTGACAATATGCTGACCCACATTATCTGACCCCAAATTTCGACCCTGGTGGAAAGGTCCATTCCGCCGATCCGTAGTACGTGTTCCTTGGGCTCTATTTCTGGCCCATTGGCCTGGCGATAGTTTCGATGGGCATATCTGGCAGGTACTTGGCCATAAGTGTAATTGCCCGCCAAATAGCATTTATGGCCGTGCTTAAGTTTGGGTTTTGTTTCGTAGCTGTTCCACTTTCGTCTTTGCAAACTGGCAAAACGGGTAAATAGAAATTCCACATGCATGTGCTCATGGGTCGAAATTAATATAGTACGTCCGCTTATCGCACCCACACACATTCCCACGAAAGGAACGTGATTTTCCAGAAAACTTAACAACAGGGAATTAGCAAAAATAATTTGTTAAATATAACCCCTAAAATGTTAACAATAAACGTGAATAACTATAGAAAGAAAATGAGTTTCAGACTACACGAAAAATATGGCAAGATAAATAAATTAACAGAATTTAACAATTACAAAATTAGTAAAATACTATAATTTGTTTTAATTGAAAAATATAACTTCCCAATACTTTTTACTAGAACCCTTGTTGTTATGCCAAAGTATATTAAAGTACAATTAGTGATCCATCACGTTTTCGTTTTATAATAAGTTTAAGAAATTCCCGACGACCTTGAGGACTTGAACTTAATATTGGCAGCGTTGCACTCGATTTGGTAAGATGCTAATTTGTGATGGGACACACATCGTTTATCGTTATCAGTTTTAATTGGCCGTAATTCCAGGCGGTGAATGCAACAGCCCACTTCAAAGCCCTGAACTTTGAATAATTAAATAAGAAACTCCAGTCACAGTCTCAGGCATTGCTAATTTCAAAGGCAATTGTGTTCCACCTCAGCTTGAATTTCGCTGGGCTCTTATTTATTTACTTATTTATGTTTTCGTTTTTTACGGTTTGTTGTGGACTTTTTTGTTGGCCGAAAAATGAATCATCGTTGGCAGTAAGATTTATGAGTGTTGGCATTAGCTCTGGACGATCAACCAACCCCACCCCCCACTTCACCCTTTTGGGGCCTAATTTATTGGAACAAGATGAGCTCGTGTTTTTGGACAGTGGGCGGGAAGGGGGATGACCTTGACTTTCCCACCGCCAATTGTTGCCAGCTTCCATTGTAAGCGATTTTTAATTCAATACAAGGTAAACAATGAAGCGCAAAAAAATTCAATTCAGAACCAACAATAAGAGGGGGATGGGTTGCATGGGATGGGATCGAAATAATAATAAAAATAATAATAATTGTCTATACTCGCATGTATGTGGGTTTATGGCTCTCAACCAGTCGATTTATATTTCTATTAGGAAGCGGAACTGACAGTTGAAAAAACGTCACAAAACATCATAGGCAACAAACAAAGAAATCGTTAAATTGATAGACGGAAATTAAACGAAACATATAATGTTGTGTTTGTGGTTAATAAGGTACACGATTATTATTAAAATTGCAATTAGGTGTAATTGAAGATGGTGCTATAAAATAATGGGAACTAATCAAGGTGGTTATTGTGATATGAACAAATTATTAAACAATTAGTCAAGAAATTTAGAAGAAACAACATCTCTGAGTTAGTCAGAAAATATATTATAAATTCATTTAGAATCTTAAAACATGTATGTTTATATGTGCAATTTAAATTTATAGCGATTTTATATACTTTTTGACAAATTTGGAATTTTTTGTAATTCTCCTGATACTTTGAAATGAATAAAATCGAACTTTTGTTTCATTTTTTTTAATGGACAACCTTGGCTTTATAATTTGTAAAATTTCGTAAGTTCATAAATCGTTTTTTTTTTGATTTGTTAAGCGATTTCCCGTTGTCAGTTTTGGCCCCCCGCCCCCACTCCTCTCTCACCAGTTTCTCTCTCCATTCTCCGATTCTCAAGTTTCGAGAACTGCGCAAACTTTAATTGAATTTGCAATCAAGCATGAAGTACACACACATATACTCGCAGGTTTTATCATTCACAATGCTTGGGGAATCGCCCGCTGGCCAAAGCACCCCTCTCCCCCTAGACCATACGCCCACTTCCCCCACCTCCCCCTCCCCTTATGATAACCCGCATGGGGACACAGACAGCCTCCATTGTTGTTGGCTGTTTGTTTACTTAAGCGGTTTCTCATCATTAAAGCAAATTAGCCGTTAGGCACTTACAGGTAGTTGATTTCGATTCGGTTAGGGATTCTCCAACACTCCCCTCCCCCTCTCCCCCTGACCGTTATATCCCAAACCCAAATCCCTAAAACTATAGAACATTTTGGAATTCTCTCAACGGGAACTTTTGGTCTGGGCGGCATTCTTCCAAGTGAATTCTAATTAAATTCAGTGTATTGTTAAATTTTCGCACATTCGAACGGAATTTAATTATATCTTGTGCAAATATGCAAACTCAGGATCCGATAATCTAGGAAATAGTAGGGAAAACAACCGAGTATATGAGATAAAATAAGTGGTTTATTTTGGGTTTATCACAATAAAATTAAATGCAAATTCATCTTTGCTTGGGTGAGAAATTCATTACGCGAGTGCTAAATAATGAGTCATACGAGATGGTTGGAATTGTGGGGAGTGGGCAATTTAAGATATCAATTCATGGGAACGGATTTGTAATCAGATATTATAGGGTTGGTCGATTCACTCGCCAGCGATTTCCTTTCGATGGTTTGCAGATAGTTCAAAACTATAGAAAATGAAAGTAGCATTGTAGTAGCATTTATAGTATAAACAAATATTCAGAAACTATTTACAAAACAGTTTCAAAGGCGTTTCCCCCATGTCCACCTACTCGTGTTAATAATAAGGTATATTTTTCTAAGTGAATACATTAGAAGCTGCCGTAAATCCCCTAAAATCTCAATTAGCCAAGTTATAAAAAGCTAAACAAGTTGAAAAGGTTCGCGGTTCACTTATAAGTATTATGCAAGCCCTTCGCATTGCCAAATGATGCATCACAAGCCATTTAAAGCTAGCTAAAATAATGAACATTATAAACTTATAACAATAATAATTTACTGCCAGAAAGCAAAGTTAGCAAACACAGCGATGATGATAACTTCGCTGTTTGTTTTAAAAGTGACTAAAAGTTAAAGGCTACGTAATAAATTAAACAAAGGCTGACGACATTTGCGAGTTCGCTTGGAGTGCGCAACCAGAGGTTTTTACTTAAGCAATAAAACATATAGAAAACCGAAGAACTTTCACTATCTGCGGATCGTGAACGACGATTTATGAAAAATAACGAATCCATTTCAATGCTGAGCCATTCAGACTTCAAGGAGGGACACCTGTAATTGATTTCATTTTCTTTTTTAACCGCACCACTATTATCTCAACAACTTAAGACACATTTTAATTTTCGTGTTTGACTCTATCAAATATTGTGCCTCTTTTATGGATTCGCGACGGCTATCTTATCGCGTCTTGATTTTAATTAAAAAATTTCTGGCCCATTGCTCTTGTCCACTTTTGCTGATATGAATGGGTAATTATGTGCGGCTATTTTCGGCAGATGACGACTAGGTCATTGGAGCCCAGTTGTTTTTGGGTTCACTTAGCACCTAGAAGTTGAATCGCATGTGGTGACAGTTTCACAGATCCCCATAAAAATTCATTAGCAGCCAAACCTCTCACAAAAGACTTGAGATTTCAGTTTCCAGATGCGAGAAGATGCGTCTTCTGAGTGACTGTCGGTTGTTGTCGCCGCGGGCGTCTGAGAATGGTTAGCAAATACCTTGAGTACAGCTGGGAAACTCTGCAAAACTGGTTATGATTATTTATTCTTTGCATACCCCTGGCTAATGTTTAAGGTACTGAGGTAGTATTAGACGAAACCAAAGGGTTGTCACAGTGCCAGCGATTGGAGAAAAACTGGTTGGAAAACTGCCTACTACTTCATTAGGTCTTAGGGAACTTTAATCCTTTCTTCACACAAAGACTCAAAGATATTTTAGGATACACTGTTAGAACTGCGACATTTCTTTATCATTAAAAACCATTTTTTCTAGATGAAAATATTATATTACAATATTACAAATATCACAGTGCCAGCGATTGGACAAAACTGACTAATGACTATTATACTTCATGAGGTCTTAGGGAATCTTAATCAGTTCTTCACATACTTACATTTAAGACTGAAAAATATTTTAAGATACACTAATAGAACTCCGACATTTCTTTAACAATAAAAACCATGGTAATATAATATTACAATCTACTTATTTATAAGTGAAATCGATGTTTAAGAAACTTAGTTTGAGCAAGCTTAACAAGGTATTCAATGATCGATTCGTCTTAACCCTTACTTTAGTTGCTCACTGTAGTTTTTTCTATTATTCAATGACAATGGCGAATGCTGTAATGTGAATGTAAATCTGGCTGTGACTCTGAATGTGACCTGGCTGGCCCCTGGCTTAGAAACCCAGACCTCCGTCGAGATTCAGTCTCCAGCTCTGAGATTGAGACACCTGCGATGAAGTTAGGAAAAGGAACGCACTTGACTGCAAACACTTGTCTTGCTAATTAAACCGCGCCCATAACAGATAAAGTCCATTAAAATATTTATCTGTTGATGGGCATCGTAAACACAATATTTTTAGATTTTCACATTTACACTGGTCACATGAAAATGGGGTCAACGCAGTGACAGGTTTATTCGTTTCCAGTTTAGAATGACATAACTATTAACTGCAATTACAACTGCAAGCCATAAACTAATTGTATCTGCTAAATTCAACAAAAGTAACCATAAAAAGACTTAATTGTCTTTCGATTCCTCGTGCCCTTGGCCATATAATAACCCCACTCTGTAATAAATTAAAACTCTTTTGCAGAAAAAGTGAATCTTGCAATTACACATCGCACATTTCATTAGCGGGAAAAAAGCGATGAGAAAAGAGAAACCCCAAGAGGCGTACATATATCATTTCTTAGCGTTTCAGGTTTTCGTACAACGGATCTCAGGGCGTACTCAGCAATCAATCAAAAACTTTAATAAGCAATTTGCAAGAGTCGCCAAAAACCAGCCAGCTGGGGAAATTACGTGTAAAATTATAGAATGCAAGTCGACAAGAGGAAATGTCAATAAAAAAGAATTAAAACGCTGGCCGAGCAGTCTTGCAGATGCAACACCAGCAGGTACACAAATTGTTTTTGGATGTAAGCCGTGTAGTCGACTTGTTTCTGCTGACGAAAAAAAGCTCATAAAACTTGGCTGAAAAATTCTAGGCGCAATGTATCTGACAGAACGTGTGCATGTGGCACAGCACACCACCAAACTTGCAAAGATACCCGCACAAAGATACAAACGCTGACGACACTGCGGGCCGAGTACAGAAACTTTTTAGCAACCAGCAAAATAATAAAAAAAGGTATAAAGATCGCCCTAAGTGAGGGGCCGAGGGAGGTGGAGGGGGGAGCAGGGTTACCAGAGGGAGAGCCACTTAGATGCTGTATCTCTGTATCTGTATCTGTAGAAACCTGGTCCTAACCAAATTCATTTTGATGCTGTGGCTGCCTCAAATATTTTTCGTGCGTTCAGCCGGTAAATATTTTCGAGATCCCCTTTCTAGAGAGTACTTAAAAAAATTAAATTACAATGCATTAAAATTGGGATACAAATATTAATGCCGAATTTGTATTTGCTTCCGGAAATGAATAATAATATTAAATTAAACAAATTTTTAGAAAACAAACAATATAAATATAAATTGTTCGACAAATTTTAAAAATACTACTTGTATAAAAAAAATAAAATAAAAATCTGAATATTGTAGGATTAAGTTCGTTTGCTTTTTTTCCTTGTCCTAAACTTAACAATGCTTTTTTTAAACTCTCCTTAGTTATGTGGTAATATTTTATCATATAAACTTTTTTAATCTGACCTTTAATATCTACTAAAAATTACACCATCCCAATTAGAGCATTTAAATTTCGGCCAAATGAAATTTCGATTCCCTTTCCTGTTGCGTCTTGGATTTCGTTTTATTCTGTTTCTGTAGTTATTTTTTGGTTGAGCTTGAGAAAATAAAAATTGATTCTAGAACCTGTTTTTGGCTTTGCCCGGTCTGGTCTTCTCGCTGGTGGCTGCTTTGTGCTGGCCTTTTGAAATATCTTTGGCTTTGTACTTGTTTCGTTGCTGCTGCTGCTGTTTTTAGGCGTTTCTTCGGCTGTTGAATCTTGTTTGGGTCTTTTGTACGAGCGGGCAAACAAAAAAAAAGGGAGTAGGAAAAATAAAACATTTCTGTGAGAGATCCCCAGACTCAGGCCGAAACTCTGACCGGGATTGGGGCTTTCGTTTTCGTTCGTTTGCCCCATCCATTTAATAAGGCACATATTTTGTATAATTTATACCATTATTTGTTGTCTTCTTTTTTTCGAAAGTTTATCAAAAGCGAAACGTAAAATTTCTTGGCTTTGATTTGATATATTAACTTGCAGGTTTCGGGAGAGTATAGCTTTTGTTTTTTATATAATAATCTCGAATCGACTGCGTCAAACGTTTTCTCAGTAAAGCGAAGACCTTGAGAATATTATAAATTAACGTTTAGAAAAAATGATGATCGTACGCTTAAGTAGAAATAATAATAATGCACAAACAATACGCGGGCCAAGTGTGCAAATCGCTGCTTTGCTAATACACTCACATTAAAGTTATAGAAACTTTTGCAAAAGCTGAAATATATCTTGTATACTGTGTATTCAGGTAGCATCCATTGTGCATAGACACTGCAATTGTGAAGATTTTCGCATGCCACTCAAAATGCAAATGAATGGATGTGGGAACCTTATGAGTCACGACTTGATTTTCGCCCAAATATGATAAATAGGTATAAGGTTTGCAAATTCTATAGAAGCTCAACAGTTATCTTTGTTTATTTTTGTTTAAAATTTCATTCAAAATTCAAGGCTACGAATTCGAAAAGGCGATCAACGTGATCACGATCACTTTTGGCCTTCACAATCAGCTGTTTGCTGGGGAGAAATACAAATGATATATTGATATTTAGATCTTGGGAATTTTGGATTCCTCTTCACCTAATCACCCTATTAATCAAAATGTCTATGGGGTAATTCTGGATAAAAATGTGTTGTTTTAGTTTTATCAATCATGATCTGACTTCTTTTCGCACCAATTTTGCGATTGAATAAGTTCTAGGAAATTCCCAAAATAGGTGTTATAAAATATCAACTCTTTTTGTCAAACTTTTGTGGATTTGAATTTTAAGATAAGGTAATGGTTAAACTAACTCTTTTAAAGCCAAAGATAATCAGGGGTTAAGAAAAATAAGAAGAATTCCAGAAATTCTAGGCCAATCCCCCTGTCAAAAACTGGTTCTGTTCTTGGCACCTTCTTGAATGATCATCCCAAGATATTTCCATCCGCGAAATGTGTCAAAAACCTGTGTCTGTGGCCGCGTTAAATGCAAAACCCGATCGCTAAATAGCGAAGCCGCAGACATTAATCGAATTAGCATTGCTAGTGACAAGCGCAGAACGCAGAAGATTGGATCTAAATCGTGGCAAGTGCCACAGAAAAACCCACAAAAACACTCTGAAAAACCAGAAACACACGCGACAGAAATGCACAACCAGCGAGTCAGGTGAAGTAAACCGGTGAATTAATAGCAACAACAACGGCCAGTGCCTCGAAACTAAAATAAAAGCAAAGTCTAAACAAAAACAGAGAAAAAGACTAAATAAAAAAACGATCAAAGAAACCTGCTTTGGGACATAGCTGGAATACCAGAGTTGTCACTTGGCCGAAACCCCAAGGGGAATGTGTTTTTCGGAGGGGGGTTTTTAGGGGGTGTTTCTGGGGAGTGCCTAGCTAGGAAGAAGAAGAAAAGCCCCACCGAACTGAAAGCGAATTATGAATAACGCTTAAAAGAGACTCCACCGATAAGCGAAAGAAAAGAGACAAAATCGCATGCATGTCGCATTTGAAAACGACCTTATGCAATGCGATCGAAAGAGAGGGGGCTAGTGGGAGCAAGCGAGAGGGGGCAATAAATCAAAACAATTATTATGTAAGGCGGTGTGGATGTTAGTGCAGCCAAAAACAGTTAACAGGGCAACACATTAAGCGGTACGCAATAAAAAGTATTTTAATTTGGTTTATTTAGCTTATTGATTCAGCTTGGGTGCACAGAGAATAAAAAATGTTTGTACAAGTAGTATTTTTGATATGCAAAGAGCTTCTTATCAGTATCGGTTCTGCGTAAATGATATCATAAAGTTATAAAAAATACATACTTAAAATGGTTTCCTTATCCAGGAGACCCAAAAAAAAAAAATTAAGTTTACATAATTAATTCGATTAAAGTATTGCATTATTTGTTTATGCTAATTGAAAAAGTATTGGACTCATTCGAGCTTGAAATTTATTAAGGAAGAAATAATTAAATTAACCGTGAATAGATACAAGATATTAAGATTTATTTTATTCGACATTTAGACTACTTCTTTTACTGTTACCGAATATAATATAAATATGATTAAATAAACCATAAAATATAATTCCCAATAAGTGTCCAAAGTATTTTTCTGTGTAATCGTTAAGGCTGATTGCAGCCTCTTTTCCCCCTTACCCGCCACCTAATCGCCCTCTCTTTTCCATTTCGAACCGCTTTGCGTGTGTAAATTGTTTATTTAATTTCAGTTATTGAAAATGCTGTTTTATGGACTTTTATTAACTTTGTTAAATCATGGCAAATGATTCAATGCTATTATTTTTTTTGCAATATTTATGTTTTGCACGTTGTGTAGGAACTGGAATTCCAATGGAGTCAATTGATATTCTACTGGCATTTCGCTCAAGTTCAGTGGTTTTAAAACTGTCTCAAGGCTGAAAATTTCATTTCTCGACTTACCGCTAAAACAAGTAGAAAAAATTCCCTTTCAAATGTCGTTGATGTTGTTTTTCAAATTGTTGTTGGGCTGTTAGGTTGGTGTTGCTGAAGTTGCTGCTGCAGTTGTTGTTGCCGTTGCACACTCTTGCTTTTTTTTTGTATGCAAACGCAGTTACACACTCACACGCGCTTTGTTTTTGTTGTTGTTTTTTAAAGCCTTACTTATCTTTTAATGAAGGAGCTGCAACAACAAAAACCGAAGAGCAGCCGAACAACGAAAAAACGAAAGCGAACACACGAAAAAGTCACACAAAAATCGCTCGTCTAAAATAACTGTTGACAGGCGAAAGAGGAAGAGAGAGAGGAAGCTATATCTTTCTGGTATTATTTCTATATAATATTAGTATCCGTTGAACGTTGTTAACGCTTTCGCGGGCAAATCGTAACTGATTTCGGCCGCTGAGACCGAAAGCCGAACTCCTCCCGTCACCAGGTGAAAAATTAACGATCGTTATCTGTATAAGCATTGCATACTTTCGGGGAGGCAAGGGTACTAACAGAAAGTGGAGCGATCACTGTGGTGAGTTTCTTGGGAACAAAAGGAGTTTGTTAACAGAAGTTTGGTTCCGTCGCGTAAATTGAAAATATTCCAATATTTGTAAGAAATACATGTTACTATTTAATATTAGCCAAATTTTTACGCACATGCAAAACAATGACTGTTTTTTCCTGGGTGTTCGGCAGACTACAAATGTATTTAGGATTCACTTCCTTTAGAGCAACTGCTGAAAATTTAATTTCTAGAACATTTTTTTTAGGCAATTGTTTTTAATATTATTATTCTAAAACGATTCAATAAATTTGTTTTTAATTTTAATGTATAAATTTAGTCGCTGAAATAAATTAAACATTTTTTAGAAGTGATTTGACTATATTACAGACTTTGTTGCACGCTTATAAAATCTACACAAATAATCCCAAGTAATAATTAAAATCGATTTTCCAAAAACCAGAACTTTTTCATGCACCTTTAAAATAAGCTTAATTTATGGAATGATGTGCCTGAAATATTAGCCTGCCACATAATAATGCTTTCGATTTTAAGCACATTATTTCCGTAGAACCCTTCACTCCATTGTCTTCACTTTCGAGCGGCTTTAATGCGCATTGTCTGGTTTCTTATCTGCAGTGTCCAACGTTGTTTCCAAGCCAGTGCCTCACCTGTATGGAAATCAATCAGGAGGACGACTGAGAAGGGACTCATGGGTACTGCATTTCCCTTTTTATTTTTCAACTGTGCAGCCAAAATCCGTTTCCAGTTCTTTACTGCCTCTCTGAAAATGTAATGCAACTTTGGTAAAGACCAAGCAAAGCGAATCTGAGTTATTGATCTAATAATCGGAATGTGTGGGTTGGCTTATTCCAGCTTATGGACATGTGGTCAACTGTACTTTTGTCCCGGCTTTGACAGCTGACAACTGTCATTTTCGGCCTGGCTCACCTGACGTGTGTTCATGGAATTTATTTAATTTCCGCCTGGCCATTCAAGTAAGATGACTTTCACCGCCCCTCGGCCCACTCTTTTCACTTCATGTGTGCAAGACAAACAAAAGCCGTGTGCTAATGCAAATTTGGCCCGATCTTTAGATAAACATCGCAATGGAATAGTCAAAGTTCCACCGTCTACTTCTACAGAGAGAAAACTAGTGTAGAGATCTGAAAGGGTTCGTCAGAAATAAATCCAAAATAAATTAAGATATTTTTATGCTTGGCTTTTGTAAATCTGCAATTAATTAATTTTGTTTATTCTTTAAAAGATGTAAACCATTTCCCAATCTTAAATTAACATGTATATATAGGCAATTTATCTTTAAAGGTTAGGCATTAGTCTTTTTTAACAATATTGGTAATATTACCATCCTATTAAAGTTAAAACAATTTGATAATGTTTTTCTAAGCTTTAGAGTGCTTAATTTTCCCCAGTGTTATGTTGCCGTTTTTGGGGACTCCGTGGCGACATTTCGCTGTCCTAGTCGGTGCCCCTTATCGTTTTAATTAGTTTTTGAAAAAGTTGGACCCAGAAACCCTTGGAATGGTAAGGGCGGACAGACAGGCAGACAGAAGTGGTACTGGCAATTATGAAATTGCTAATAAGTTCCCACTTAGAGCAGGGCAATTGCATTTAAAGCGCAACTGCAACTCCTTTACATTTAATTAAGGCCGAGCGAAGGGCGCCACCTGCTCTGTTTTTCGATTTCCTGTTTATCTCTGGGGGGTGGTGGAGCTTTCTTAGCCCTCTGCCAATTTGCATGAATATTTATAGCAAATGGTGCGGCATTAAATGCAACTCCCTGAGAAAACGTCGCCGGATTAGGCAACAAATTTATATGCACAAAAAGGGGAAATCAACAAAAACAGAGAAAAGAAGGTGCAAATGCGGGCTGTCGTGAGATTTTGCCAAAAGTTTCCGGGCACCTGCAATAAAAAGTTTTCTTTAATCCTACAGGGGGTTTTCGTAATAAATGATTTAAATTGCATTTGCAATGAGGGGGAAGACTTAATGAAAGAGTGCTGCTCAGATATTGAAAAGTCTCCAAAGTATCTAAGGGTTAAAAATCTCTTCTTATCCAATGAAAAATTCCCCACATATTTTGTCGAATTCGACTTATCGAAACAGGAAACTGAAAAGAACTTTTAAAAATCCCCAAACCGTGCAAAAATCGTTCAATCTTCTTAAGCAAGCGACCAGGCGACCAGAAAAACTAAAAAGGCCAACGGAACCGATTCAATTCAACTCTCGAACAAAACTCGCACAGCGCTGGGGAAATAAAAAATAAAATATCACACATACGTAATTACCGGCACATATGTATGTATGTACATATGTTTGCATTTGCTTGGTCACGGTTCTCTGCATACTGCCGTCTCACTCACAGCAGCTGGCTATCTCCCTCGCACTCGCATTTTATAGTTTCAAAACGATCATGCGGGCGTATAGAAAATGTGCGAGCGGTACGAAACTTGCTATTCGTTTCTGATCGCCTGCTACTCACATGGATCACTTTATCGATTTTACGAAGAAGCGAATCGATTTTTTTTTTTGGTTTTGTGATCTCAGAATCGGAATCATTTTCAACCGATGATCATGCGGCTTTTTTCAGTGCGAGGCGGACTGAAAATCGGGCGAGACAATAGAGACAAAGTACCGCAAAGCATCGCTATATAAGTGTACTGTAGTGGGGGGAAAAAAAACGTATATCACTCAACGCTGATCGCTCTAAGCTAAAAAAAAGAGACAAAAAAATGTACTTGGAGATGCCGGGGATTGAACCCGGGGCCTCTCACATGCAAAGCGAGCGCTCTACCACTGAGCTACATCCCCGATGTACTATTGGCGGGCAAAATGTCTTTACAAAGTAAGTAGTTGCTGGTTGTTGGGCAAAATGAAATTTAATGGTTAGGCATCATTAGTAAGTGTTTTATTTGTTTTTAAAAGCTAGGAAAGTAATTGCAGTTTTATTTTTCATTTTATATAAATAAAAATGTGTGCCATTAGGCTTCCAATATATCTTAAAGGTAATCTTTTGTGATTGAAGTTATTAAAGTGGGTTTAACAAACATTACAAAATAATTGATTGTGTGTGACCTTTAAGCTAAAAAATTAAGTTAGTAAAAGTAATTACCAACTACTTATATTTTAATTAGTTTCAAGAAATACTCTAAGCAGAAAACTAATAAACTAAAGAGTAAAAGTGTTGGTAGTCGTACATTCAAATCGATTTTTATTTTTGTTAGATCTGAACACGTATTCTTTTCTACCTGGGATGTCCTTAAACAACCCCATTTATCCTTCTCTTCCTGTTGCACCTTTGATTCCTGTACATCCCTTGCCGCCAGTGGAAAATGCATTTTGGTCCAGCAGTTTCACATCGGGGATGTAGCTCAGTGGTAGAGCGCTCGCTTTGCATGTGAGAGGCCCCGGGTTCAATCCCCGGCATCTCCAGTACATTTTTTGTATTTTTTTATTTTGCCATGTGTTTTTTCCGTTTTGGCTCTTTAAATGCGTTTAGAGCTGGCTGCTTGTGTGCGGCCATGGCCAGTGACTTGATTTATGCGCAACGAGGCGGCAATAATGAATTATTTATGCCGATTTACGGCTGCCAGGCAGGTCTGCATGTCAATTGGCAGAAACACACTAGTATTTGGGGGAGACTAGTATAAGAAAATGGGTGGGGAAGGCCGAAAACTTAGCCAGTGTTTGACTTCTGGCCGCATTTAAGCCCAAGTCGTAGCCGCAGTGCAGTCAAGTGGTTAAAATGTGTATACACCCAGAATGCTGTGAAAGGAAATTGGCTTGTTCTCACTTTTGCCACATTTGCTCACTGGAAATTAAAATTAAATTTTGCATGAGCAGCAGCTCAAATATTGGCCAGGCCCCTGGACAGGCAATTGATTTTGTTGCGGTCGAATAAGGGAAAAGATTGCGAACACTTTGACATCCCTTTTTCTTGGCCCATCAATTAGCAAGAAACATGCGAAAAATGAAAAGTGCAAAATCCGAAATGGTAAATGCTAAATGCTAAATCAGAAATGCCAAATCCCACTGCCCAGACACAAGTCGCATAAATAAGATTATGCCAGGTCTCGTGTTGGATTGAAATTAATTACCATAACGACGTCTGCTCGTGTCAGTGTGTGGGATTTATTTGCCGGCAATAAATATTTTATAGCACAGCTCAAGTGTGTTGGGCCCTGATGGACTTGAAGGCATAATTTGAATAAAAGAAAATCCAAATCGAAATTGTCACACAGAATTTATGTAATTGCATAAACACCGCAAGGACACTCGCACACACGTGTATTTGCGGATAGAGTGTCCTGTCTCGAAAGGCCTCGATTCCGTTGCGTTCGGTCTGCCCGGTTGCTAAATAATTGAGGCAACAAACTAAACAAATGACATAGCCTCAATTTCATGACGGCCCTGTCTTGTGTGGCGGAGAAAAGGGTGTGCAATCTACTTGGGTTTTCCTCCGGAAAAGCAGAGTCTAGCTGTGTGTTTATGCGGTGTGTTCAACTTATCGATTACATGGGTTTCCAGCTCCTTCTTGGTTCAAGTAATTGTTAAAGCATACTCATACTCAAGCATACTCAGGCCTAAGGTGGAAGATTTAAGATTTCATGATTTAGGATCTATACCAAATGGGGAAAAGAATCAATGATATTTGGTTATTTGGCAAGTCATAGGTAGCTCTTAGTTAGCCTAAATTAAGTTAGGCATGCACACATAATATTCTGAGTAGCTTGGTCTGAAAAGTAATTCTATAATTTCATTCAAGTCTTTATTTGCTAAAACTAAAGCAAATAAGAAGGCCCACCATCCAATCTGCCAAATCAAAGCCCAACCACACCACAGATTAATACGTTAATGCGC